CTACTACTACTACTCTCTCTCTCTCTCTCTCTCTCTCTCTCTCTCTCTCTTCTCCTCTTGCTCTTCTCAAAGGACGAAAACAACCATTGCGATGAAATGATGGGTAGCAGTTTTACACAAGGAACCAACCGAAGCCAGGACAGACAAGAGAAGGGAAGAAGGGTAGAGTAAGGTTGGTGTGTAAAGCACAAAAAAAATAACATAAGGGTGGATGATGGATAGGTAAGTGATAATTACATGCCATCAAAGTCGCCACCGAGGTCATCCTCGTCTAGATCACCCTCTTGGATCTCCTTGGCCATCTCGCGCTCGCGCTCCCGGGCTTCCTGAGCATTCTTGAGTTCGAGCCGGTGCGGGTTCATGGGGAACCTCATGGCCTGGCAAAGCGTTAGCTGATGTTGGCCCTGAATGTCGAGTTGTGGATACTCACCTTAACGCTCTCATCATGCAGCGCCAGACAAGCACGAATACGATCATGGAACGCCTCCGCCGGCTCACGCGTGGCATAGACGTCCCCGACTTCTTTGCTCTTCATGTACCCGTGCTCGCGGTCGATCGTGGCCTCGATGACACCATCACGAATAGCCTTAGCAACAATGTACTCGGCGCTTTCCTCCGATTTGAGGTGCAGCCGGACGCAGATGTCGCGCAGCGAGATGCGGCTGTAGCTCAGGCTCATCATGCGGATGCCCGTCTTGATGACATTCTGCCGCAGGCGCAGGATCAGCGTATACGTGCCGTCGCGCTTGAACGTGGCCTCGTGCTTGTTGTTGATGGCTTCGAAGTTGTCCACGTCTCCCACGCGCACTGCTTGGACGAGCAAGAGGTACGGCCGCAACGCCGCCTCCATAGCCGGCTGCCGGAAGATGGCACGGTCCGGGATGTCACCCATCAGCAGCTCGACGACGACCAACAGCTTTGTCGCCGAGAGGCTAAAGCCTAGAGCGCAGGCGCTCGAAGGGGCCTTCCGCGTCGCCGCGGTCAAGTGCTCATGGGCCTCAGTGTAGCGGAGCTGGATGGCACGCACGCAACCGAGGTAGTAGAGGAACCGGGCAACCTGGTTGTTGGCGGCATTCTCGGGGAACTGGGTGTGCGAGACCAACAGATCGGCTTGAGAGATGTGTGACGTGAGCAGGTAGTTCCGCAGCAGCAGGACGATGACCGAGGCTTGCGTGTCAATATCCTTGCGCAGAACCGCAGTCCGGAGGGCGCGCAGGAGGGGGGGGCGAACCAGGAGGATCGGCGACTGAGGAGACGGCGGCAGCGGGGGGATCTGCTCGGCGAACAGCTCGAAATAGAAGTAGACCTTAGCAGCAAGGCTGTCGAGAGTGCGACGGTTGAGGGCCCGCACACGCTCGGCCAGCGACTGCGAGAACTCGTAACCACTCTGCCACTGCTTGGTGTCGTGCAGAAGAACCTGGGTAAGGATGCCCAAGAAGACGTCAACCTCGGGAAGCGGATCCTTCTTCACGAGGCCGTTTTTACTTGACGGCTTCGCTTCACTATCGATATCCATGTCCGAGCCGGCCTGGCGGCCCAGGACGACATCTGGCCGGCCGATGGCCGCCAGCATTTGCTTGGCCACCACCGCCCTGGATGACGTCGGGTTGTAGGTCTCTGCAATGACTTGGCCAAGGACATCGGGGGTCAGCCGTTTCCGGATCGACGAGATGGACCGTAGGGCACGGAGTGAGAATCTCGCGTCGAAGTGTGCGACGGCGCGGTCTAGGAGCGCAAAGTTGTTCTTGATGTCTATCCACACGCCGTCCAGTCAGTTTCCCTTTGCATATCAGTTATGAGGTTCGAGGCCGACGCACCGTTAATAGTCTGGGCAACGGGATCGACCTTGCCCTCCTGCGCAGCCTCGTCAATGTCCCCCATTGCAACGTCGCCTTCGGTATCATTGGCCGGCGGTGTCACGGAGTTTTGCTTGGGTGTTTTTGAGGGCGGGACAACCACGGTCATCTCGTCCTCTCCCTCCTTCTTGGCAGTCTTCTTTCCCTTGGCCTTCGCGTCCTTGTCGGTACGGTAGCCGCGGTTCTCGACGGGCTCCTTATCGGGTGTCTTGCCGGGCATGTTTGCGGGTGGTACTGTTTGAGGGCTGGGTCAATCAGGCGAGGAATGTGGGATGGACGAAGCAATTGTTTGCCGCCGATGAGGGGCGGGATGGCAGGCGGCGATGGGAACCAGGTAAGTTGGCGCTGGGGCGCGACCGCGAAGCACGCAGCTACTTGTGATCGGTGTTGGCCGGGTTGCAAGGGCGACCTAACCAACGTTCCAGGCACTGGCACCGGGCAGGTTTTGTTTTGCAGCGGTTGGCGTGTTGCGAATCGTGCACTGCTTGGCTGTTGGCTGTTGGCCAAGTCGACTCGACCGCGGTTGGATGGGCCTGGGGACTGTCACAAAGATAAAAAAAAAAGGTGCCTGTTGCGCAACCGCAGCACTCGACAAGCAGGCCGGATCGAAAATTTGGATTTTGGGAGGTCGTGCTTTGTCTGGAGTGGTGGACGTGATGTGCGAAATGCAAAGAGGTCCGAGAGCGAAACCTAAAGGAGATCTCCCTCTATCAGGTCTTCAGGGCCCCAGGCGATTGTGAGGGAAGTTGCCAAACGGGGAGGGACACAAAGCCAAGCTGCGGCCCTGCGTCGAGTGGAAGCTGGCCGAACTGTGCTGTCATTGCTGCCGGATTGCGGGGTACTTGACTCGACCGCCAAAATCCTCGCAAAAGAGGGTACCGCCAGCCTTGGCCAACTGTGTCGATATCCAGAGACACTGTGGGCAGATGTACCCAAGCTGAGATGCGGCTCGTCCCAGACCCACTTGGGCAGGCTGATGCTTTGTGACGTTGTCGACTTGCTGCCTGGCTCAGCTCAAGCTTCCTTTCTTTCTTTTTTTTTTTTAAAAAAAAACCAGAAACCCGAGTACCGCCAGCAACAACCACCACTATATGTCAGTTGCACCTGTTATAACACAGACAAATGTTTTCCATACAACTCATTTTACTCTCTACAGCTAGTCTACTTTGTGACCAAACGGTCGACTTGATTCTTTGACATGATTAATCAGCAGAGCTGCATGTCGCCACTATCAAATGCAGCCTAGGCATTAGGCACGGGTGTAATGAAAGCGAGCCAAGAAGACTTGGTCTCTCCGAGATGTCAGTCAAGTGTGAATCGTCAAATGTCTACATTTGTATAAGCTGTGTACCTTGGTAGGAACCAGTCTTTAGACAAGGAATGCAGATGTTATCCTAAACTTGAGGTGTTCTCCCGAGTACACGAGATCTAGGCAAGAAGCTGGAGTCAAGGGTTAAGACAGCAGACATGGGTTCCCACAAGTTATGTTTTCTTCCTTCGGGCTCTTAACTCAGCAGCAACAACGCAAACAATTGCTGCGCAGTACAAAGAACCTTGACCAACTTTCAAAAGCGACAAGCCAGATCACCCAAAGCAGCACAACACCCAAATCAGTCAACTACCTCAATTGCAGCGCGGACCCTGAATGAACCAGGCTCCAAGTATAAAGCAGAAGAAGAGAAAGGCTATTCGTCTCAGAGTGTCGTCGTGAAACCATCCCTCCCTAAGCGCGACGCCATCTTTCCAGAAACGCCAGATCGCCACAGACCTTGCCGTAATAACGGAAATACCATTCATTTCCTTCCCTTCCCATACCATTTCCTTATCTGCAGTCATTATCGTAGAAAGAAAACTGAGCCATAAATCCCCGGAGCATGTCAGCCTTAAAAGACGAAGCCCATCAGATGTCGCCTTTGCCAGGGACAACCTTGGCAGCCTGGACAGCGCTCATCTTCTTGATCCAGTTGCTGTTGGGCTGGACCTTGCGGACGGTACGCAGCTCCTCGCTAGCATAGCCTGGGATGCGGATGTTGTATACGCGTTCCAGGACAAGCTGAATGTCGCGGATCTCCAGCACCTTGGAGCCGCGCTCCTTGGCGTTGCGGCAGGCTTGGTGGAGGACATTGTCAACGAAGGCATCAGCCATGTTGAGGACGGACTGCATACAAAAGTTAGCCAAGAAGAATACAACACAAAGAAAATTGTAAACAGAACAATCTCACCTCCTCAACCTCTGGAGTCAACATGTTACCATCCTGGCCTTCGGCAGTACCACCGCAGACCTGGCGCACCAGCTCATCAAGCTTCTTTTTGTTTAGCACGCGCTCGCCCTCGCCCTCGAGCTGGAAGGCAGGCGTCTTGGGCAGCGCTGGTTGGTTCATGACGCCACTGGTATAGGTAGGGCGACCGCTGCCAGCGCCACCGATGTTAGGCACCGGCTGGGGCATCTGGATAGCCTTGTCATGGAGCACCTTCGGAATGGGCAGCTTGGGGTTAGTCGAGTGCGGCGGCGGAGCTTGCGTAGGCTGAGGCGGGTGCGCATGGCTATGACCGGGCTGCTGCTGCTGCTGCTGCTGAGCAGCGCCCATTATGCCCATGGGGGTGCCAGGAGCGGCGCCGGAGGCAGCGGTAGGAACCGCAGGCATACCAGGGCGCTGCTGCGAAGCCAAGTTCATTGCGGCGGCGTGAGTCAGAGGGCGAATATTGGGATTGGCACTAGTCGGAGTCGCAGAGGTCGGAGTCTGCATGCGCGCAGCGTTCTGCGCCGGCGCCGCAGCAGAGGGAACACCAGTGGGACCGGCCATTGTCGTGTTGAGAGGCGCCGGATGCGGTGCAGTACCTGGCTCGATCTTAACCTGAGCTTGAGGTTGCTGAGTCGGTTGGGCCTGTTGGATTTGTTGTGGTTGTTGAGGAACCGACTGTTGCGTTGCGTGGACCTGGGTGGCGGGCGAAACTTGTGCTTGTACTGGTGTGGCCGGAGACTGGACCTGTGCAGCCATCGCATTCACCGCGCCAGCCATCCGGCCCGCCGCCATTTGCTGTTTCTTTGCTGTCTCGATTGCAGTGTTAATAGCAGCCGCAGAGCTTTGCATCGGATTAACTGGTGCCGCAACTGGCGTCCCATTTCCAACGCCAGCGCCGGGCTGGGTCATTGCTGAAGCTCCTTGAGCAGACTGTGGTCTTGCAACATTTGCTGCATTCTGCACTGCAGCGCCGTTTTGAGCTGGCTTCTGCATGTATTGTTTCCTAACGGTATTGGCAAAGCTGATAGCATCATTGTACTGTTTCTCGAGAGTCTGCTTTTTCTCTTCAAGCTTCTTCCGTTCTTCAGGGGGCAGTGACTGGTCTGCCAAAGAAGCGGCGATCTGTTTTATCTGGCGGCCAGCGCTGTCCATAACAAACAACTTTTGTGCATATTGAAGCTTGAGCTGATCGATCCAGCCAGCCTTATCGACGACGTTGTTGGGAGCCAGGAAAGTTACGTCTTTCACATGACTCACAATGTGAGCAGGGAGGGACCGTAGTTGCGCCGCGGCCGAGTTCGGCGCGCCCATCTGATTTGGAGCAGTCTGGGTCGCCGGCGCCGGCTGTTGCTGAGGTACCGTCGTAGGCGCAACAGGTTGGACATTCTGGGCGACTTGAGGTTGTTGATTCTGGGGCATCATCTGGACTTGCTGGCCAGGTTGACCAAGCTGCTGAGGCTGCTGCTGCTGCTGCTGCTGCTGTGGTGCCTGCTGCTGTTGCTGTGGAATCTGTTGCTGTTGTTGAACCTGCTGCTGGACCTGTGCCTGCTGCAGCTGCTGTTGGGGCTGGCCCTGTTGCGGTTGTGTTTGGGGCTGTTGAGCCTGCTGTTGCATTTGTTGCTGAACTTGCTGCTGCTGCTGCTGCTGCTGCTGCTGCTGCTGTTGCTGCTGCTGTTGCTGCTGACGTTGTTGCTGCAACTGCTGCTGTTGACGGCGTTGCTGAAGTTTCGTGAGGAGCACCCTACCGAACTCGGCGATTTTCTTCTTCGCCTCGATATTCTCAGCCGAGCCAGGAGCAGTATTGTCGTGCATAAGCCACAACTGCTGCAGGCCCCGCTCATACTTGGTCTTTTCCTCGTCAGACAACAAGGGGATATTGCGCATCATCTCTGGACGGTACATCGGAGTGCCCTGCTGGCGAGGGGCACCGCCAGGGGCAGCAACGTTGGCAGCGCTCGGTGCGTTCGGCGGACGGTTCGCCATGCCCTGGCCAGGCTGGCCTTGGCCCTGGCCTTGGGCGGGAGTTTGATTCATGGCTTCGCTGTGATAAAATCAATGCTCAGATGTTCGTGGATGGAGCTTCTACAGCGAAGTATGGCAAAAGAAGATCACTAGAGGTAGATTTGAGGCGCGTGGAGGGAACGCGATGGGAGGTTGGGGATCTCGGGAGCTGCTGCTCAGAAAAAAAAGTTGCCGGAATTCTAGGGCGAAGTAGCAGAATCTATCGAGAAACGACCTGGGAAACAAGAAGAAGAAGTTCAGATGGCTAACGCAGAGAACGACAGAGCTCAAGATGACGCTCCTCGAAAATGCATTCTGTGATGCACTTTGCGATGGAAGGAACTCGCAGTTCGCCTCCTGATCGCGCACGCGCCTGACTCCACCCCAGTACCTATTGAGCAAGTGCGGTCCCAACGGCCGTGGCACGTCAAGCCCTGATTGGTCGACCTGGGAAACCAAAGCCAGAAACGCCACAAGTTTAGGAGCTCAGCCACAAATGGTACGTACTTCGATATCAGCACCGGACTCTCGCAAGACCGAAGCCTGCTATGAAGATTTTCTGCGACTTGTTTTGTCTGAGCCCCTTGTGTCTAAGTTCATTTCCACTAACGAACTTGGCTACCGTTCTCCTGTTGGAAGGTGCTCATGTATTGCCACAGCGGTCGACATAAAAAGGAGAACAGCCCCGGCTAACATTCAGTCTTGCACATGCGGCTACCTAATGTCTACCTTGAGAATAGTCAGTTCGAAAGTTAGGATCAAAGTCAGTTACAAAAGTTGGTTGTAAAAGTTGCTTAAAAAGTTGGTTAAATCTTCAAAATCCTCTCCGGGGAGTGACTTGGGACACTCGTCACTTTACTTAACATATCATGACAATGTGGAATCAGGAATTCTCCTCTTATTGAAACATTGACATGCACGTTGACGACCATCTTCCACACACAGCGACAAGCAAGATGTAGACACACATGCTATCAAAAACTCAAATACATTAGAAAAGCTCATCAAAATGCACGCCCTCTATCAACAGTCTATCAGATCAATCAAATCACCCTGGTGATCCGACAAACAAAAGCACAATAACCAACACATCATCATTCCCTCCCGTTCAGCCAAGATAGCACCCAACATATCCTAACACTATCAGCCCTCGCCCCCAGACACCCTGCCAAAGCACGTGAGCCATCCATAAACCATCTAGATCAACCTATCATCAAAATCCAAGATCTGATACACTCAGCCCCCCTGCCAAAGCAGATGAGTTAAGAATGTCCATAAGTAACACTCCATGGCTCCATGATGATCCCCAAGACTGTGAGGCATCATCAATCAACAGACATGCAGCCAGACCATGTATTGCATGAACAGGCTCAGGTCGGTGAGAACTGCCTTCATCACTAACCTCTCCATCATGTTAGTTGCATGGACCACCAGCCTATGGAAGACCGGTCCAGATGATAAGCAATGACAGATGCAAATCCGACTTGCCCTGATGTTGCTAAACTCAGGAATGGTAGTCGAGGATTTTGCATCCGACTCCCCTCAGTGGAATTCAATTCAGAAAGTACATTCATTGATATCAAATAACCAAAACAAGTGCTTTTGTCGTTTAAGTACTTTTGTCATTCATCATCGTCATCATCATCATCATCATCATCATCATCATCATCATCATCATCATCATCATCATCATCATCATCATCATCATCATCATCATCATCATCATCATCATCATCATCATCATCATCATCATCATCGTCGTCGTCGTCGTCGTCGTCGTCGTATGCTGCAAAAAAAGAGGTGGTATAATGATCTTCGCCGCAAGAATGACTCCAAGAAACGCCCGAAGGATTAGGAATAAAGACATGCCTGCTCCCTCCGGAGAAAAACGATGAACTCAAAAAAGACAAAAAAAAAGATGACATCACCAGGGAGGGAGAATAGATGGAGAATGGATGACACCATCAAGACGAGTCCACCTCCATAGTAACATACTCATAATAAGGCAACTCCCTGGCAAGGACCTCGCCGATGGTGATCTCCTCGACGCTCGAGTCGGGCTCCTCAAGCTCATCTATCCTGGGCGCCGGCGGCGTAGGGAACAGGAAGCTACCCCTGCGGCGGTCGCCACACAACTTGCGACGTATACGTCGCGTGGAGTTGACATCCTCGAAGCTGAAGGAGCCGACGAGGTCCTCACGGTCGGTATCAGAACCAATACTCTCGCTAATAGTACGCTTGCTGACGCTCCCGCTCGTCATTCGCCGCTGTCTCCTCTCAGCGCGATAGCGCCGGAGCATCGCTTGAACCTCACCGTCGTCCATATCCGACTCGTCGGAACTACTATCGGAGCAGTTAAGGTTGGTAAAATTCCGCATCATGCCCTGGTCCAGTCCAGCGGGGGGGCGTGAGCGACTGCGGCTGCGCTCCGACTCGGCATACTCGATGGTGTAAGCACGGATGACGTGCAGGTGGGCGTACTTGCCGTTCAGCTCGCCGGAGTCGCTCAGCTCTTCAACGGTGAACTCGTGGTGGGTGACCACACGGCCGATCCGCTCTTTCGGCGAAGGTGGGTCCGGGAGCGATGGAAGACGGACGGGAGATGGGGCATCGAAGTCGGAGTCTTCCGAATCATCGGAAGCGGATGAAGATGGGGATGATGAGCCGGTTGTGCGTGGCGACAGTTGGTCGGGTCGGAGAGCTTGGGAGTGGCTAAAGCTGAATCTGGTGTTCACCGCCGATGGCTGACCGGTTGATAGTGGCGGCGCCATTGGACGAGGAATTGTTCCTTGCGTGTGCGATTGCCCCCGTGGCGGACTGCTTTTGCGGCCGAAAACAGGCGAAGCTGTTCGGGGAGTCTCTGGCGGGGAGGATGGCCCCACGCTCTGAGATATCTTGATGTCTGTCGGCGTCGGCCACATGGTCGGTGAGAGTGAATAAAGCTGAGTGCAACCTCTAAAAAAGTAGAATCGGATGGCTAACAAGGTAGGCTCGGGACCCAAGAAATAAGGTAGTATAGGTAGTAATGGCGTCGTCCGGCCGAGCCCGCCAAGGGGAGACTTTCCCTTGCGGATCTTATCGATTTGCCCTCGAAAGTGTGGGGTAAATGCCGAGCGGGCTGAGGTGAGGGATGGAAAGTGGCGGGGAAGTTGAGGGCAGAGGGAAAAGATGATGACTTTAAAAGCAGGAGAGCAGCGTTAAAAATGCTGATATGTGTGTGAAGCTCAATGAAACAAGTCGAGATCAAAGTGAACGGTCCCTAGTCATGGACCTCCGGCAAAGAATGGAGGAAGATATGGGTCTTCGGATGGTTGTCATGATAATATCGTGATGGGATTTAGTAGGCAGGTTGCGTGCAGCCCAGGCCGTTTCCCGATATTGCTTGGGGGCAGCAGGACGGGCGGGGAGACGAGACTGGAGAGCACACAGGCAAAGGATGAATGGGGCTTCCGTGAGTGGATGGAATGGACTGAGAGAGTGCTTGGGTCTGCTGGGACTGCTCACTCAGTGCGGGGTGGGCGACAGCTGCTTGCTGCGAGCTGCTTGGCCGCCCCTTCGTGCCACAGGAAGCTTAAGTTATGTGCGCCGCTGCGCTGATGTGGTCGCTGCGTTGCTGTGGATGCGCAGGGAACGCCGGCTAAGGCGTGCAGCAAACTCGCAGACTCGCAATCGCCGCTGGCCGACGGATGGAGCTTTGTGGGAGCCGTGGACGAAGTGCTGCTGCTGAGTGACCGGCAGGCTTGGTGTCCTCGTGGTCCTCGTGGCCTGTGGCCCTCGTGGTCCCGCGAGGAAGCGTGGTGGTCAAAAGTGATCAACTCCGGGAAGCAGATGGCCAGATTGCGCAAAAAGGCAAAAGCCGCTCGGGTGGTTTGAGGGGCGGTGTCCCGTCAGTGGATGAATGGACTTCTCAATTCCCGAGCAGAATCAGCACTTGTTGCTCCGACACTGGGCAGATATCGAGTGTCCTGCCGCGCATCAGGGCAGGATATGAGCTGGACGGGCTGACCTTGGCTCACGACACGTCTTATAGTTTGCGACTGCCCGGATTTCAGAATTCCCTCGCGCTTTTGTGCCCTCACGGGACTTCAGGGTTCCCAGGCCCCCGGTGAGCACCTGCCGGTCGGGGGAAAGGGTTTAGAGGGGGAAAAGCGCACGCAACAGGCCATACACGAGTCAGTACTTGCCAGTCCGTGAGAAGCATGCCGCCGTCGGTCCATGCTGGGCCGGTGCACATTCGGCGAAGCCAGAGGTAAGGTAGCGGCTGCTTGGGCAGCAATGCTCGCCAACAACCCTGGCAAATCCCCAGACAGGCGTCGCAAGCGAGCAAGCTACACCAGAATGTGGAACAGCTCGACTGTCTGTCACGACACCGGACCGGCGGTCGGCCATGAGCTAGGACGTCTTGGAGATGTTGTTCTGCTGTTGTACGCTGTAGGAGCATAGCAGAAGCGCCCGTGGTGGCCATTGACCGTCATCCACGCCAGCAATGCGCAAAAGAGCAGAAGCTAGAAAACACACACGAAAAGAAGCTCCGGCATACGATCATGCTGTCCTGCATGGGCCCTGCTGGACGGCTGCCGGGAGCAACGAACCATCAGCGAATCACGGTTGCTGCCCCCACTAGAAAGCGTGAGCGGCAGAGTGCCCAATGGACAAGGGCCCTGGGGAAATGCCATGATGGTGGGTTGTACGCAGGTGGCTCGCGAGAAAGTTGCTAAAAATGCGGTGCTGCGGGCATGCACATTCGCGCAAACTAGAGACAAAAACACCACGAATGCGCAACGGAGATGTGGCGTACGCTGTGTCCCCAGGTTTGTCGCAGCTCGTGGGAGGTGCTGGGAAGCATTGGAAGAAGAGTGGAAACGGCTAAGGACTCGAGGATGACGGTCCTCGTGAGGTTGCAGCACTAGCTCCATTTTTTTGACAAAGGCTTTCCTCGATTCCTTAGCCGTGGCCCGTGTGTGGTTGGTATTCGCAGAGGAAGCCGGCCATGAACATCGATTGGGTGATCGGATTCAAGTCGACAAAGCGCAGAACTCCAGTGACGCATTCTCTGGGTTCATGATGGCCGGAATGAAGCTAAAAGCTCAGAGGTTTCAGGTGGTGCATTTGAATCGAATTTAAGCTTTCTTCCCCAGAGAAACGGCGAGGGGCACGCAGGAGGCTGGTCTATAGGGATGGTCACGTGACTGAGGGGTATCAAGGTGCGCCCCATCGACAACGATGCCAAGAATGCAGCCCACCTCAACGCCAGGCCCAGCGTGTGGTCGAGGTGGCGGTCGGTCCTTCATAAACAGACACCGACAGCTCGGATTCAACAACCGCAGTTTTCCTGCTGAAAAGCCTAATCTCAGTTTGCCAATATGTCGTTATTATCAGCACACCTGGAGCAGATCTCCATCTCCTGCCAAGGGATCGACAGTCTCCCGTAAGTCATCGCACTCATTGTCTAGAGCTCAAAGTAAACAAAGCCTAGCAAGTGGGCAGAACTGACATCACAGCTGACAAATAGCTTCCCCCCTCCCAAAATCTTCACCAACGCTCTTCTCTCCAATCCCGACATCACCTCTCTAATCCGTGACACCGAAGCCCACGAGCGCGCCCTCTTCTCTGTCCCACCTCCCCCACCCCGCCAAACCACTCTTACTGCTGAACAACAACAACAACAGAAGCCTTCCAATCGCCGGCAAACAGTCTTCAATGTCACCGGCGGCGAGATCAGGACAGGTGGCGTAGGCAGCGCATCAACCGCCCGCCGTAACACGGCGGTGGCGGCCGTGCTGGGCGGCGACCTGCACGCGCAGATCATGCGGGGGACTCGAGCCAGGCCGGGACAGCAGCCTGGGTCTGGGGATATAGATATGGAGGTGCTGTTGAGAGGGGTTGAGAAGTTGTGCGCTGTATACCCGCTGCCGGGGGCGTTGGAGAGGGTTCCGGTGATCAGGCAGAAGTGGCAGGCGCAGAGTAATACGTTGGCGTACTATGAGGCGAAGATTGCTGAACAGCAGGAGATGTTGGATCGGATTGCGCAGGAGAGGATGATGAATGATGGCGATGGGGATGTGGAGATGGAGGATGTAGAAGAGGTTGGGATGACGGAGGAGGATTTGAGGAGGGAGGAGGAGGAGGTAAGGGAGTTGGATAAAAGGAAGAGGGATTTGCAGGCAAGGTTGAGGGCTTTGGACGCTGATCTGGGAGGGCTGTTGAATGTCTAGCGGCGTGCGGGACGCTCGTCGTTTTTACGCCGAGACGCGATATCTGGTCCATTACCCAACCCTAAACTTCTCACGATGCTAGCTGGTTGAGAGAGGATTTAGGTAGGTTGCGTTTCAACCTTCAGGAACTAGCAGGAAACCCCTTCAGCAGACGTGCTAACCGCCGACTCAGCCTTCTTGACGCGCTGAAACACCTCCAGGAACTTCTGCGCGTCCTGCGCGCCCTGGATCTCATACCGGCCATTAATCGTAAAGTTGGGCACTCCACTAATGCCCTTCTCATACGCCTCCTCAACCTCCCTGTCAACCTCTAGGCCGCCCTTCCCCTGATCAAGCCACTCCCTCACTTCAGTCCTATCCAGTCCCGCCTTCTCCCCAATCGAAACCAGAACATCTGACGATGTGATATCCGCATCCTCCTCAAAATGCGCTTTAAACAGCGTCGAAATCAACCGACTCTCCGTCTCGCTCGACTTCGTCTTGGCCAGCTGCACAAGCCGGTGCGCGTCGCGCGTGTTGCCGATCTTACCCTGCAGGGAGAACTTGATGCCCTCGGCTTCGCCTAGGGCTTTGAGGTGGGCTGTCGCCATCGCCATGCGCTCGGGGCCAAACTTTTTGGCCAGGTGCACGTTGCGGTCGATGCCGGTTTTGGGGAGGGTTGGGTCGAGGTAGAAGGGGTGCCAGGAGATGGTGAAGGTGTCGTTGGCGCCGCCCGGGACGTCTTTTTTATATAGCTCGATGGCGCGCTCCAGGCGTTTTTTGCCCAAGTAGCACTGGGATTTGGATGTTAGTGTAGGTGTTGGGGCTTAGCCTTCCCGATGGGTTGGCTGTCGTACCCATGGGCAGATTGCATCGGAGACGATCTTGATGTTGAAATTGGTCATGCTGAGTGTCACGGGGTAGTTAATTGCAGCGTGTAGGAATCTGCTTTCGACTTTATTGAGCGTTTATACACAGCTAGGCAGTCTTGATCCGACCAGTTCTTGGAGATTCGGACACGTTTTGGGGGCTCGACAAGATGCTGATTGAGAAAAGAAGCCGACTGTATGTTGCAATTGCCCCTCACCTGATGACAAATCACAGCTGAAAGCAGACAGCCCGCATCGCCTTCTCATCTACGGTTCTAGAAACATTTCAACATGGTGTAGAAGCCATTCCCACCGCACTCGTGGAACACTTCCTATCCTATGTCTTGTGACAGTCAAAGGGTCCTCATCAGCTGGTATCGGGTGAAACAAACACTCAAAAATCGTCGCTGGCACTCTGCCGTTCTGTAACACCCCGCAGTGTTTCGTAGTTTTTTCCCGAAGAGCTAGTGTAAAGATCACCCGCAGGCTTCAGCCTTAAATCATGAGCTATTTCAGCTGAACCTAGCCGATTACTTCATCTTTTGTTTGTTGTTCTGGAAGGCGACGAATGCATTTGCTTGCTGGGGATGACAGCAGTCAGCGCACCAAACCCGGCAAGCAGTGCCAAACTGTCCTGCAGGATCAGTACAGCCGAACGGCGGAAGGACGCTGATGGGAGGTGGGGAAGCCCTGTGCCGCTGCTGTTCATGCGACGTGGGGTAATGAGGTGGCGGGTACGTACCCGAGCCAAGGGACGCAAGGGACCGCGGCGCAAACTGATTGGCAGGGATGGGTCTGGGGCAAGCCGCCAAGCTCCGGCCAGCAGCCCATCGTGGGGCTTCCCTGCCCCCTCCAGTGCCGCAGTGCCCGGCCAACGGTCCAAGTAAACAAAAATCGGTGGTTGGGGAGAGAGAGGCCCAGCCGTCAAGGATCCTCCTGCCAGTTGCAGCCAGCTCGCTGCCGCCGACCAGCCCAGCCCGCTCACCACTGGACGCATTTCACTCTTCTCGCAGCAAAATCAGATGGCGGGAGAGACGTCTCGTTGCTGAGAACCCTGTCTGTCCTTCAGCTGCTTCTCCATCGTGCTGCTGCTCCATCTCTCAGCGCGCCTCCCTGCACATACATTCCAGCACATACATTCCAGCCACCGGTTCCTGACATCTTTGCACCCAATTCGCGTCTGATCACTGATCATCGTCAGTCCCGTCGGCCTGGTAAGTCGGATCTTACGTCTTGTGCGTGCAGGAACAGGGCCTGCCTGTGTGTTCGGCTTGTCGCATGGCCTTTCGCATCTGACATCTTCGAGCATCCGCGACCCTAACGACGCATCATCTGCAGACGTTCAGGAAGTCGGCCGTCGTCTTTCTTCGTCCAGAGTCGCGATCTGACTTGCCGCCTCTGGAGGCGGTTTTTCTTGACTCAAGCTTCGACGGAGTCTACATTTTTTTGATACAGCGACCCGGCCCGAGACCTGCGATCACTTCCCGCAGAGTAGGGCGCAATACGGGCAGGCGAGAGGCTCGTCCATTGCATTCCAGCGCGGTACGGTTGGCGAGGAAAGACGGCAATACCTTCTCGGGGCGAGAACAATCAACAACAGCCGCGGCTTCTCACCGCCGGCGATTGCATCCTAGCCGTTGCTCCATAGATCGCGGGGCATTGATTAGGAATATTTTACTGTCAACACTGCCATCTAATAATTTAGAGGAGAGTTAGTCTAAGAACTCATCAACATGGGCATAGAAGAGTTCCGGTTGGGATGGTACCGTAAGTGTGATGCCTTGTTTCAATCCCGCGTGGAACCCAGCACTGCGTTGAAATGAGGAACGGGTCGTGCTAACATTGATGACAGGATACCTCCCATTCCTCGGCTACCACCATGTTTTGATGATCCTGATCGCGCTTGCGATAATATTGTTATGTACGTTCCTCTCCCTCATACTGGTATCATCAACTTCAACTTCAATGCTGACACGTCGAACAGCGCTTCTCCTGGCAGGATGCTCATCATCATCACCCTTAATCCCGGGCATCTTCCTTCTTTCACTCTACTATGAGAGATACACAGCCACGCCGAGTACGGCCCAGGTTGACTACAACGTTAACAATGCCATCGCCAATATTGTTGGCGGCGCCCGCCTGCAGGCCCGCGTTGGCTACTTCGGCATCTGCGTCAGCCCCAACGGCGGCGACTGGCTGTGCAGCAACAACGCGACGTCCCTCGCCAATGAGGTCTCGGTCGATCAGGACCCGCTGAATCTGGTCTGGCTGGCGAGTGAATTTAAGGACATGATCGTGTTCCCCTATCTTCTGTGAGTATCCCCCTATCCCCTTACTCATCTACTCATCCCATTGAGCCTAAACTGACAATAAGACAGCATCATCGCAATCATCTTCGCTTTCATCTGCCTCCTCCTGCTCGCTACCTTCCCGGGCTGGCACGAAGAGGACAGCGACGGCGACGGCTCGGCCGACCGCGAAGTCAAGCCCTTTCCCTCTCGCGCTGTCAGCCAGGTCGCACTGGCCATCATCTTCATCGCGTCCATCTTCGTGCTGGTGTCCGTCCTCTGGCAGCACACGGCATCCGTGGCGGCCAGCATCGTCGCGCAGGACCTGGCCAACGGCAGCGTCAAGTCCGGGGTGGGCACGTCGGCCATGGTGATGGGCTGGTTTAGCTTTACCCTATTAATTATTGTCACCATTGGGTTGTTGGTGATGATTTTGAGTATGCAGGTATTAGAACATATCATGGATTGATGAGGGAGATGTGGGGGACTAGGAGGGTGTTTGGGGGGGTTGGGTGTTCATTTTTTTTTTCCTTTTTTTTCGGTTCGGGATTGGTACGGCCATTGTAGATGACGGATGACTCGACGAGTACTGTGACTATTACGACGACGGCGACGACACTATGCGCGCAACGACGGCTGGTTGAAAGGTTTGATGGATGTATTACGGTTATGAGAGTGGCTGGGCGAGGAGGGGTCACAACAGGACCTGCTGGTAACTGCGAGGGAGGGCCAAAACTTCAAGGAGAGGATAAGATCTGATGACGGAATGGATATGGGACAACACCATTGAAACGTGGGATGAATGTATGGTTAACGGAATGATGATGGAATCGGATTGGGTTAAGTGAATGGATCCAATGGATCAATGAGATGGATGAATTCCTGGAACAGAGATACCATCATCTCGATCAAGTCATTGGTCTCTGGCAAGTGGTTGGAAGACGTGGGTAGGTGGGAGGTTTGCTGATTTATACACATGGTAAACTGGTTGATTGTTGGTTTTGTCTGCTAGGTAAACACACACATCTCTCTCCTATTTTGTGCATATAATGGAAGAAAAGACGAAGGCTTGGGTTTAACATCCATACCGGCACTATATACATTGAGATCTTGGAAGCCTTTGGGAATGGGTTTCTGATCTGGGTCGTTGCATAGTCGCGGCGAAAAATATACTCGTCAGTCGACATATGATAGGGGCTCTCCGTGATGATCCTTCTTTGTCTTGATTCATATGAATGTCCTGAACCTTGCTATGTGTGAACGTGCCAGAAACGACTGCTATGAACATATACACAAGAGCAATACCCAAACGCCAAGTTCTGCTTGCGGGCTCATTCAGACATGAAAAGGTGGTATCCCATCCCTAAAAATCATACATCCTCCTCACCACTGAATTCAGAAAAAAAAAAAAACAAACTCTCCCAATACATAACACAAACCGCCAATATTTACTCAAACTCAGTATGACCTTCCCAGATTTCACGCATCCGCTTTCGGTCGTCTAAACGGATGTGCCTCCGTATTCAACACCCACTCATCCAGCGAAATAACATCCGGCGTCTCGAACAGTAGATAAAAGTACTTGAGCGTCTCGGCCATCCAAAAGCTCTCCATGCTATCTTCCTGGGAAGGTGTAGCCCCATCCACGGGCGCGACGTCGGCAATGGCGCTGTGCGCGATATCCGTGCTCGTGGCGCGGATGATGGCCTCGAACATGCGCCAGCCCTTTTCTTGCCAGGATGGGTCGCCGGTGATGCGGTACATGTACCAGACGGATTCTATTGCTTCAGGGCTAAACAGCGTTAGTTTCTAAAGTCATGGCAACTTGGGACAGGGGAGAGGCTTACCGAAGGATGTACCGCCGGTCGCTGAGGTGGGAGAAACCAGGTTTGAGGTTCTCTTTCTTGATGCGGTCTTCGACAAATTCTTTGTGGGTTTGAGGTCGGACTGGCTCGTACAGGATTTGTTGGCTGACTGGGTCTCTGATACCGCCTGGTGGGATATCCCGCTTGGCGAGGTTGGATGGACGTGATGGTGATGGTGATGGTGATGAGTGTACAGTGTGCATCTCCTCCCTAGCCAGGGGATGGGAAGGGTTACCCTCACCAAATTGTTGCTGTTGTTCAGGCAGAGACACAACACCCTCCTGGCTCTGGCCCTGAGCGGTGTTATTCCCAGTCTGTGCGGCAGCCGCCTCAGCAGCTTTCCTCTCCTCCTCAATTCTCTTCGCCTCCTCCACCTTCCTATTCCACTCCGCCTTCTTCACATAATACTCCTCCATCTGCCTCTCTCTCCACTCCGCATTCGGATCCAGCTCCTCATACCACGCGGTCTTATTCCAATGACAATCCTCCGCCTTCCTACACGGCACTAGCAACGCCCGCTCAGGCATAATCCCCGTCGGCATCATATCATATGCCCAGACACACCCATCCGCCAACCTCTTCCCAATTTCTACGTCCTCCGGTCGGTCAAAAATCTTCCCTCCTAATCCAAACATCCCGCCTAGGAAGCACGTTAAGTGGGTGGTCTCCCACTCGTAGCTCATGTTCTCGATCGTCCCGTCGGAGCTGTACGCCTTGGCAGAGAAGAGAATGTCCGGATCGCCCTCGGCCATGGGCCGGAAGAGAAGGTAGTCTGTTACGCCTTTGGCCGTCTTCTCGTACATGGCGCGGTACTTGGGCTCGAGACCGCCGAGCAGGAGGTACTGCTTGGGGAAGTACTCGTAGGTGGAGTCCTGGCTGCCGCCCATGCTGTAGGAGCCGGCGGCACCACTGACGCCGGTGAGGGGTTTGGGGATGCATTCGTCGTCGGAGGTGGTGGGTTGGTCTTGGGAGGGGAGGTAGTTTGAGGTGTTTTCTTCTTTGGAGTGCTGAGAAAACTGAGAGTTTTGGGAAGTGAACTGGCTCGAGGACTCCTTGTTTTCCTGAGAGGGAGACTGATCAGGAACCTTGGGTTGCTGAGACGCCTGGTCATGAGATTCCGGAACCTGCTCGGGCCGGTGAGAGGAGTAATCCTGTTCCAAATCCCTCTTTTTAGGGCCAGGGCTATGCCCAACTTGATCGTTTCGACCAGCCCCGGTATGCGATTCCGGAACCTGAACCGGCGTCCCAGTCACCTGCCCCTCCCCGGCAGGCGGGGGAAGCTCCTCCTGCGCCTTCTCATCATCAACCGCCGGATGCCACAGCTCCCTGCTCTCAAACGGATTCTGGTTCTGCTCTAGATAGTTAAACAGCGCCGCGGTCCTATTACACCCCGACGCATCCAGCTGCTCAGGGAAGACCCCTGGAATAGCCGTCGCATTCTCGCGGTTCTGCAGCGCCTCCAACTCATTGACAATCCGAGCAATCGCGTCATAGTATTTATTCTTCCCCGTCAGCTGCGCGAGCCGGGTAAACTCCATCGTCATGGAGCCAAGCTCGGCGACGCTGACGACGGACGCCCGCTTAGGGGTAATATTCTCATCCGGCATCCAGTGATAGTACAGCACGGGCATGCGGTTCGGCGTGTCGAAGACGCTCATGAGGACCTCAGCGAGCTCAACTGCCTTGTCCAGCAGGATGGTGTACCCGCCTTTCTCGCCGCCGGAGACATCATACGCGCCAATGAGCCCGCCGAGATAGCGGATGATGGTCTCAAAAACAGGGATATCCGTCCGGTACGGGGTCGTGGTGAAATCAATGTTCTTGACAGCCTGCACAGCCTCCTCGAACTCCTCTTTCATGCCCATGATCCAAAGGGTATCCAGAGAATCAACCAAAGTCGCAGCCCAACCGCAGAACGGATCCTTAGGCTGCTTGCTGACCGGCCGCACCTCGTCATGGCCCCAAGCATACATCTTGTAGCCTTCCCACGCCTTCTTGGCTTCAGCCTTGACCTTCGCCCGGCGCAGCTCCCGCTTCTCTTTGGCCACGGGCGACTCCTCGTCGAACTGGTACTGGATCCGGGGAATTGGCTTTGGCTTGCCAGTAGGCAGGGGGATGATTGATTCCGAAGGGACGGGGTACCACTCCTTAGGCTTCTTCCAGTGGATGGTCGTGGCTGAAGGACTTGTCCCGCCATAATCGTCTCCGTTCCCAGGCGGCGGCAGGACGGGGCCCTTGTGCGGAGGTGGGTTCATCTTGGGAATCGTCGGCGGGACAAACTCCGGCTGTGGCTGCTCAGCGTTGGTTCCATCCTGTCCGTCGGCTGTTGACGGGTTGGGAGAAACCACTTTGGTCGGGAGACTGTAATCTTGGTAGGATTCTTCGTCGAAATCGGGCTTCAGCTCGGGAAGCTTGACCGAGGGGTCGGAAGGTGGCTTGTCTGGCGCAGGCCCGTCTGTATCGTAATAATGGCCCGTATGGGGAGGTTTGTAAGGTCCATCCTGTTCGTGACGGTCGGATTCGTGTGTTGATGGCGGAGGAGGTCCAGGAGGAGGCGGCAGGGGAGGGGGAGGGGGAGGAGGAGAAGATGGTGGTGGTGGCGGTGGAGGGGGAGGAGCGGCATGCTCTGGCCTCGGTTTGGGTCTTATATTATGATGATGACGACCTCTCTGGTCAAAGTCATGCCAGATATCCTGCTCCCATTGCGAGTTTTTGGAAACGTGGTATAGAAGGATGGTAATAGCCAAGGCGCATATCAGCACCAAGCGGTACCGTCTCATGCGGAACATGCTGGGCGCGGTTCAGGGTCCGGCAGCAGAACACCACGCTCGAACCTGTTGAGAAATTGAAAACGGCTTGGTCGAGTCGGCGCTCTGGTTTTGAAAGAAATATTCGAATGGTACTACTGCTTGGATGGCCGACCATGAATGTGTTGCCTAAGCATTACACGACATGGCTGGTGTGGTTGGGGCAAGGGAATATAAGCGGGAGGCGAGAAGAAGGGGGGGGGGTCAGCCCGAATAACAAACAGCTCCTACAGCTGGCGGCGATCAATCAAGCCTTAAATTACAGCAGGTAATCCCGTCGGGAGAGTAAAAGATGAAAGATGCTAGCTAGACCTTTTACCAGCAACAGAAAGCAAAAGATTTTTTTTAAAAAAAAGGCCAAAATAGACGAAAACCAAAGCAACAATCGTGCAGTTTTACACCTATCCTGAAGCCCGGCTTCCGGAAGAAATGATGCAACTCCGCAGACGATTTATCGCGTTAAGGAAGTTAAGCTTGATCAAATCGGGGCGCCAGTGCAACCCAAGCCGGAACAAAAAGTCAACGAGGTCACAAAGAAGCACGCGAACAAGAAGCGCCAAGAAGCCATTGTGCTTGGCGAGCGCCCCTCAGGAGGATAAGAGAGCAGAGATGAAGGGGTCTTGCTGGCTGGTAGGCGGGATGAAACATCTAGATCCAGGAAGTGTCGGGCTAGCGATACACCGGACAGACAGCTTTCCTCCTGAGCTTCTGGAACTTCTGGGTCTCGTGTGGCTTTTTGTGCGGCATCAGCCCTGTTTCAAAGCCGAGGTTGGTTTTGTTGTTCGTCGTGTTTTCAATAACTTCGCACAGTTGTCCGTGGAACTCTTGACCCATTTTCTAAGCTTACTTTTCCAACTGCCCGATTCTACATAGAGAAAACATGTAGTATCATTGTCATTTGCTATTGGATCGAGGTCCATTGGTCGACTAAGAGTCTTCAACTTTGACAACTTGTTCAATGGGACCCTGAGTGAGTGTGTGAAATTACGCACAGTGGCCTGGGGTAAGTTTAGGGACCTGCTGGTAAATTATTACTATTACCATTGTGGGTGTCCGCTTACATATAATTACGTACCAAATGAAATATTTACACCGGAGCCGCAACCTCCTCCTCTCCCCATGCGAAATAATCCTAAACTCCTTAGCGTCTTTCCCCGAGATGTGTATTGAATCAACCAAAAGTCTTTCCAAAAGCCCATATCCCAACTCACGACCCCTCTCTCACACATATACCACCTGAGCGGGGTTATCACACGCAGAGAAACACGTAATCGGAAGACAGATCAATATGAACACGCAGAGAAACACGCAATCGGAAGACAGATCAACATGAGCGCCCACTTCCAGCTACAGTGATCCTCAGATGGTCAGCAATACTCTCCCCAACATCTACGTCTTTCCACCAGTTGGCTAGTTAAAACTCACCAATCACTCTCCTTCTTCTCCTCCTGCACCGGTGGCGGCGGCATGTATCCTATCGGCAGCGGCTGATAGAAATACGGATAGGGACACATCGGCATTGGTCCTGGCATTGGGTACGCCGGCCCGGGCCCAGGGCCTTGGCCTGGAGGGAAGAATGCTTGCCCAGGAAGCGCTGGTGGAGGAGGACATGGGCCGGAGCCCTTGAAGGTGGGTTTGCCCATAGCTGCTGGTGGTGGTGGACTTGATAGACATGGTTGAATGTCAGGTCCGGGAGTACGAGATTGGTGAGGGACGGCGTTTTGGGGGCCTGGAGAGGAGGGAGGGGAGTAGGGAGGGCTGGAGGGAGGAGGCAGAGAGTTTTAGCCATTGCGAATTCGTAAATTGATGCATGCTCTTGCTGAGAAGTCGAGGTCAGGGCACTTACAGAAATTCAGACCCCTTCGTCATGGTTGTAGAATATGTTGTGCCGTACGACCGATGACTTAGGGTAATTAACGGCTTCGGTAGGCTGAGTGATTTGGCGATGAAAACAATCAAAGAAAAAAGTGATTCATCTCAACTGCATTAGTAGGAGCCGCTTGATATATGAACTCCATCCGAGGCTAGAGCCTTCTGAATGATGTTACCTTCGTGAGAATCCATCAGGCTGAGCGCGTCGAACCATCATCACCTACACTCCGTACTAACACGATTGAGAACAAGCACATCGTCTGACACAAAAATCTCTACCGAAACTTAAAGCCATGGTGATTTGCTTGCCTAGTTCTCGAAAATTGACAGCCTGGAGTTGGGTGTGATGCGAAAGTCTATCGAACAGAGATCTAGTAACATGGTAAACATACCTTGGATTGTTTGACAAAAATGAGAACGTACTTCCTGAACCAGCCTATACTTACTACTTGCGCAACATAATCACGAGGAAACACGATCTTGATGGTAAGAATAAGGCAGACTGGGCTACCGAGTGCGGCAGTTCCAGGTGTTGCTGGCTGTTTCGTACCGAGTCCCTGGTACTCAGGAGAAGCGCTTGCACAGCAGCCAATAATGTGGTTCTAAAAAAAAAAGGCCAGCGCTGCCCATCGTTAAGGCTTCTGTCAACGAGTATCTTTTGACAAATTACCCGAGTGATCGCTTTTCGTCAATGAGATATATATGAGTTAACTTGCATGGAGCTTTACTGTATGGATTAGCCAGAGTAGGACTCTGGATGTGATCCCTGCCGTCGAGACCCGTTAAGGCTGAGAACATCGAACCACCATCGTCCATCTTCAAGCTGAACACGTGGGGGGTTAGAAACAGGCTTATGGAAGGACACCAAAAATTTGACATACCTCCGGTTCAATAGCCGGGACGACCGGCAATTCGCTCAAGTGGAATGGCATGTGGTAAAACTCAGGTTGAGAAGTCATGTTGTGGTGTTGGCTGAACCGTTGTTACTTGTTCAGTGTTCTCGTCACAAGACTTCTTCTTCCCGTCAGATCGTAATGGAAATGGCGTACAAGTTAGCTCCTACCTGAGACTTTATGCTTGCAAAAGAGCTGAAGTCGGCTCTTTCCTGCTAATGGCCAGATTTAAGTCTTCATCATTAGAGAATGTGGTCGTCAACGAGCTCGAACCAATACCATAACGGGTTGTGTTCTCAGGGTTCGTTGTATCCATTTCTTACCGTATTTTTACCATTGCGCTACGTCTTCCATAACGAACTTTTATACCACGCCTCTCCAAGTGAGCCCCATGATCCTGTCCAACGGTTGGTGGAACCAAGTTTCTTGGCTTTTGCCTCAGACCAGCCAGGCTGTCGGCGTTATCCTGGTCAAAGTTCCCAGTAACCCAACCAACACATTGTCTGGGCCCACGGGTCCATCACAAGATACCCCTCTCGAGGTGGTTGGTGGTGAACTAATAATGGATAAGGGGAAACCAAACAGTTGGTCATGGAAATCACCATCAGGACCGTTGTATAGTATCAAAACAAGCCAAGATGTGTTATGATGAGGTATCCAAAAGTATGATCCAATGGACGCTCAACAACACAACACCTATTGAACCGCGCCGATGACCTAACTCTCAAAACCAGACAGACAAGACGCAGACACATACACCAAAAGGAATCATCGCCATCGCCAGTGACAACCCACCAAAAGAAATCCCCAGCATTTTTCATTACCACCCCCCCTTACCCCCCCCAGCTCACTGATACCAAATGCCGTTGATCTTTTTATAGAGATCGGTGTCGTAGAAGCTCCAGTTGGGGTCAAGCTCGCAGAACGGGTGCTGAGAAAGGAGCCTGTCCGCAGTAGGCCTCTCCGTAGGGTTACTAGAGAAAGCTCCGGTCAGCCAGGACATCTCACAACTAGGTAAGTAGGGCCAGTTAAAAAAAAAAAAAAAAAAAAAAAGAAGAACATACACAGTAAAGCAATCCAACATGAACCCCAACGCCGCAGGGCTAATAGTCCCCTGAATATCCTCCGGAATAGGCGGCGTCTCGCCATTGGCAATCTTGTAGATCGCGCCAACCGCCTCATCCTTACTCCACGGCCGGCGGCCCGCAAACATCTCGAGTACCACGCACCCCAGCGACCAGATATCCACCTTGGCACTATACCCCTCGCCATGTGAGCGAACCACCTCAGGCGCCATCCAGAACACAGACCCCTGCATCGAATTCGTCTTGTCGTTACCGTAGATATTATCCGTCTTCTTGCTAATGCCAAAGTCGCTGATCTTGCACGTGCCATCCAGATCCAGCAAGATATTGTCCGCCTTGAGGTCGCGATGCAGGATGCCCTCACGATGGAGGTATGCAAGCCCCGATAGCGTCTGACGCGTGAGCGACGCAACAAGCGGCTCCTCAAACTTGCCGTGCTTGCGCAGACACGAGCCGATCGAGCCACCGGGGATGTACTCGAGGAAGATGGAGATGCTTGTCTCCTTGCGCTCGCAACCGAGGTACTGCACGATGTTGATGTGGTCGAGGTGCTGCATGGTGTCGATCTCCTGGTCGAGCGCGGCCACCAGCTCCTGCATCTTCTTCTTGTCGCCACCGGCGGCCTTGGGATTGACCTCGACTTCTTTGACGGCCAGGAACTCACCCGTAGTGGCGTTCATGCCTAGGTACACGCGCCCGAAGGTGCCCTTGCCGATCAGCTGGCCCTTGAACCAGCGGAATGTGGTCTGCCGTTTGAGGCCGGTGTTATTGTTGGTCTGCTGCGGGACAGCATTGTGCTGCTGAAGCGCCTGGAAGCCACGCTCTGGGCGGATCTGCACGATATTGGCGTTGAACATCTTGGTACTCTTGCGCCGCAACAGCGTGGTATTCCTGCTGGGATTGCCAGGAGCTTGGTTGGCAAGCGCCTGCTGCGACTGCGTGTAGCGCTTGCTGGCTTCGTGAGCACCACGAGCGACCTCACGAATAGACTTCATACGGCCAAGACCGCCAGACTTGCGCACGCTGCGGGAAGCCACCGTCTGGATGGAGAGAGGGCGAGCATCAGACGCCTTGAGAGTTGACTCGTCCGAGCCAAGGGTATCGCTCTCATTGTAGCCCGAGGAGGCAGCATTGTTCGCTGGGAGCGGCGGTATCGGCGGTGACATTGCTGGAGGAGCATTGCTCTGCTCAGCCCGGATCTCGTCCATCTCGTCAATCGGGGGGATAAACTCGCCATCTCCTTCCTCGATCACAGGCTGGTCAACGTCGACGTTCGGGAAGAAGTCCTCGAGGTTGTTGATGAGGGCATCCGTGGGCGGACGGTTAGCCCACACATCCTTCTCGACGAATGACTTGCGGCGGTTGAGCCGTTCACGCTCTTCCGAGTCCCAGCTCTCAGAGCCAGGAGTACCAGGAGTGCGCCGCTGCGACCAGGCAGACGAGCTCTCCTCGTCATCACCCGCTGGTGTTTTGCCCTCGGCACTGACGTGAGGAGAAGTGAAAGAAACCGAAAACGTCTTCCCAGCCCTCTTAGTGTTGACACGCAAACTTGGCCGCTTGTTGATGAGCCCGGAATCGTCGTCGTCCTCAGTCTGTGTCTGCGCCTTCGGCTTACTGCGATTCGCAATAGGCTTTGCGAACAGGCCATCGTCCGAGTCCTCATCAGAGTCATTCTGAGCAGGCTCCTTGTCGACCAGCGTAGACGTCCTCGAGAACCTAATCTCGTTGTCCTGGGGGAACTCGTCGTCAACCTGCGAGAAGGTTTGCTCGCCACTGGACGTAGCAGGGATCGAATCGCTCGTCGGGGCACGAGTGCTGGCAGGACTGAAATCGGCGCAAGAAGGGGCGCGAGCTGTTTGACTTCTCTTAGCTTCTGTGCCATACGGAGGACGATCAGAAGGACGAGCGCCCGATCCATGATCATCACGCCCGTAGGACAGCTGAGGTGTTCCCCCCGGAGAATAGTCCGGGACAAGGAACGGCGCATTTGGGTTTGTGCCCCATGTGGTAGAACCCGGCATGTCGGGCATGTACCCGAGCCATCGGCCAGCTCCTCCTCCAACAGGGCCGTAACCAGAATGCGCTTGCTGCCCGTTATCAACAACATTAGACGAGGCTGCCTTACCTTTCTCGTGAGTCTCAGTGCTTGTTGTAGGCATCGAAGCAGCACGATGGGGGGACAGTGCCCTCTGACTGTTCGGGACCGTCGCAGTCTGTCCCATGCCAGGAACCGCCATGCGCCCTGCCATGTTGACCAGCAACCCACCAACGATGCCACCATCTGGAGGACCAGCCCATCTCTTCGGTCTCTCAGCCATGACCTCCTCACGCATGTCAGACGAGCCAGACGGGCGCTTTTGATGGCGACCATCCAGAGACGGACGGCTAGTATGGCCAGGGCTGCCCTGGTTCTTGCTGAGCGAGTTGGCCTTGAGCGACGTAGCAGATGGCTCGTTTGGCGGGGCGGGCGCCTTGCGCTGCGGGAACAGAGAGTCGACCTTGCGATCATCATATGGCGAAAGCCGCGGCTGATCAAAGTCCACGTTCCTTCCGACAATGCCGATGGGAGTCTCTGTGGATGGACTATTGCCTTCCTTGGCTGCGGCTTTCTTCGCAAGGTACTCCTGCTGCTTTCGAAGCTGTTCTGTCCTATACTGAATAGCCTCTTGTGACAGGCTTTTGTCATCGCGATCCCTACCCATCAGGGTATTCTGCCTGGACGTAGGCGGTGATGAGCTAGACCGTTGACGGCCGCTGAGCCTGCCATAAGCATCCTCATCCACTGGCACCGTAAGCTGCCCGGATGAAGAAGACACAGGAACACCATTGCCACGAGGCGGCGGAGAAACCACGGGACGGACAAAGACCTTCAGCGTTCCCGCAGCATCGCCCTTTTGATGCTTGGCCGAGATCAACTTGTTGTCATCCAAGGGATCCCCTTCATGTTCAAACTTGCCCAGCTCTGTTAGGTAAATTTGGGCGCTCTCCTCGACGTTCAGATTCCAGCAAATCAGCTGCCTCAGATCCGTTGCCGTTTCGGTATCGGTGATATCGATCATACGAAAGATCCGGCAGTCAAGGGTGGCCAGAATATACACCTTGCCGTGGTGACCCCGTTTGGAGGTTGGACGATCGAAATGAGGCCACTTCGGACTCGTAGGTGAGTCCTCGCCCTCTCTCCTCTTCTTGAAAAAGTGCGGGAACCAGCCGCTTCCCTTGGCACTTCCCGGAGGATCGCTGCCCGCACTTTTATCGCCATGGTCTTGCGGAGAAGGACGACCACCATCGAACCCGATTCGGCGATTCCCTTCCGAGATGCGGGGAGGTTCAATAAGATCTTTTCGCAGCTTTTCGGCTGCATCAGGAGGGACTCCAGATCCGTATTGGGCATGGTTCGATGAGACAGAATCGGTGCTGGGCTGAGACCGATGCGTCCATCGGCCACCGCTGTGTGGAGATGCTGCGATGTTTCCTGTCGTTGTTGCGAATTGGGGGATGGGGCTGCCGCTCGGGCTGTTCCTAGGGTCACCAGGGTTCGGGCTATGGCGCCTCGGGATTTCCGCATCAATATTCCTCATCAGGTTCCTGTGATTCTGATCGGAGCTGATTGTGCTATTTCCGATAGTTGGAGGCATTGTACGCGACTGAGAAACTCTCCGTATGTGGAGCCCAGAGGCAGGAGGCCTGGTCGACTGTTTTACCAATTGTTTTAGCAAAACGCCGATATTAGAAGTGAGCTACGCTTCAAACTTACACTAGGAGATTCACTAGCCTCGGTTGCGGCGCTGGCGGTGACCGATGTCGCGGTAGAATCCGAACGAGTATGGCTTCCTGATGAGGGAGCCACTTTCGCAGGGTCAACCGGTCTCCCTGTCACAATACTCCGGATCAAGCGACGCATTCTCTTGCCCTCCTCCCTCTCCTTGGTCTGGTTCCAAGGCGTGCCGCGCTCTCGACATTGCCGGGCAAGCTCTGGGTACACCTGTTGGTGCATCATGCCAAAGTTACCACGGCCCCCATGGCTGCTCCCCAGCTCAAGGAAAGGAGCGCCATACAGGTTGAGGGCTTTGAAGGTTTCCTGCCACTCCCTGGAGAAATTGTTCGCCTGGAGCCACGCAATGACCTTTTCCAGAGGCCACTGAGCAGCGATTTCAGGGGGTACCGACGAGATAGTGGTGACTGTGTTGCTAGTTGCACCTTTCTGGGCCAGAGCAGCAGCAAACAGCTGCTCGCGGTTTGAGGTTTCATGTGAGGGAGTGTTGGTAGCAGAGCCTAGCCAGTCCGAGTCGTCAATTCCAAACCCAGGAATTCCCACGCCTACACCGTACGTCGTACCTGCTGTTGGGATGTAGGTCGCGCTTACGCCCGGTACATCGGGTTCCGGCTGTGGAGGCGGAGGGGGAGGAGGGGGAGGAGGAACAGTCAGCGTCGTCGGACCGGATGTGGGATTTGGATTGGCGATATGGTGAGGGTGTAGCCGAGGATCGTAAGTGGGTATGGGAGCCGTAGCATTGGCTGGCGGCGGCGGGGGGAAGAGCGGTCCCCGATTAAAGCTCGGCCAGCCGGCGCCGGTCCAAGGAGCAGCAGTGCCCAGGGCACTATTGGGATATGCAGTATTTGGCGGCGGGCCAGGAGGAGGAGGGGGTATAGTACTGCTGCTGGTCCCCTGAGGCGGATAACGAGGAGGCGGCGGAGGGATGGTCATCAGGTTGTTAATGCCATGGGACGGAGGAGGTGACATTGGCGGAGGGGGCGGCGGCACCTGGAAGGGCCGCGTCCCATCTCTCTGGGGATACATGATTGCGGGATACGTCTATCGAAGACGCGGCGGTGTGCGCACGGCAACAGTTGACGTCGTTGTCGTTGAGAAGTCGAGGCTCGGTGGTCGATTGACGGACGAGAGACACCGCCGAGCGAGAGATGATAAGGTGGGGTATCAGGACTATCAGCGAACAGGAAGGCTCAGGTTCTCGACGGGAAGAGCGGTCAAATCACAGACAGCGAGCGACCAAGTCAACACAGCAAGGAACGGACACCTCGTCGAGAGCAGACAGGGTTGTGTTGTTTCGGAAGTCTAGTAATAGCAGACGGTTGTCTGTACCTCCAGATTAGAGGAACTGAATATCCGCGGCACAGGTGCTTCTGAGGGTGGGCTGACGTCCTGCTCCAGGGCGGCACGACAGGGGACGCGATAGGCTCAAGGGGAGCAGCGCAGTGCAGCAGGATGGGGCAGTATTATTTCGGGCCGGGAGCTCAGCTGCCAGCAGTGGGCAAAATATGCGAGACGAAGCCCGTGAGGTGTCTTTGGGTAAAGGATTCGGGAGAACAGTCGCTAGGTAACCTGAGCGCTGGCAGAAGCCTGTCACCGCACAGAAGTCGGCATTCTCATATAGGGCCGGGCGACCAAGCCTGGGCGGGACGAATGAGAGGTATCTATGATGCGGGTATCTATGATGCGCAATGGAGGGAATTGCTGCCGGCAAAGAGGAAGCTTAGAGGTTGTAGACGAGCCTGAGATCGAGCTAGGCAGAGTCCAGGGAACTCGGGATCTGTACGATTTTTGGACCTAGGTAATCCGTAGAGAGCAGCGTGCGACAAACGAGACTGCTGGGATCGCGACGTAAGACAGGAAACCAGGGTTGTACTGCTCTCAAACCGGCGCACTAACTTTATGTGGCTGCTTGAAGTTGCGTGCTGGGCGGAAGAAGTTCCAGGTCCCGGTCTTTTGTCTCGCAGCAGAAAGCAACACCAGCACTTCGGGTTCGGCCTGGGCGGGTGGGCAGAGACCCTCGCAGGCTCACAAGGACCTGGCTGTGGGACTGGGGAGCTGCCTGACGCCGGGCAAGTCCCGCACATGCAGCTTCCCTGTACCTTTTATCCTGTCTGGCCAATCAAATGAAAGGTGAGCGCAAGCTTTCATCAGATCCACCCAACAGGGGCTGGTGGGAACCCCTCCAACGTTCTCCACTCTTAGGTCTGATTGCTGCTCAACTTCATCAATTCACTTCAATCATCGCTTTATCGAGACTTGAAGTTCAAGACCACAAGATTTTCTGTTGCAAGTCTGAGGTGGGAACAATCAATACTATCACGTTTTCTTAGTTCACTAAGTTCCGGGCCGTTTTGACTAAAGGATGGTTGAGTCCAGGATTGTCTGTCTTCGTCTTTGAGACCAAGGTCTGTATCTGCTCAGCAGCATTATCACGGAATCTCTCCAATTTTTGCTGTGAATGTACGAAATGTATTCACAAAAGCATATGTATCTGGATTATGCATACCTTCATCGCCACCACTACCGTCATGAACGTCTCAGCGTGTCGTCGCCATCTCGGTGTCTCTCCCTTAAATGATCATAGCAACGCCCAACCATGCCCAAATACCCGGCAACGAATCCACAGCAATAAAACCAGAGAAAAGAAAAGAAAACACGAAAAAAATACAGCAAAAAAAAAAAACAACCAATAACTCCCGGCCCCTCTCTGTCTACGCCTCGCTACATAATGTTGCAACTGCTCCAAGCCCCCTGATTACATTGCTCATAGTAACCGGCCTCATCGGCTTCCTCCCCAGAAATGTTATGCTTCCTGACTACCCCCGAGATTCTCAGGGTCTGCTCACCCTCCCCATGCCACCAGCGCAACCGCTGAATGAGCACCGTCTCCTCTTCATCACTGCTGATCTCCCATTTGCCCGAGGTCACCTCAACCGAGCAGGAATCCTTGGGGAAGTGATATTCGGGAAGGAAGACGATAGTCGGCGAGTCCAGGTCTGCCACTTTGGGAGCTTTGATTGTCAGGGTGAACAGACATTGGCTGAGGTCGAAGCCGTATCTGATGATATCGCCGGCGACAACGATCGGGGCGGGCCGTACGTATGCTTCGGCGGCCCGATACCCCGCGGCAGCCGTCAGCTCGGGCTGCCGTGATGTTGACTCGGACGATATCGACGGGTTGGTGATCGAGCGCTTGAGGTTCGACGGCGTCACGCTCGCATCATCGTCCAAACCCTTCTTGGTTGAAAGGATGGTCCCATTAGCCTCCGGGCTCCGGGGCCGTGGGTCGAGAGGGAGCAACTTGTCGTCGACAGAGTAGATGGAGAGATCCTCTCCATTCCACTGGTCCCCTCGCTCGTGGTCGTTGTGGGTATGGTACACCCACAAAGTGTAACCCTCGAGGCCCGCCCCTTCGACAGCAAAGTGATTGGCATCCATGGCGGCTGATTGGCTAGAATAGTCCCCCGTTTTATATGCGTACTTGTCATCCATGTCATACGGGATTCCGAACTCCGTCATGACGCACGGGTGGTTCCCCATGCGATCAAGACCTTCCTGCCGCATTGCGGCATGCTGGTCTCGGAAGCAGTTTCGGATGGCTGTCTCGCCCAGCTTGATTGCAAAGGCCGGATGCCAGTACCGTCCTCGCAGCACCCCAATGACGTCCACGTTCCAGCTCCTGTTCCACTTCTTGGTCATTAACGTAATACCGTCGTACCAGTGCGGCGCGTACACAAGCCGGGGGTCGTCGCCGTCTGGGGTGCCCTTGATGAGTGGTGGCAGTTCCATTGTGGGACCTTGCAGGAAGATGATCGCGTCCTTATGGTAACTCCGGACAACATCGCGATACTTACGGTAGAGATCCATAAACCAGGTATTAGTGAAGTACGGGTAGTCAATCGTCTGCCCGTTCTTCGGGTCTTTCGAAAAATAGTCTTTCTTCAGGAGGGTGTCGCTTTCGGGGTCCCAGACACCATGCTGTGCCCAAAGACACTCCCCCAACTTCCATCCGGGGTCACGTTTCCACCCATACCGGGAATCATCGTAACCAGCCGGCAACCAGGCGACCTCACCGTGGGGGTCAACAAGCGTTTTTCCTACTTTATAGGGGCCAAGGCCACCCATGTCCCAGGTTTCCACTTCCACAGCTCTACCTGACCCGGTTAGGATAGTTTGCCATATTGTGGGACAGGTTCCTTTCTTCAGAGCCTGCTCTTTTGGTATGACACTGATATCTTGGTAGCCAATCATGCCCTTGTTTGGCTCGTTCAACGTCTCCCAGCCGATCACTACGTCATTCTCGAGGTCTTCAGCCTCGTGGATACGTTTGGCAAGATGCCCGACAGCTCTGAGGAAATGATCTTGGAGATAATCTTGGATGTTGACACCATCAATGATGCACTTGGGGGCAAAGTCCCGTCCGGCGAAGAAGAGGGTGAACATTGTGGCAGTAGCAAGACGGTAATAGTTTGTCGACCATATCATTTTGGGGAAATTGTCGGGCTCAGGGTAGGTGTTATGGACGATGGCTGCTTCAGTGGCAGCAAAACTCTGTGGATTGAGACCAGCTGCATACAAAGTCCACATGGGGGCTCCAGAGCCTCCTGAAAAGCGAGACCACTACAACATGGGAGTCAGCATCTTTTTGTCACTGCAGCCGTGATGACGACCGGAGACACATACCACATCCTGATGAGGATCCATGAAAATGTAAAAGCCATAATCCTTAGCAATCCTCAACACCTCAATTGTATGTTGGATCCATTCCTCATCGTATTTCCCCGGGCCAGCCGCCTCGATAGCCTCCCACGTAAAGAGATAACGGATGGTGTTGTACCCGCAGCGCTTCAGCCGCGAGAAGTGGAGGTGCGCCTCCTCCTTGGGGAAGGGTCGGCCAGAGAACTTGACATTGTCGCCATCGAAGAAGTTGTCGGGCACATGGGAAGGCGTATGAGGCTTGCTAGGATACTTGCAGTCACCGGCGACATTGATACCCCTCAGGATCACCTGTCTACCCTTTGTGTCGCGGAATTTGCCATCTTCGATTATAAGGCGGAAGGACGTCATAATGCAGGGTTACAAAGTGATAATGAGTGGTGTTGTGCGCGGGATCCAAAACGTCGACGCGAGAGGGCTTACTGCGACCGACGCCAGAAATCAAAAGGCCCGACACAGCAACCCAGTAACTGGCAATATGTTGGAGAGTCCAAAGATGGGAGGAATCGGGTCGACGCACTGTCGGTGAGAGCGCCTAGATGTGCCTGGGAGCGCGAGCAACGGGCCATGATGGGTCCAATGACGTCCTGCCAACAAGGATGCTTCCCGCCAAATCGGGTACGAATACGAGCAGGGTTCGTCACCACTCGGCGGCCGGAACCCTTCCCCAAGATGAATACGCACGGGTTAGGGTTAGCCGGGACGAGGTGGGGTATTGTTCGTGAAACCACTTTACGCGAGACGCGCTGTCTCCGGCCGACGCGTCTTGCTCCCCACCAACGGTCTGGAGACCTTAGAGAAGCAGTAACTTTGGTAAAATAACTCCAGACCACACCCAGACAGCTCAATCAGCGCCCCGGACATCCTCAAAACTTCGCTTCTTGGTTGACAGCACTGCCTGACCAAGACTAGCGAAGAAAAGGAGAATCCCCGATATGTCTAGCCCAGCTCCCACCAGCCCGCTCGCCGTCGAAGAGCCTAAAGCAGCTATGCAGCCAGACTCGCCGAAAGAAGTTCAGGATGTTGAAATGACAGATGCCACGGAAGCAGAGGCCAATACCAATAGCGAGAGACCAAATGACGCTTCCGGTGTCAACGAAAGCAAGGCCGATACGCTCGATGTCAAGCTAAATACAACGACAAAGGCCCCGCCAATCAAATTGGAGGAATTGTTCGACGGGTTCGATTCGGACGACGATGAATTCCCTACGTCAAGCCAGCCAGATGAACAGCGCCAATCTTCCCCGTATGTGCTTTAGTTTTTTTTTCCTTTTTAAGAAAAAAAGAAAACGACGCTGACCAGACCTTAGGGACTCGGGCCCAGTCATCAGTACCGAGCTTCTACGAACTTTTTACCAACGGTTCTTCCCCTGGAGGTATATGTTTCAGTGGCTGAACCATAGTCCAACTCCCACAAACGACTTCAAGCATCGCGAGTTCTCTTTGTGGTTACCCAATGAAGCTGTGCTTCGTTACCAGTCATACACGAGCGCAGACGAGTAAGTAGACCCTTGAGATAGCGCTGAACCGGGCCATTGACCGTTGGACCAGGTTCCGTGCGGAAGTTCTGCGTGTGATGCCCGCCCGTATCGAAATTGGCCCCGTCTACACGGCCAACCCGAAGGATCGCAAATTATTCCGCAACTCAACAGTGTTCCGGCCTCTCGCAAAGGAGCTATGCTTCGATATCGACTTGACAGACTATGACGACATCAGAACATGCTGTGACAAAGCCAAAATTTGCATTAAGTGCTGGCAGTTTATCACCATGGCCATCAAGGTCCTGGATACCGCGCTGAGGGATGACTTTGGTTTCAAGCACATCCTCTGGGTTTACTCCGGTCGTCGTGGTGCCCACGCATGGGTTTGCGACAAGCAAGCGAGGATCCTCAACGATGAACAGCGGAAAGCGATCACGGGCTACTTCGAGGTCTTGACGGGTGGTCAACAAAGTGGGAAGAGGGTTAATCTCCGTCGTCCGCTGCATCCCCATCTCTCGTAAGTCACCATCCTCCATCGTTTCAAATCCCCTGCCACATTCTAACGCTGCTTCCCCCTCCAGTCGAAGCTTAGACATCCTCAAAGACCACTTCCAACACGACGTCCTCGAAAAACAAGACCCCTGGTCTGACTCCGACAAAGCCTCCGTTCTTCTCAACCAGATCCCCGACCCCAGCCTGCGCGAAGCGCTCCGTAGAAAATGGGATTCTTCCCCCGGACGCCCATCCGCTCTGAAATGGGCCGACATCGACGCCCTTGCCCAATCCAGTGCCAGCTCCTCGCTCGACGCTAAGGACCTACTCGACGCAAAACAGGACATTGTCCTCGAACACACATACCCCCGTCTGGACGTCGGCGTCACCCAGAAGCTAAACCACTTGCTCAAGAGCCCGTTCGTGGTGCACCCGGGCACAGGGAGGATCTGCGTGCCCATCGATACGCGCACGCAAGCCGCGTTCGAGGCGTTTGATCCGCTGGCGGTTCCGACGCTGCCGCAGATCGTGAGGGAGGTAGATGCGTGGGAGAAGCAGCAGGCTACTGCAGCGAATGGGGATGGGGAGGGGAGGCGTTTGCAGGATTGGGAGAAGACGAGTTTGAAGCCATATATTGAGTATTTTAGGTGGTTTGTGCTGGGGTTGATGAAGGATGAGAGGGAAAGCGGGATCAAGAGGGAGAGGGAAGATGATGATGAGGATAGGATGATCAAGGCTGAGGATTTAGAATTCTAGAACTGCGTTATGGTTAAGTGTTGTCTGACTCTGGGCTGTCTGGGATAAAGTCTGCTTAGATGAATACTATGGGGACTGGCTTAATCAGAGGAGTGTTTGGAGGTAATATATGAGGCCGGGCTTCTGGACACTCCGAAGATATCATGTTGCTCCAAAGTTTGTGTATTAAAATTCTAAGGGTATCTTTGGTACGATGGGCAAATGCTTGCCTCCTATTCATCTCATTGAGGTGTTTGCTGGTCCTGCTGGGCTTCATTGGCAGCAGGACTTGTATCATGCTCGTTAGTCGGTGACTGTATTTCTCCAAGATCCCCTGCTTCGTGGTCATCTTCATCGCTCTCTTCCCCTTCAGATCCGGTATTGTCATCATCCTTCGTCACAGATGAGTCGGCACCAGAGTTGTTTTTCAGCGTTCCACCCTTCCTCTTTGGGATGACCGCCAAAAAGGCCTCGCCCCAATCGCCGCATTCCAGCCATTTAGCCATAATCTCAACGACCTGGTTTGTTGTGAGAACATAGCGGCTCTGCATCGCCATGTATTCCCCAATAGGGAGCTTTGCCGTGCGAACCTTGTACTGCTTCGCACGTTTGTAGCACAATCCCTTTTCCCTGTTCCTGTCAACCAGACCACCAATGACATAGCTGGTGTTTGCCTCCAGTCTCTCCAACGTGTAAGGCGATTCGGAGGTCAGATAAACAATAGTCTGATCGATATCTTTGCTGGATTCATCATCTTCTGGCGCAGGATTCCCTTTCAGACTCGGACTGCCCTCGACAGGCTTGATCAAGTCAATCATTTCGCCGCCCTTTGGGCTCATCATCTCCTCTCTTGCTTTCTTTGCCGCCTCGATAAAGTCTCCTTCATGAATACCGACATTCTTCCAGTTCTTGTGAGTGTTCCGAAGTACCGTCTCGAACCGCTCCTTCAGTTTTCCCTTCCACGAACTGATGTGTAGGCTGGCTTGGTACTTCGCCTTGCGATTCATCGCATAAGAGCGCACAATCTGGCTCGAGAGCGAGACAAGCTCCTGCTCGCGCATGTATTGCTCGAAATCGCAGTCAATGATGAACGCCACGGGAACGGGGCGGTACTTCCAGGGCTCCTTTGGCTGAAGGACAGTCGCGGGATCGATGCCGGCCGCCTTGGCCTCAGCGATCTTCGCTTCGCGCTCGGCGCGCTTTCGGGCCTGTCGCTCATGTCTCTTCTCCTTCCGTTTCGCCTTCCGCGCTTCCTTCTGTTGTTCCCAGTATTGCTGTTTCCTTAGGCGCTTGAGCTGGCTCTTGGAGAGTGGCTTGTCTGCTGGGTCCGTCGTTTCAGCATTGGTGCTTTCAGCGGTAGCATTGGCTGGCTTGGGCTCTTCTTGTTCGTTGCCTGGAGGGGAATTTTTCTTTGGTGTCCTCTCGAGCTCTTCCTCGGCCTTGCGCTTGCCACTGGTAGTGGTTACGGAGCCATGATCACTGATGGCATCCGTAGCATCGGGCATGTTGGTGTCAATTGGTCCTTCGGAGGTCATGTTGAAGGAATCCAGGTGATGTTGCAAGTGTTAACGGTGCTTCCAGGATGACGAATGTCAAGATCGCAGTTGCTCAGCGGGGCCCCGTTCCTCCAAAATTTGGGAACTTGCTAGCGGCAGAACACCCCACCTTAGGCGGAAACAGGAAGGCGGTGAGGCTTTTGACCGCCTACGACACGCCCTGACGCGTTCCCCTGTTCAAGCTTTAATTGAGACGCGTCTCCCAGAGGCAAGGGTCCAGGATGTAAGTCGTCTCGACCAAACGCTGCATCCTTTTGCCAGTTCACTCTTCACGACAACTAATGTTTACTTCGAACTGCGCATCCTTAAATCTGAAGAGAGACGCGCAGCAACAATGTCTTCCAGACCGGAATTAAAGGTATTTGCGTCCTGAAGCTGCCCCTGTCCGTCTCATTCGACCTGGGTTACATGCATCTTATCTTTGCCGCTTGTGCTCCGTCCTGTCTCTGCACCATCACTTGCTGATCCGAGACAAATGGCATCATAGGTGGACGATGAACATGGATTCATCCGCTTTTTCAGGTCACTTCCTCCCGTGGGAGAAGATACCATCCGTATTTTCGACCGAAACGACTGGTACACAGCCCATGGCGAAGATGCCAACTTCATCGCTCGGACGGTTCGTTACTCCTCTTTCCCATAGTCACGATGCATTACTGACATCACTATGGGTTCAGGTCTACAAGACAACCTCAGTTGTCAGGATGCTAGGGAAGAATGATCACACTGGCCTTCCATCCGTTACAATGACCGTTACCGTCTTCCGACAGTTCCTTCGCGAAGCGCTGTATAAGCTTGGAAAACGCATCGAGATTTGGACGAGCGCGAACGGACGTATGAACTGGAAATTGGCCAAGCAGGCGTCTCCTGGAAATCTGCAAGACGTCGAAGATGACCTCGGTGGATATGGAGAGTCTGCCCCGATCATCCTGGCAGTCAAGATCTCTGCCAAGGCCAGCGAGGCTCGTACCGTGGGAGTTTGCTTTGCTGATGCCACAGCTCGAGAACTTGGTGTTAGCGAGTTCCTTGACAATGACCTCTACTCCAACTTCGAGTCCCTTTTGATTCAGCTCGGAGTCAAGGAGTGTCTGATCCAGATAGACAAGGCCGATAAGGACAAGAAGGACCCGGAACTGGCTAAGCTCAGGCAAATTATCGACAGCTGCAACATCGCCATCTCTGAACGCCCATCATCCGACTTTGCCACCAAGGACATTGAGCAGGATTTGGCAAGGCTGCTGAAAGATGAGAGGTCTGCGACAATGCTGCCGCAGACCGACCTCAAGCTGGCCATGGGTTCGGCAGCCGCCCTGATCAAGTACCTCGGTGTCCTCCATGACCCCGCCAACTTTGGCCAGTTCCGGCTCTACCAGCATGACTTGGCACAGTTCATGAAGCTCGATGCGGCAGCTCTCAAGGCCCTGAACCTAATGCCAGGGCCAAGAGACGGTTCCAAGACTATGAGCTTATTTGGCCTACTGAATCACTGCAAGACACCTTTGGGAAGTCGCCTGTTGGCGCAGTGGCTGAAGCAGCCCCTAATGGACAAGGACGAAATTGAGAAGCGGCAGCAGCTGGTGGAGGCATTCGCCAACGATACTGAGCTCCGGCAGACGATGCAAGAAGAGCATCTGAGGGCGGTACCGGACCTTTATCGCTTAGCCATGCGGTTCCAGCGCAAAAAGGCGAACTTGGAAGACGTTGTCAGGGTATATCAAGTGGTCATCCGCTTGCCCAGCTTGCTGGGTACCCTCGAGGGTGTCATGGATGAGGCCTACCGCGATCCCTTGGACGAAGCTTACACCAACAAGCTCCGTGAGCTTTCTGATAGCCTGGCCAAGTTCCAAGACATGGTCGAGACCACTGTCGACCTAGACGCTCTCGATAACCACGAGTTCATCATTAAGCCCGAGTTCGATGACAGCCTACGCATCATTCGTAAGCGGCTTGATAAGCTGCGCTCCGATATGGAGAGAGAGTTTGCCGAGGCAGCGAGAGACCTGGGCCAGGAACGGGACAAGAAGATCTTCCTCGAAAACCACAAAGTTCATGGCTGGTGCATGCGCTTGACCCGGACAGAAGCGGGCTGCATCCGGAACAAGCCCAAGTACATGGAGTGCTCGACGCAGAAGAACGGCGTCTACTTCACCACCAAGACCCTCCAAGCATACCGCCGCGAGTTCGACCAACTCAACCTAAACTACAACCGCACCCAGAGCGGGCTCGTCAGCGAAGTTGTTAGCGTCGCCGCCTCCTACGTGCCCGTCCTCGAGCGTCTCGCTGGAGTCCTCGCCCACCTAGACGTCATCGTTTCCTTCGCGCACTGTGCCGTCCACGCACCAACCTCCTACGTTCGCCCTAAAATCCATCCCCGTGGCGAAGGTCAAACCATCCTCAAAGAAGCCCGTCATCCCTGCCTCGAAGTCCAAGACGACGTACAGTTCATCACAAATGACGTCGAGCTCACCCGCGACAAATCCTCCTTCCTCATCATCACGGGCCCCAACATGGGCGGCAAATCGACCTACATCCGACAAATCGGCGTGATCGCCCTGATGGCTCAAGTCGGGAGCTTTGTGCCCTGCAGCTACGCCGAGCTGACCATCTTCGACAGCATCTTGGCGCGCGTAGGTGCCAGCGACAGCCAGTTGAAGGGTGTGTCCACGTTCATGGCCGAGATGCTGGAGACAGCCAACATCCTCAAGTCGGCGACACGCGAAAGCCTGATCATCATCGACGAGCTCGGCCGGGGTACATCCACCTACGACGGGTTTGGTCTGGCGTGGGCTATCTCGGAGCACATAGTGCAAGAGATCGGCTGTTTCGCGCTGTTTGCAACTCACTTCCATGAGCTAACTGCCCTTGCCGACCAACACCCTCAGGTCCGCAACCTCCATGTTACAGCGCATATCAGTGGCACGAGCACCGCCAACGGCTCCGGCCCTAGAAAAGCCGACACTAAACGCGAAGTGACCCTCCTGTACAAAGTCGAGCCCGGCGTATGCGATCAGTCCTTTGGCATCCACGTCGCCGAACTCGTCCGCTTCCCCGACAAGGTAGTCCGCATGGCGAAGCGCAAGGCCGACGAGCTGGAGGATTTCACAACCAATCACGAGGAAGGCGCCGACAGCAACGTTGGCGGGGTGGCTGCCGAGGGGTACAGCAAGCAGGACGTGGAGGAGGGGAGCGCCCTGCTGAAGGACTTGCTTGTGCGATGGAAGGACGAGGTCCAGTCTGCTGGTGGCATGAATAAGGCTGAGATGGTGAAGCGGTTGAGGGAAATGGTTGCCAAGGATGAGAAGTTGTTGGCCAATCCCTTTTTTCAGAGCATTAAGACGTTGTGAGGACTAAGTAGAAGGATGCCGATCTTGTGGCTGTGGTTTCTTGCTGATTCGGGACTAACTGAAAAGGCTTTTGCTTGGGCTTGTATTGAATGTCACTGGGCTTTCTGTGTGTTGGGCGTCATGGCTTGAGAGAATACTAGGTAGAAATCATTTAGTTTGATGCAACATGGATCCTGATCAATCTGCGCATCATTGAATGTGTTCCAGATTTTCGTCGATAGAGTGAAGTGACACTTGGACCAGACCGGGCAACGACAGGTTCCGCCTCTCAGGCGCGTGGAACACTCATCTAAAGCTTAACCATTGAGGGAGCAAACCATGCATTCTCTCTCTAACACTCAAACAACATTATCACAACTGCCAGCCCACCCGCTTTGCTAGCAACTCAACCACAAATTAACTGTCAAAAACAACCCCCTTTCCCTCTTTGCCCCAACCCTCTCGACCCAACAACCCCCCTATCACGCCAAATCCGGAATAATCACCGTATCCTTATCCTTCTCCTCCTCCACATTTTCCTTAAACTCAACCTTAATCACCTCCCCATTTTGCACCTCGCTCCTCTCCCCATCAACATCAACCATCGGCACATCCACAGGGGACTTCGCCCTAGGCGGAACCGGCGGCGGTGTCGGTGGCCTCCTCCTCGGAATGCTAACCAACTCGTTCACCTTATCCGCCCTCACATACGCCAGGTAATACGGCTCGCCCTTGGTGCTGAGCTGGTCAAAGACAAAACTGGCCGGGTGGACGGACACTGTGGTGTCGTTGTACTTGCGCCAGACGTCCTGCTCGAAATCGTGGATCCAGACCCAGTAGTGGCCGGCGGAGGCGGAGCCCGCGTGGCAGATGACGGCGTGTAGACGATAGGCGACGGACTGGGAGTCTTTGAAGAAGTTGTCGCGCTCGGCAAGTAAGCGGGCTTGTTCGATTTGTTCCTCTTCGATGAACATCTCCCAGAAGCCGGTCAGTTCGGCAGGGGGGATGGATACTGAATCAGAGTCGGCGTTGGGGCTCTGTGCACGCTCTTGAGCTGACGCCCCCTGTCGCATCTGTGGCTGATCATGGGCAGCCGGCTGGGTAGACGGGGTCTCGATGGGACCGTACTTTGCCAATAACCGCTCGATCTCGGAGTTGTCGAGGGCTTGACCATGGCTAAGCTGTGCGCTCAATGAACCATCAGCAGGGGCCGACGTCTTTGGGCTTGTAACAAGAATGAAGTCGTCAATTTCTTCATCAGTAAACTCCTGCTCGGCTGGTGACGAGCGGCCGGTAGTCTGAGCGCGCGCGTTTGCGTTGTTGGCAGCTTTGCCAGGGGACTTGTCCAGCTCTGCCAATCTAGTCCTAATATCCCATCTCCGTTTCCTGGCCTGGAAAATCGGGGAATTGGTATCGGCAGTGTGCATGAAACGATCAAGATAGAGAGTCTCAGGGATGATGATTGGGTTGGAGTTCTTCCTAACGCCATCTGCTCGCTGGATGCAGATGTGGAAATGCGGGGCCGGATGTTCGATTGTAGTAAAGGACAGGAGATCGTCGGACATGCGCTCGAGATCGAAAGAGTTGGCAAGGGCCTCATAGAGATCGCGTGAGCCTGACGGGGCAGGATATGCGGTCACCCAGCGGTCTGTTCTGCTTGACCTATTCCAGTCGGCCTCTCCGATCTTCTTGCGGTTATCGATGAAGGTAGAGAAGAATGCTTGTTCAATCGGGTCAGGAATGTTGTCGGATTGGCCAATTCTAGAAACTTTGAACGCTGCTCTCAGGTGGTCGATGGCATTGCCCATGACCTCGTCAACATCCATCTGGTCTGATCCAACATTAGGCTTATCGAGCTCAGCCGCGAGCTCCTCGACAGTGAGCTTAGATGTTTGAGCTTCTCCCTCAGAAGGGCGCTCGCTGGATGCCTCCATTGCGTAGTCAGAGGGCAGTTTATCAGCAGGCGCCTGATTTCCCTGCACAACTGTCTCCTTGCCATTTTCAAGATTCACGTCCACGGTGACAGTGCCCGATGAGGCATCGCCTATGAGCGTTAAGGAACTGTGAGTGCTTACAGAGTCGGATTGATCGATCTCCATAGGCGCAGCCGGAAGGTTGGAAATCAGCGGTGCTCCAGTTCGAGGAGGGAGTGGGGGTGCCTCTCCGTTGCTTGAACCGGGCGTGTCTTTGGGCTCTGCTGATCGCTGCCGCAGCTTTTCAGGCCTGAGAAGGGCAGCATTGGCGAGTCTCTGTCGGGGTGTGACTGAACTTTCCCGGGAGCGATCGAGTTCACGGAACAAAGTGCTCAATTCGCGAGTGACTAGCGGGAGGTCAGCAAAGATCGAAGACCAGATATGCAAAGAAAGTAAGACATACACTCGTGGCCAACGAAGGCTCTTCCGGTCTCAAGCTTCTGCTGCTCGGTATTGATGCTCCGTAGAAGCTCCTTCATGCTCTCTTCGGTTGGCTCAAGTTCGCGAAGATCGGACTTTAAGGCCAGATCCCTAACGGCGTTGACCGAATAAAAGTACTGAAGCATGCTATTCAGATAGCAGGTATTTCTCAGGTTTGCAAGCCCAACCGGTAGCTGATAGTCGACCACAGGAGGAGCCTCAGCGTTTCTTGATCCACTAGCTTGCGAGAGATGATTTCCCGACTGGGTTGCAGGGCCGCCGGGTGACTGAGGGTAACGGGTCGAACGCAGCTCTGTCAAAACGCTCTCAAATGCCGGCCGATTGGGATCATCTTGTGGCCTACTTTTAGAAATTGCCTCAAGAGCCATAAGAAGGAGATCGAAATCTACATCCTGGTGTTGGTCAGCTTTTAACAGCTTTGTCGAGAAAGGGAAGAGTAGACAAGCTAGGGTTACATACAGATGAAACACTCTGTGCCTGGGCCGCGATGCTATCCATCGGCCACTCGGAAGAGACTCTCAAGAGTTGGCATGCTTCGGAGAGATCCATCTTGGTTGAGTATACCTCGTTGAGGATTTCCTGGTTATTTCGATCCTTGCCAATCTGGAGCAGGGCAAGACGATGAGCTGAGAGTTGCGCTGGGGATTGCTCTCTGTATGTTCTGTAAACATTGATAAAGTAGGATGCAGGCTCAGGGCAGTCACTGGAAAGATTGAAGTGAGCATAGGCACTCTCCGTCGGTCCTGCATCTAGAGCAGCTGTGACTCTCTCGTTTTGCCTTTTCGAAAGGAGCTCCTGCTGCTCAAACACAAACATCTGGAGATCGACGGACCGGCAGCCGGCCAGATCACCCAATGCTCTCAGATAGTCAGATGCGTGTTCCGGGTCTGTCTCAATCTGACGGCAGTAGGCAAACTCGAGCAGGGAATCCTCGATCCGCTCTGGAGCTCCAAGAATCCTCAGATTCTCTTCCTCATTCGGTTCGAGCGGTATTTGATTCGCAAGCCGGGCGGTCGAGCCGCAGCGAAGCACCTTTTCCAACTGTTCTCGAGCCAACCAAGGCTTGACCACAGGCTGGCCCTCGCCCGGTGGTTTCTCCCCGAGGATGCTTTGCACCTCACTTCTGACATCCTCGTAAAAGGCTCTCGGGGAACCGAGAGGAGTCTTCCCTTCTTGTGGCGTAAGGCGAGGCTGGATCCAGCAAGCATCGCCATTGTTATCTGTTCCATCCTCGAACTCAAGGTAGCGGAACAAGAACTCGCAGGCTTCACCAAACTGAATCTGGAACGTCTTGTTCCGACGAGATATTCTCCTGGTATCATCTTCGACGATATTCCTGAGGTACTGATTCAGGGTCATGAAGGATGAAGAAGTCAATAATGCCTCCTTTTCAGGGGGGAAGCTGAACCGATCCGGGTCCTCTTCCTTAGCCTTTCTAAGGTTCTCCTTCATCCTGTTTTCGTCCATAATCATTTGAACCCATTCCGGCTTCAGGCGAGGAAGGGTTATTTCAAGAGCGATTTGAAGGCTGCACATTGTGCAGAAAAACCTGAACCGACCCTCGATAGGGTAGAACTTGGCAGCCGGGCTGCTGTCAACGTCGGGAGTTGGGTACCACTCTGAATCTCCGTCGCGGAAATGGTGTTCAAGGTGCTCGGGACGTTCTTGCTCATCGCCGCCGGGGAAAATGTGGAAGACATAGTGGTAACGGCAGTACTTGCACATGCAAGAAACCACCGACTTCTCTCCGCGGCCCGGTCCATAGGGAGCATCGAAGCTTTGTGACGGGATAAAGACGAGTTCATGGTCGGTTCCGGCGTTCGTATAGCGAGGGAAGGCTTGGCGCGAAGGGCAGTCCAGGCGCCTTCCGTCAAACCTAGACTCTGGGAGACGGCCTGAGAAAAGATCCTGAAGGAAGCGAGCTGCCAATCGCCCTCCTAAATACTTTGTAAGCTTCTGCTGAAGTGGTATAGAAATTTGACTGCTCACCTCGGAGGGCCGATGTAGATGGCTCAACCGACTCGACCACTATGAGAAAAGTGGGTTAGCAAGAACTGGTAGGTCCTCCATTTCAACTGCTGATGCTTCAACGCTGCCAACTTCCCCATAACAAAGCAAGTTGGCAGGATGGAGATCATTTGAATCAGAGGATTAGGTAAACCAGAGGATTAGAATACATGTGATTAAGGGAGGTCATCATTACTTTTGATGTTTCTGCTGTTACTCAGTTCTCAGAGGATAGTGAAGAATAAGTAGTTGTAGAAGAGCAGGCCGTGAAACTGGTGACAAAGGGAGAAAGGGTAAGTGAAATAAGTGCCCGTTTGTACTGAGCTAAGAGTATGGTTGCTTGATTTGATATCTGCTCGGTCGATGGCAAATCACAAAAAGCAGTGCGGTTGATTTAGATTTGTTTGTCTCCCTGCTGAGTGGGCGCAAACCATCAACGGCCCTCCCTCATCAGCATTTGACATAACACACAGAAAGGGTTGTGAGAACGAACCAGGAGGAAACGTGATATGGCGGCTCAAAGCTTGTAGTTGCAGGGATGATCAGGCAGGCCGAAAGGAGAGCGATCGACGCAAATGTACGGAGCCAACCAAATATAACTGTAAAGAGACAGGACTGATTTGAGATGTTGAGATGAAAGCAGCAAGGTGTTAAGGGCCCAGGGGCACAAAAGCAGCCGGCTGCCCCGCGCTTTGTTTGGTGAGAGTCAATAGCGGGGGCTTGCCTACAACAGCAGCGCCTGGGCTGGAGGTGGGATGGAATAGGACGTGGGGCACAAAGGAACGATGGATCGCTATCTCGTCAGCTCATCTCTCTCAGAATCCGATGACAAAGGTACTGTAGATAGATATCCTATGCGGCAGGAGCACCACGACTGATATCTTCAGATACAGACCAAGGATTTTCTTTGTAGCTTGCCTCCTGACCACGAGGCCAGGAAGGAGGCGTGCAACCACAACCCATCAGGGCTCCGTCTGGGGCCTGGTTCTTGATTGCCAAGCCTGCTCGTTACAAAAACCCAAGCTTACATAATCCGAGAGCGTGGTGGAGACGTTCGGATTCAGAGCATCGAGGTCAATACTGAGGCGATACAATCTTCTAATGAACTAGAGTAATGGCATTTCTAAAGATCTGTAGTCTATATGGCAAAAATAAGGAACATACAGTGGCTTAGACGGCGTCTGAAATCTAAAAAAACGGTAACGATGATGCTTGCTTCTCTCCCATGTTTCTTCTAACATCGGGATAGCCCCACTTATGTACAATTTCTGGCCAATCACATCGTCCAAATTCGAGTTCGACCTTTCGAGGAGCTCGGCAGGAGCCGCAGCACCGCTGTCTCCAGCTTCCCGAGTGCGCGCGGCCAAATCGTGAAATTGATATCGAGCTCTCAGTCGACCCCTCCAATAGCCACCTCCTACCCCCCCCCCTAGCTTCGAGCCCTCCTCCATCCCCCCCTCGACAACCGGGCTACAACGAAACATGGCGCCGATCGAGGAAGAGCATGAGCACTACCACCCCAAGGATGCGGTCCACCTTGGCCTGAAGGGCGCCGCTGTCGTCGGTGGCATTGGCCTGCTCTTCGCCGCCGTCAGGACCTCTCTGGCCAGGAAAAACGTTGGCCCCTGGGCAATCTTCACCCGGAACGGCAAGCTCGCTGCCACGTTTGGTACGCAGGATGATTCTGGACCCTGAGTGGGAATTGCCGGCATGTTCACGTTTTCTAACGCACCCTGTCTGTCTCCAGCCGCCGTTGGTGGCGCCTATGACTTCACCCGAGCCGCCGCTGCGAACCTGCGTGAAAAGGAGGACTGGGTCAACAATGGCATTGGTGGTCTCTTTGCCGGTGCCACGATGGGCCTTACCAGTACGGATTGATCCCTGAGAGAATGCATATGGACAAACACCGAAGAGGACTGACTTAATCCCCACCCTTTTACCAGCCGGCCGCATCCCCCGCGTTCTGGGCTTCGCCGCCCTGACTGGTGTCGTACTGGCCACTGCCGAATATGCGGGCAGCGGCCTGAGGGGAGTCTTCAAGCGCGATGTGGACGAGTACGAGCGGAAGGAGTTCCTGCGCAAGAATAGGAGGAGGCCAATCGAGGAGACGCTGGCCGAGATTGGCGAGGGCAGAGGTGAGTGATTTTGTGATGACTAGGACTTAGGTTGGTACGGATGACTGACCATATTACAGGTATCAAGCCGCCGGGCTACTACGAGCGGAGGGCACAGAGGCTGAAGGAGAAGTATGGCGTCGATATCAACCCCGTCTGCGCTGACCCGGACCAGGCTTAAAGAGACGAGGCCCGAGGAAGGGGTTGGTTGGCTTGCTGCACACGCTGTAGACATACAAGAAGCAGATTGGCTAGCCAGCTTAGAATGGGAGCACTGTACCATAGGGGACCAACTTTGATCTGGCCTGTCGGGTGCTCCTTTGCGTTTTCTTTGCCCAAACGGTATGTCCTTGTAGTTTCGGCAATGTTCTCGCACCTTCCTGGTCATGACGATTCTTTCAAGAGGCTGTTTATGAATAGTTGTCATAATTTATACCCATATTACCTACATTGTTCTATTTCTGATGAGCATCAAACAGCCCTATCTCAACCCCATTCAATACGTTATAAAAACTAATTGTTTAACAGCTTGCCTTGACTTTCTGACGATCAGAATTAAAAAAAAAAGGAAAAAAAAAAAGAGAGAGAGAGAGAGAGAGAGAGCAGTATGTCATCCGCATGGCGTAGCCATCCATCGTCTAACTGGTGAAGTTGTGCATTCAAAATGCCTCACCAACCCTCATCGACAGCCCTCTCTGCAAATACCTGTTTCTGATAGCTGTGCCCGGGCAAATGCTATAGTCTTCATAATGCCCCGAAGACACAAGTTGTGTTTAAGTGGCTCCAATAAAACCTTTCCATACTCCTGCATATCTTCTTTCATGAAATATTGATATACGTCGTATGGTTCATGATCCAACAAACGCCTTTCTTAGTTCCCAGTTAATAAGGCCAGACCATACGACATAGTAGTACACAAGAGTCATGCCGAGCACAACATCTAAATCTCATTTTCACTCATCAATCTGTCTATTACACTAGACAAGTAGGGATGCTAGTACCTATCCCTCCCCAACTACCTTCGATACGCCTAATGGAATCCAAGTCCCGCCATAAACCACGCAAGAACAAAAAAAAAAGAACATTAATCAAAACCAAAACTTATACACAGAAGTAGAAACCTTTCGCCACCCATTTTTTTTGGTTGCTACCCTCAGTCCACTAAAGTTTCATGCCAATCATCTTATGCACGCGCATGCTCTGCCTTATGCTGAGATCCAGCATGATCTCCTCGCTACCACCAGGGATAGCATAGGCGCGCACGTCACGGTACAGGCGCTCAATCTTGCCGCCCTGGCCGCCGCGCGAGTACGACAGACCACCAAAGATCTGCGAGGCCTCGCGGGCGCAGAACTCAAAGGTGACAGTGGCCTGGGCCTTGAGGCCGGCAATGGCACCGCCCAGGCGGAGCATGGCCTCGGTCTCGCCCATCTTCTGGCACTGGTAGATGATGTTCTCCAACCAGTTGTAGCTAGCCTCGATCTGGCGAGCCATGTGAGCGAGCTTGAGGCGGATGACAGGATGGTCGATGAGCTTCTTGCCAAAGGTGCGGCGCTTGTTGGCATACTTGACGGCTTCCTCGAAGCAGACGCGCGAGAAGCGCAGGCACTGGATGATGATGCCGATGCGCTCGTGGTTGAAGTTGGTCATGATGACGCGGAAGCCCTTGTTTTCCTTGCCGATCAGGTTCTCGACAGGGACCTTGACGTCCTCGAAGGTGATGTAGGTGGTACCGGAAGACCAGACACCCTGGCAGTCCATACGCCTGGTGGACACACCACCGAAGTCGCGCTCAATGAGAAGCAACGAGACACCATCCATGCCAGGGCCGCCAGTGCGCACAGCGGTGGTGAAGTAGTCGCACCAGATACCGTTGGTGATCCACTTCTTCTCGCCGTTGACGATGTAGTACTTGCCATCCTCGCTCAGCTTGGCCTCGCAGGTAATGTTGGCGACATCACTGCCGGCGTCAGGCTCGGTGATGGCAAGGCAGATGCGCTTCTCGCCGCTCAGAATGCCGGGGAGGATGCGGTCAACCAGCGACTTCTTGCCGAACTTGACCAACGGCGGGCAGCCAATGCCGAAACCACCAATGACGTTCCAGACGAAACCACCAGAGCCGGTACGGCTGAGCTCATCCGTGAGCACCAGCTCGTGGAAGAGGTCCCACTGCTCCGGCGGGACGGACTTCACGTGGTTCTTCACATAGTCCTTCTGGTACTTGGTGCCCAACAAGCCGGCCAGGTAGCCGCGGCGACCCATCTCCTTGTAGATCTCGGGAGGGACCTGCTTCTTCTCGTCCCATTCGGTGACGAAGGGCTCGATCTCCTTCTCGATCCACTCGCGAACCTCAGCACGAAGAGCGGCATGAGTCTCGTTGTAGTACGGGGAGTGATACTGCGACAGAGGTCAGTGTGCTGCGCATACAAAAGAGTACGTAAATACGACTTACACCCTGGTACCAGCTGGGATCGGAGAAGGGGATGAGGCTACCGAAGGGGTCGAGGGCTTCAGCCTCCTCGCCATGCGCAGGGGCAGCAGCGGCCTTGGGCTTGGGGGCCTCCTTCTTGGGCGCAGGGGCAGGCGCCGGAGGCTCCTCAGCCTTGGGCTTGGTATCTAGGGAGCCGATCTGCAGCTGCTTTTGATACTTCTTGAGGATGGCCTCATTGTGGTACTTCCAGAACTGTTTAGAGGCATCCTTGCCGGCAACCTTCTGGAGGATCTTTTTGCCACCTGTGTGATTGCATCCAGGTCAGTTTATGCTTAAGCAGTTGAAAACGGAATGAAACTCCGGCAGCTGTGAAGCTGCCTGCGCAGCCCGACGCACCTGGATGCTCATCCTGGAACTTGGTGAGGTCATAGACATCGCCGTCAATCACGATCCACAGGGAATCGGGCTTGCTGTGCGCAGCCACATCGCTCTGGGTGAAGATCTTCGACATGGTTGCTATGAAAGATGCCGCCTGATCTCTAATCGGAACTGATTACCAAATGATGTCCGCTCGGTCACTGCAGATCAAGACGAAGCAGGGGACTGGAGGGAGAAGAAGAGGCTGGAGAAACGGGAAATGGGAGCAGCAGACGAGGGGATGGACGCCCCCAATAAAGGGCTGGAATGCTCCAGGGGGTAGCCATGGAGCACGCTGTTGCCGGAATTCCACTTCAATCACATGCGAGAACGGTGCAACCTTAGAGCGCGCCTGCGGAGGCTGCCGCCCACAGCCCGTTTCCCGCTTTTACGGATTCGGCCATTGGCCGCACCTGGAACCTTAAAACCTAGGGTTCGGGGAACATTGGGGCACATGCACGTGGGGAGGATGTGGGAGCTGTGAGAGATTGCTGGTGTTTCTGGTAGTGGTGTAAGACTCCGTCTCACATCCATTGGTTCACTGGTTCACTGGCCGCACATGGAAATCATCGCCGCGGTGAGGTGCTGCGTGCGCCTCGGAGGGTTTGCGACGTCGGAGAGGGAGTTGTAGTCCGAGCACCTTCTCCCCGGACAGCCGGATATCAATTTGAATGGCAACCTGTCAACACCAAAAAATTTTTGAGATCAAGATGAGCTGATGAGAGACGCTCCAAACTGTATACGGATATTCTCGCAATTGTCAACCAGCTCTCAAGGCGAGCAAAGCTTCCAAATCGCGGGGCCAGGCTAGCGCAGAGCATGTGATTGTAACGGCGTTGGTGTCGTCCATTCGCGCTTCACAGTGGTCCTCGGCTGATGTCATGTTGGCACCAGCGCGTCTGGGCATGCTTGGCTCCAGCTTGGGGGGCATGATTGCAGGGGTGTGTGATGAGCCGAGGCAAAAATGGAACCCCCTGGTAGGACGGGACCCGGGGACGTTCCCCCGCGACATTCTTCTGATCCATGTGCGACAAGAATTGCAATGGGAGCAGCCCACGGTATTGATGATCTGCTTGGGATGCTGCCCTATCTCCGGTTGTTGTGCCTGTTAACCAGATCGGTAGTTGGCTGCATCAAAAGATTTTACCAGCTCGGCATTCGATATCCCGACTTTAAACCGTAGCTTCTGCACCTTCCATGAAGGAGAGGAATAATGATAGCAAATCCGGTCCCAACCATAGATGATCATCATCGTATCCTTCCAAAACACCTTCAACGCCGAATCCCACCCCCCGGAATCCGAGATAAGAGATGAAAATCCCCTAGAGAGACAACCAGAGGAACCGGCCCCTTGAGACAGAGACAACGGCCCTTAAGCAGCACCACGAGGCTTCGCCTTCTGCTTCGCCTTTTCCTTCTTCTCCTCCTTGGCCTTCTTCTTCCTCGCCTCAATTTGCTCCTCGATCTTGCGCTTCTGGGCCTGCTTCTCCGCTTCGGTCTTCGGGATGACCTTGAAGAAACCCTCGATGCGCGCCTGCTGCGCTCCTTTCAGATTTTTCTCTAGACGTTGCGCTCCGTTGCGAACACGGTCCTCCGAAAACCCCTTTTCCTTGACCAAGAACTGAACCAGCCCCTCGACATCTGGCTTCTCCCACTTGAAATCACACTCCGGGTCGTCTGCCTGCCGAACGTCGGGATTGAAGAACAGCTCGCGCGCATCCTGGTATGGCCAGTCTTCGGGGATGGTATAGCGCTTCTTGGGGTCGTTCTGGATAAACTCGACCACTTTCTCAAGGGAGCCGTGCTCACGGATCAGCTTGAGAGCGGTCGAAGGGCCGATCTTGGGGATTGGATCGAGGTAGTCGCAACCAAGGAGGATGCAGAGATCAACAAACTGTAAATACAGAAGGGTCAGTGTATCATGCAGAACATCGGCGCAAGGGGCATGTATCACTGTACCTGCTTCCTGTCCATGTTCAACCCTTCCAGCACCTTGTCCGTATGGATTTCCTGGATGGGCTCCTTGCGCTGCTCGGCAAAGGTAAGGTGCCGAAGAAGAATAGGGGTATTGAAGCACAGCGTATCCATATCCTCGCTAGCAGCAGCATAGACCTTGCCAGCACGCGCAAGCACGGCACACTGGGCTTCAGCCTCAGTCGGGGCAATGATGTACGGAATGCCCATCAGCTTCAGGAGTCGCTGGCATTCAGCGTTATGCTCTCTGGTGACACGCACTGTCCGGCGCGAGAACTTCTCAACATCCTCGGCCGTTCCTGTCTCCTTGGCCTCCTCGAGGTCCTCCTGTGCTTCTTGCTTCCGCTGGAAACGCTTGGCCAATTCTCCGGACTTGAGCTTGGGGGGCTTGCCGTCGAAGACGTAGAGTGGCTTGATACCAGCATCGACCATGCGGAGAGTGCGGTAGAACATGCCCATCAGATGTGATGTCGTTTCTCCGGCATCGTTCATGAGCTGTTGGCCGTCTGAGCGAACGGCAATCAGGAAGCTGTAGATGCTCATGGACCTGGTAACTAGTTAGGATGCAGCTCCAAAGAAAAGAGAAAGGGGATCGTACGCATCCTAGTAGCCCCATTGTCAGCTGGATTGTACGGAAAAGGTTGAAGCAACTGACCTACGATTGCGACTTTGCGGCCGAAATGTTGCTTGATCTCACCCTCCCTGATAGAGAGGGGAGCTTCCTCCTTGATAAGCTGGAAGAGATGTTTAATTCCCATTTTGGAAGACTAATTATTGCCCCGGTTTTTGTGTGCCTTGATAGTATGGATCTGACTCCGTTGAGGAACAACAGGAAGAAAAGGAGTCTGCAATGTGACGGCGCAGGTTGGCTTTTTTAGTATGATGTCACAAAAAGGAGGGAGAAGAGGGTTGGGAAACCTTGACGCGTATTAAGACGCGCTCGACCACCATGAAGTGGAGCCTTCAATTAAAGAACCGTGCAATCCGCGCAGGGAAGAAGGAACTTGCCCGGTCAGGCAGCAGCGTCTAGCCACAACGCACAGCCACAGGACCTGAGGTGAACTGTGGCAGGTGCCTATAATCAATCGCAGGCCATTGGATTGGTTTCTCCTCAGCCACGATTACGTCTCCAAAGGTTGGATGATTCATGTGGTCTTGACGGAAGCTGCCTGTTATGTGATTCTATCAGAGGAAAACCAGAGTATCATGCTAGGGAAAGCTATTGATGACTTGTGGCTAGTCGTCTGAGTCTTCACCACTTCCAGTCTTAAATTCAACTCCCGAGATCCCTATGTAATACATGGACGCCATCAATAACTAGATACAATGCAGTATTCAAATCAGATATGTACCGGATCCTCAAGGTGGCTTCTTCAATATTTCGTATGATTCATCCAATCACCCAAAGGTTTCGATATTAACTGGTATCCTCAAGGTGTATCCCCAGACGCCGCAGAAAACAAAATGAGCCAGTTGGGCAAAGATGCAACTTCGACCTGGGAAAAAAAAAAGTGATGTCTAAAAGCTGCCGGTTCGTGGAAGTGTCGCCAGACAAGCCTGCCCACGTGTTGTAATAGGCTCAAGGTGTAATTTTTCAAATGCTCCTGTGAACTCAGCAAAGGCGTCCCGCGCCCTGGACGTTGAAGGGCGAGGGATGCCCGCCCAGACATCGAATGAGATAGGTAAGCCTTGAGAACATTGACTTAGAAGTTTTCCTTGCCCCAAACAAAGGTGAAACTAATACATTCCATTAGTCTGTGATTCAGTCAGATGGGAAAGGATTCAACTTACTCAGGCTCGCTGTATTTGTTACAAAAGACATGCAGTGCGCTACCCAAGCCCTTAGGACCGCAGAAAAACACACCGCACTCGGCCGGGGAATGCAGCTTGCGGATACCCCTGAAGATCATATCCCAGTTGGGACGACCGAAGTTTGTCGGCGACCGCAAGCCAGTGATGGTGTCCTTGTCGGCGTTGGCATCGTTGACCATGATGTTCATAGCATCATCAGCCTTGATCTTCGCTGTCAGGTAGGTGTGGATCTCGATGCGATTGTCCACATCCTGGGCCTCAATAGCCAGCAGCAGCGAGCGGAACCACTCGAAGGAGCCGAAGTCACGGCAAACCCAGAAGAAGTAGACCTTGCTCAGCCGGGTCTTCTTCTGTGGGTAGTTCATCCGGTACCAGATAGATTTGAGAATCGAGGCAAACGGAGTGACACCGATACCGGCACCGACCAGCATGGCGATCTCGTACTTGAACACATCCTCGGACGCCGAGCCGAAGGGCCCGTCGATGTAGACACGCGGAAGGACACGCCGGAGAGCAGGATCCACCTCATCGTTGTCCTTGCTGACACCAACAACCTTGGACTGCTCGTTCTTCTTCTTGTCGAACTCGCAGCCCAGAGTCTCGGCGAGCGCCCTGGTGAAATCACCGACCACACGAATGTGAACAGAGATATAATCCTCCTCCGGGGCGCTCGTCAGGGTAAAAGGGTGGTACTGCCACAGCGAGACGGCAGGGCAACACAAGAAGATGTACTGCCCAGCACGGGTCTTGGTGTTCTCCTTCTTGATCTGGATTTCGACGACATTGCTGGGGTGTTGGATGACCTTAGTGATGTACGTCTTGTGGCGGCCACGGACCTCGCGAGCGACACGCTCGGCCAGATAGACGAAACCACCATACATCCAGTACTGCCAAAAGACACCGACGGCCTGAGTTCCGAAAGAGGTGCAGAAAGGCGCGAAGTCAGGCTGGATCATGCAGAATGCGCCGTGGATCGACCAGAAGAAGAAGAAAATGATGAACATGTGATGGGTATACCAGAATCGCTCGTAGTTCGCACGGCGAGGCTTCTCAATCGAGGTGAACACCATGCCCATCAAAGCAATCAGCATGATGTATCCAGTCCAGCCTGGACCGGACACCAGGTTAGCCACCAAAAACCCATAGAAACCGAGTTTTTGCTTCGCAGCGACCTGCGCCAAATTGTTCCAGTGGGCAATCGTATGAACCCAGGAGAAGAAGACGATCGACCATGCGGTGGTGATATGGAAGGTGATGTTTTTATCGAACTGGATGATACCGTTCAGAGGCGTTTGGCGAGCCAAAGAGATGAATGTGCGGCAAACGGGGAAGAGGATGAGCGCGACATCAACGTGAAGGACAAGGGCTGCAGAACGGGCAATCATGAATGTCGGGCCGAAGGTATCTCGCGCAATCTGTAGGTTATCCTTGAGCGAGTAATTGACGAAACCGAAGGCGAAGACTATAGCATGGAGCAGCATAAAGACGAAGACGAAGCTGTAGTAATGTTAGCATGATCCGTATCCTCTCACCGTTCGAATGCAATACCACAGGCATCACGTACATTCGACGATAACCCTCGTTGACCATCCAAACTTCAAACTTCTCCTTGGGACTCAGCTCTCTCTGCTTTTCCTGAGTCATCTCACCCGATAACAGCATACGAGTGAGAGGAGTCCATCTTGCCCTCTCCGAGTACTTCGTCGACCCGTTGCTCCCAGTGCTGTCCCGGTAGTTGTAGCTACCGTTGTAGCCTCCGTAACTCGCCATTTTCAATAAGCTAATTCCGTCTCTAACTAGAGAGCTTTGTCGGTAGGAACACCCCTCAATGAGTGTCGTCACTCAATCGACGGTGCTTGTCTAAATCCCTCCAATTCAGGGGCACTCAATGCCCGATGACGTCTTCAATCAAGCGATTATTAAACGACCGTAAGAGAAGCGAAGTGAATTAAATCGGAATCAGAACCTGCTGAACCGGCGAAAGAAGCTCATGCAAAAATCAGTCGAAAGTCGTTTCAATCGGGGGAAGTGAAAGTAAGGAACGAATATGGAGCCTGTGTCCGCCACGGGTGGCGAAGCGGGTGATGGTCAGCAACCAAGCTCCTCCAGATGCGAGTACTCGATCCGACGCGACGAAAATGGGAGAAAGGAGAGAAAGGGAAAAGAAGGGGAGGTCAAAGCAATGGACGCGGGGGGTGGTGCTTGGATTATGAGAGGCGCCAAGCACCTGGGACATCCAGAAACGTGGGCTGATTGTGTAGATCATACCTGTCCACGTATGTCACGTTTGTCTCGTCAGTCAACGGCAATTGTTCCGTCTTAGAGGGGTGTTCAAGGAAGAGCACAGATGAAAAAAAGGAGAAAGAAGAGAGCTTGACCACCTTCAGCAAGAGAAACAAGGTATCTGCTACCTTAAGGAAACGAAAAGTGACACTAGAAACGGACCTCGGAGAAAGGAATGATTGGTGAATGACTCGCCCTCGCCAAGGGGTACAAGCGACTGGCGCTACCTTTTGCTGGGGAAAACTGCGAGAACCCGCCCAGGGGTGCGTGCTCTGTGACATAATAACGAAAAAGGGGGGCAAAAGGTTAACAAAAGAGAGATCCAAGAGGCGACAATGGAACAATAAGAGATGCCAAGAACACCAGGATTGTTACAACGGTCGGTCTTCTCCAGAACAAAGGGAGCCGCACTAACGACATCAGGTTAGAGTCTTCCCTTTTACGGTACTTTAAGTGTCTCGACAAGCAGGCTGTCGGGGCCCCTGCGCTACTGTCGAGCTGCGATCCAGATCCTAGGCTATCTTGCCAATGCGCCATCAGTTCCAATGGTGTTAAGGGATGTTCATTTTGAGGCTGGCTCATCATCCTTTGATAACAGCTCTATTACGAATAAAATTTTGAACTCAACCTTTCTAGTTCAAAAAGGCGTTTGAATTGGTTCATATTATGTCTGCAATGCCTCAATATACCAAAACCAAATAGGGATCCCAAGACATCGATAAAAAAACAATATCTCACCACTCTGAAGTCACTCAAGTCCCAGCCCGCATCACTTCTTCCTGACGGCCAATTGAATGCTCATTCGCGAGGTAACCCCCGTTATCCTGGCCTTTCCTGAAGCAGGCGGCAAAGACTGGCTCAATGGCTTGGCCATCTGCCAAGACATCACCCCACTCACCCCACGGCAGATTTCCGGCGTCTTCTAATTGGCTGAACCTCAACAGGGGCCCTGTTGATGCGTTGCGCCTCTTGTTTCGGCCAGGGTTCTGACACACACGCCGCGATTCAAGTTCAGACCCAACCTCCATGGCCGCCGGAACGAGCCTGCACAATGCTGTAATGGCTTCCCGTCTCCATGTCCTGACGGGAGTGCAATGCATCAGTGGGATCAGATCGTATCCATAGGTGCGCTTCCCAATATTCATCCTCAAGGAGACGCAGGCCGTCACGTAGGCCGTCACACGTTCGAGTGAATGGGCTTATGGAGTTTCCGGCAGTTTTCGACCTGACCTGCCCTGCCCTGCCCAGAGTAGCGCAACTACCATTCGACCCGGACTTGGTCTCAACGGGTGCGAGGCAGTCTATGGGTGAACGTTTGCCCGTGTTCGCTTGGCTGGCCGGCCAGTAACGGGAGCGCCCGAGTGCAACATAAGGCGCTTCCCGATGCAGAAGGGGGGATCTTTCTGCAGCCCAAACCAGACCATAGGTCTCTATGCCGTGGTCTTGGGACATGTTCCTGGCAGGACTTCTGTCAAAATTGGCACCAAGTAGGAAGTAGCCAGTATCTGAAGAGACTAATGGCCTGTACTTGATCTACCGTGACAGTTCATGAAATTGGCGTCTGAAGTATGACTTATCACTTTTCCGAGGAATATACTCTATTTTCCTATTCAACTTAAGATGCGATCCGTATCGTCAAAATTTACTTCCTTACTAAACCTCGCCATATCCCTCCGAGCCAACGAGACCAACATCTTAAAAAAATCTAGTTCTTTCTGGCATTCCTACTCTTCAGTGGAATAGCAGCTACGAGCCGCTGCCTACGGAGCCCTATCCTTGAGTGAGCACTTCCAGCTCATACCTTACAGACAGCGTCAAGTACCCCGGCCTTTCCTCGATCTTCAGCCGGGACAAGAAGGGGCCCCATCCCATCCTGCAGATCGATCGCTAATCGTTCGGCTCCGTCGCCCCGGAAGATTACCTAAGGCCCAGATCCAGGTCAGACAATCTAATTCACAAGATCGGGGCGGAGTACGGTCCGGCTCGTGTTAAGAGGGCCCGCTTCGTTGCTGCTATGCCTCGAATTGTGGCCGCGAAGGTGTCCTCGTGGACAGCTTGAGCGACTCTGTCGCTTTAATATTGATCACAGGCGTTTCGAGGACATGACGAGTTCATTGTCACATCTCAGATTGGGTTGAGTGAAACTTTTTGTGCGTACTGCTTCAGGGACTTGTTTTTATCTAGTGTTTACAAGATAACCTCATGCGAGAGGGTCTGCATTTTGAAGGAGCCTCTCGACCTTGCCTGGCCTTCTCCCACTTAGCGCTTAACCTTTCGACCAAGCCAGGCCAGTCACTCTACGAGTTTAGTTCATCGAGCCCCTGTCCATGGCCTTAACGGGTGCCACACGATGCTGGGGCACGACGAGACAGCGTTCTGTCCTACGCCAAACCGAACAGTCACTGGACATTGTGCGGATAACGTATCCAACTTGAGAGTAATGCTCCATGTTCATGATAAGGAAAGGCTAGGTGCAATTTGGTGGGAATACGAAACGCAACACGTAACCGCTGTACTCCAAATGATAGGGATAGTCAGAGATGCATGCAATTCCGCAACCTTTCCGAAGACTTGACTAGGTGATGCAGTGTGATTAGATGCCGGTCGCTCATGATACCTTTACTATCCCCATAACTGCTGCCAATTGACCAACGAACGACAATACGTTCAGGTGTACCTCATGTTCCTCCAAATCAAAGGCTCCCTCCCCAACTGCAGGCCAACAACAGACTGCCCCTAAAATCCCAGTACGGCAGTTGCCCCTACGCAAGGGTCGGTCACGGGCTGGCGCAGGGGATAACAGAACTCAAGTATCGTCGACCATGCAGCCAAATCAACGCACGCACACCTCGTCACCGCTTGGTTAGACCGCGTACTTGCGGGTCCACTCACGAGCCGTCTGCTCGTACTTCGCACGATCCGTCTTGTACACGTGGGCGATCTCAGGGACGAGCGGATCGTCAGGATTCGGGTCCGTAAGCATCGAGCAGATCGACAGCAGGACTGCGAGATGCGTTAAGATACCATTTCGGGAACCTGTCCATGAGGAACACATACCCTTAGATATGGTGAGCGCAGGGCTCCACTGATCACGGAGAATGTCTAGGCAAATGCTGCCATTGGCATTAATGTTGGGATGGTAGATCCTCGTCGTGAAGTGCACTTTTGGCGGCTTGAATGGGTAGTCCGTAGGGAATGTAATCTGAAGGAAGAAGACACCGCCAGCATACGGCGAGTCAGCCTGCGGAAGAGTGTTAGCGTAAGGCCCATTATCAGAATATGCCGTCTCTTGAGGACACTTACAGGACCCATAATTGTGGCCTGCCATTGGAACTACACAAAAATTAGTGTTAGCATGCCGCATCAACTACTGAATCCAACGCGTTTTGCTGCGGAGGACTGCGAAACGAAATATCACAACGGCGGGGTTGCAGGCAGACATACAAGATCATCGCCAGCAGGGCCGGCGGAGCAGGACGACGGCGGGTCACTGGAAAAACTATGTTAGCCCCCAAAATCCATTATTCTGACATCAAAAAAATCATTTCGAGGCGCTCGTAGACGATAATCAGCCTTGGCATTGCTGCTGGGAATCCCTCTCAGTGTGGCCCCACTGCATATGTGTGCAATTGAATGACGGCACCCAAGGCTCCCACCACGTTGATCGGCGTCGACGAGCAAAATGGAATCCAGAATGGCGACATACCGGCCGAGGTCAGCGAGTTCCTTGTTGATGCGCTTCAGAGCCATGTCTGTGTATGTGTGATGGGGATGATGTGGAAAGAAAAGAGGAGTGTCGTCAAGCGGCTGGGTGCTGCTGGATTTGAGGCGTTGTCAGCGTTCCGCTGTAGAAGGGTACAGAATCCGAGTGAACCGGGCACAGAAGTGCGAGCGCAGATAACTGCGAGGAGGCAGAAAATTTCTTTGCAGCGCGCGACGGGATGATTGGAACCGGGGAACTCACCTACAAACAGTGAGTTTTCAGGCACAGTCGAGTTGGATATGGTTGGCAAAAGGGATGATCGAGGAAAGTCAGGAGTGTGTTGGGATCCGAGTTGTCGAAGGTTGCAGGAGGGAAGAGAGCGGGGGAAGAGTGGGCGGGTCGACAAAGGCGGTTTAGGCCCACTCTACGCCCACTCTGCCAAAGGCTGGACAGACCAAGGAATTTTCAGGCAAGCGCGAGCCGCCGGGTCAGGCTTCGATGCCCAATCGCCAATCAGGAAGTGGGATCCTGTTTGCCTGTCCGAGACGCCACCGCAATTCCACCTGATTCACTGCTAACGTGACCGCACTGAGCGCCGGGCTTACAGCTGCTAACGGAGAGGGGCGCAGCAACAGGGCACGGCTGGGCAGCAATGCTGGCTTTGGAATATTATGTACAGCGCTGCGGTTCAGTTAGGATACGAATGTACCATAGTACATGCTGCATGCCTGGATCTTTTTTTTCCAGCCACTCGTTGTGAAGTCTAGGTATTTGTCCCAATCTGCCCGGTTGGTGGTCGGTGAGACCGGAAGCGTGAGGCGCGCGGGTCCGGCGACCTTGGTGATATCAAAGCGGCGGCAGCAAGACTGAAACGGAAGTATAGTCACATGATGACCAGCCAGCCCCCAAAGAAATCAACAGGAACGAGATGGAAAACAATCCGAGAGGATATCTGCACTATCAATAAGAAGCAGCGACATCAATGGACCAGACGGTACGGACTGAGGCACGGAGATGTGCATGCCTGTCTGTCCTCGATCCTACATATGTGTACATGAACCATTACTCCATGTATTTTTTTCTTGACTCTGGTTTGATGCGACCTTGCCGCCATCCGTTGCCGGTGTGTAGATGTCAACGGCCGCCGTTCCATTCATTAAACAATCAACAACGATTGCCCTGAGCCGGCCGAGTCCGACATGCTTTGTCCGAGAGTACAGAGTGTATTTACCTGCATGATCATTGAAACCAAGTTGTTGAGCCATATATACAATGCTGAAGGCATTTGATATCTTAGACAAAAGCCTGAATACCAGTAATGGCTCTGCCCAGGATAAGAGCTTCAAAAAGGGGTATCAAGTCAGCATTCATACCAAAAGTTGTGGCGTTGTGGTACGGGGTACATACTATGGATATCACTCTGCCCCTCATAAGTCTGCGTAACATAAAGGTTGGCCACATGGCGTCCAATATGATACTCATCGCTAACGGCATTGCCGCCAAAGATCTCCTGAAGCACGCGCGCATTCCACAAAGCTCGGTCGCAGTTCTGCCGCTTGATCATGCTAATCATCTCAGGCGTGGCCTTGCCTTCGTCCTTGAGCCGGCCGACCTGGATGGCCGCAAGAACACCGTAAGCAGCATCCGTCGTGGCATCAGCCAATTTCTTCTGCACGAGCTGGTACTTGGCCAGAGGGTTGCCCTTGAACTGCCTGCGCTCGAGGGCGTACGTGCGGGCCCGAGCAATACAGTCCTCGAGAGCGCCCATGACACCGAGGGCGATGCCATATCTGGCACTGTTTAGGCAGGTGAAGGGTCCCTTGAGGCCCTCGACGTCAGGGAACATGTGCTCCTTGGGGACGGGGCAGTCCTCCAGATGAATCATGCCCGTGATTGAGGCGCGCAGGCCAGTCTTGTTCTTGATGGCAGGGGTCTCGAGGGCGCCTGGAGGGCACATGCTCCTGTCAACGAGGAAGCCCCGGATCTTGCCGGTCTCCTGCAGTCTGGCCCAGACGACGAGAACATCCGCGATGGGTGAGTTCGTGATCCAAGTCTTGGATCCCTTGAGGAGGTAGTAGCCCTGCTTGGTGGGATGCTCGCGGGCAGTCGTCTCCATAGAGCCCGGATCACTACCGTGGTTGGGCTCGGTAAGGCCAAAGGCGCCAATGATCTTTCCCTTGGCTAGCTGAGGGAGATACTTCTCCTTCAGCTCCTCAGTGCCAAAGTCATGGATGGCACCCATCACCAGGGAGGACTGAACAGACATGCCGCTGCGGTAGCCGCTGTCCACGCGCTCGACGGCGCGGGTAATCAGGGCACTGGCAACGGTCGATACACCGGCACAACCATATCCCTTGATAGTAGCACCGAGAAGGCCCAGTTCGCCCATCTCTTGCAAAATCTTGGGATCATAGTGCTCATCCCGATAGGCCTCTGTGCCACCAGTGTCAGCTGACTAAGGGTTCGAGAATTCATGACCATGAGTGAATGGACAATATCCTACGCAGGACTCGCGGTGCCAGATGCTCCTGACAGTAGCGCTCAGCCATCTCAGAGATGGCCAGTTCCTCCTCCGTGAGCAAATTCTTTGCATTCAATGGGTCTTCCCAGTTGAACTGGGGAGCCGCCGAAGCAGAGGAAGCATAGCTCCGAGCGCTGTAAGCCGGGCGGGCAAGAAGGGCCCGGCGAGGGAAGTGTCTGCAGAGAAGCCTCGACATGATGATTGCTTGTGAATTGAATCACTTCGAGGAGAGCAGTGGCATTGAGGAGAGACAGGAGGGAGATCCCGGCCTTTCGCCGGAACCACCGATGGACTGAAGTCTATCGGCGTTGGTCCGCGGCAACCCGTGGAGTAACACCCCGCCGCTGCTAGCCGGTTCGGCTGTTCGGGACCGATTAACGCGAGGTCGTGGGTTAGGGTTGATCAAGAGGCTGGTCTCTCTCAACGTCAACACTCACCGTCTTTTTCTTGGGCAGGAACTGCGATACCCGATATTAAAACTCCTGTCAGGTTTTGTGGCCGTTAGAGAGAGATCATTCTTCAAACCGCAGCGTATTACTCGGAAGACAGGCTGCTAAATGAGAACAAGCCATATGCTTTCCACGCAAGCCCCAGGAAACCGTATGGATCTCAATCCAACATGATGAATGCCGTGAAGCCAAACTCTATCCAAATAACAATATTTCTCGTACATTAAAAACACAAAACGGCAAACCGAACCCTTCCCAAATCACCTCCCCGTATCATTCATAGCCACCATCTCATATTCACCGGCGCCATCTCTCCCTCTCCCTCTCCCCCTTCCCCTCGAAAACCCCTGTTCCTCATCACCTCCCATACCCCCATCCCCAACACCATCTCCTCCATCTCCATTCCCTCCAGCCGCTGTTGACGATGCTGCAATGCCGCCACCGCCAAAAGAGAAAGTAGGTTTCAATTCGCGATGGCGGCATCCCCAGGTAGCTATAGCAACGGACACTGCGCTTGCCGCAGCCATGGCCACCCACCACGCTGTATTGCGTGGCAGTTGACCAGAATATATTGTCACGACAACCAGATGGATGGCATGCATGGATAGCGCGAAGTCAAGCACGAGCTTGGAGCGCCCGATTAGGACTACGATGGCGGCGGCCCTGTTGATATGTCAGCCTTAGTTCCGCGACATGTTGGAAAGAGAAACTCGATAAAGTAGGTAGAGTTTACATCAACAAACCCCCATCTAATACCCAAATAAACCCCATCAGCCAGCCCTGCGTTGTATCTCCGCGGACAGCATCCCATCCAAAGATGAGATCTAGACTGAACTTGGTGCCCGCGACCAGCGCGGTGAAGAGGAAGAGGATTAGGGCGGCGAAGTAATAGAGTGATTGGAGGGCGACAATTTGGCTGAAGATGCGCAGCGGCGGGAGCTCGCTAAGGGCGCCGGCGCGCGGGGGCCGCCGGCGACGGGCCATTATGTTGACTTTTCTTGGGTCAGGTGGTTTTGGTTGATAGGGAGTAAGTTGTGTGCGGCTAGTCGCAATGAAGACGGGATGCGCAGAGCCGTGCGAAGGTAAGTAGGTATTGTAGCGTGGTCAAAGATAGCTCGCCCGGAAAGAAGCAGAAGAGGCGGCGTTGTTAATATCCCTGATGTAGAGTTCGTCTTGTTCTGTTCGGGATTTGCGTCAACGGTTAAGGGGCTTCGTCTTCGGTAGTGAGTCGTGAAGTCAAGGTAGGTAACTTGGCGCTTTGTGGTTTGTGTCCAGGTCCGCTGTCGCCTGTGCGGTCGCAAGCGATTTTGCCGTTGTGCGATAAGGACGCCACGTCTAATTGTCGATCTTGAGATACGTTACTGTTGTTGATGTCTCCTGGTTTCACAAGCTCTGTCCAGTCCCGTAAGACAACACCCATCCCCATCTCGAAGCCTCTGACCGTTGCAAGCCTCTAATTACGTAATCTCAGAGAACCCAGGGTCAGCCTATTCGGTGCCCCACTTAGTTGGCTTGGCATTCGCAGATTACGGTGGGGCCGGCTGAAGGTTGCTGCGGAAGATCCCGCATGAGCTTCAACACCAAGCTTCGAAGTTCAAGACAGGCGTCAACGCTCTCAACAGCAGTTTTAAGAAGGGACTCCATATCAATCTCCTACTCAATCACCATTCCATCTAGATCAATTTCAACCCAATCACCATCTCGATTCCAAGAGTCCAGTCCAAACTGCTCAACATGGGCTTATTCGGCCTGTTCCAATCCGAAGAAGACAAGCGGGCGGAAGAGATCCGCAAGGGCACCGTTGCGCCAACGCGTGCTGAGAGACAAAAATGCTGGGCCTCGAGGGACCTCTTCTACGCCTGTCTCGACAAGCATAACATTATTGATCCTATAAAGGATGAGAAGGCTGCTACGAAGAAGTGCTCTTCAGAAAATGCTGCGTTCGAGAGGGATTGCGCGGCTCAATGGGTATGTTACCTGCCAACATCTTGAAGTTTATATTTTCTTTTTTTTTGTTGTGTGTGTGTGTGTGCGCGCGTGTGTTAGAAGATGGAAATGCTGACTTTCATTTTGCGGCCAGGTCACATACTTCAAGAAGTGGAGGGTGCAAGATATCCAGAAGAAGGCCAGGTTGAAGGAACTCGAGGCTCAGGGAGCGTACAAGATGGATGTCCAGACAGAGTTTGCGCCCAAGAAGGATTGAGAGACCATATCATTAGGGGTTGATCTTGAGGCTTGAAATGCGTGATCCTCATGTACAATATAGGACAGCCTGTGTAATGATTCTGTAAAATTAAGGGAATAGGCTTGGGAGTTGTCGGCATGTATGTGGGCATGTATGTGTATTCATCAAATACTACTTGTGTAAACGTCTTGTTTGAGTTACGCACATGCTTGATGCCTTGGGGTCTCGAGACTCACGGTTAAGAGCAATGATATCAGAGGAAATATGCAACTTTTTTCAGTCAACGTCTACAAGGTATCACCATAGCTACATACCCCGCAGGCATAACGACCTATCCGTTTTGCCCAGAGCTGCCCGTCTTGTCTTCCCATCATTCCATTCTTCAACAACCTTCACCAACTTTACCAACTTAACTTCACTCATCCCTGCACCGCGACTCCAACTTAACATGATAGACAATGAAAACACGAAGCGAAATGAAGTCTTCAAAAACGAACGACTCTGCCAACGAATGAATGAATCAAGAAAACGGAGGAGGCACAGTAATGGACATAGAAGTCCAGGTTTTCACAGCATATACCAATTGGCATGTCTGTCTGTCTGTCCATGAGGAAAATCTGATCTAATTTCTAGCTCGCAATCCTGCCACTTCAGTAATCCCTTGCCGGCCTATGTAATGATTATGACAAGGAAACAGGGGGAAAGGTTTCAATCCAAACAACCAAAAAGCGGGAGAGGGAAAAAACGAAAAAAAAAGAATACTGCAGTGTGTGACCACAAAAAATAATAAACAATCGAAAAAAGGAAAAAAAAAAGCGAACAAACCCAACAATAATAACAAAAGAACTTTGCGAGGTGTGGTATGCCATTGAATGTCGCATGGTATCTTCATGTTTCAGGAGACAATGCAGGGTGGAAAAACGCCAGATTTCGTCTTGTACAATCCTCGCCCATAACTCCTTCTTTTCTCTTCTCTCAGTTCTTCTCTATCCTTCTCTCCTTCCTCCCGTCTAGGCCCTGACGCCGGTTCGTGTCGGAGTCTTCTCGTTAGAAATGCCCTGCTTACTCCGGCGACGGCTGTGCAAGGCTCGTCGGCTCGGCACGACCATCTCCAAGAACTTTTCTCTCGTGGACTCCCACGCCTCTCGAGCAAACTTTTCCCGGAGCGCGGCAAGTTTCACGGTTCGTGTTGGTGTTGTAGGAGAGGTATCCCGCGACGAGACCTCATCGTCACCATCACCATCACCACCGACCGGCGTGTCATCTCCTCCCTACGAAACATTCTGCATCCGAGCCGGGGTATCTTGGTGCGGGAGAGGGGGAAGAGCCTTGCCCAAACCATCATTGCCAGAGTAATCGTGCATCTTCAGGGACTTCTCCGATCTCGCGGGCCCTTCACTACCGCTGCCGTTGTTGCCCTCCGCATATCCACTATCGGCGCTTTCAGGCTTTGCCAGCAGCCCGTTGCTGGCATCATTTTTCGGGGGAGTTGGAGGAGGGCGTGACTTGCTGCGCAGGCGAGAAAGCGAAAAGCCAAAGCCGCGTGGTCGGTCATCCCCATCTTTAGCGGAGGTCGACGGTCGACTGTCGCCCTGCTGGCTCGGGTTTCCGGTTGAGGGACCCTCGGCAGCTTCTTCGACTACTGGAAGTATGGTCGGCTCCCGGCCAGAAACGGTAATCGTAGGTGTTGAGGAAACTGTCCTTGCCGTCCGATCCGGCGTGGCGTCGGTCTGTCCTGAGGCCGGAGGAGGAGGAGGAGGAGGAGGAGGAGGATGATAGCTAGGAGCGGGAGGGATGTTCGAAGAAGACTTGCGGCCTAGGCTGCCCCAGCTGGCAGTGCGCTGACGCTCTTTGGCTGCGGCCTCAGCAGCTTGTTGCTCTTCTTGTTGTTGAGCAAGCCTGGCTGCTTCCTCGCGCGACATGGTCACTTTTTCAATAAAGTTGATGAACCGCTCGCCATATTCATATGGCGGAAGAGCGGAAATCTGACTGCGATCACTCGAAAGGCCTTTCCAGAAGTGCTCGAGCTTCTTGACAATGCCGTACTGCAACATATGTAAGTCCGCAATCCAGGCAGGAGCTTCCGGTAGTTCAACTTACATGAGTGAGGCAGTCGATAACACCCAGGTAGTAGATCTCATCTGCGGGGCTGTTGTCCTCGTGCGTCGCGCGGAAACCTCCGTCATCTTGGTTGAAAATGAAACCAGGCCGGCTGTGTCCTTCGTCAAGCTCATCGGGCATCCTGCTGTCCGTTTCGTTCATCGGAACTGGCTTCTCGGACTGAATCATTTGCCGCAACTCTCTCGCCTTGCGCTGATTCTCCAGCTTGGAAGGGGTCCGCATAAGGACGGCATTCGGATCATTATCCTCGGCACTGTTTCCTCCTGGGTTGAAGACACGCAGAGTCTTGTCCCTCAGGTTTTCCTCGTTGCCCCGTTGGAGATCATGAATGCCTATCAGCAAAGAGTAATCCATAATTTGCAATCTTTGCAATAGGCGCACGTCCTTATGGAGCTGTTCAAGAAACAGCTTCTTCTTCTGTATGCCGAGTTCGAGAGTCCTCTTCCGACGCATCCAGTTGATATCCTTCAGCGTCGCCCTCGGATTATTCTCCAAGTCCTCTTCCTTGTACTCCCGACCAACTGTTGACCCTTTCAGATCGAAAGTCTGGTGGATATCCCGATGTGGAGGGAACAGGTTGTTCATGACGACGAAGTGAATCTTCTTGCCGTAGGGCATCTTGACCCGATGAAGGCCGTAGAATTGTGAGAGTAAGGTGTTGGGGTTTTCCTTGACGTGCTGGTAGTAGTCTCTGAGTATCTTGCGGAGGAACTTATGTTCCGCATGATGGATGGTCTTGATGATGTATTTGTAGTCACGGGAAAAATAGAAAAAGCTCCCACTCTTGCCGGGGGATCCCAACTCGGATAAGATGTACTTGCCCGTCAGAGACATGAGGTAGTCCGCGGGATCCAAACGGAAAAGGGCGCGCAGGTGGCGGAAAACCCAGGGAGCGTAGTCCTTAAACTTGAAGTCGTATTTGGCTGACGGGACCAGCTCGTTTCCGGCGATGTCGAATGTCGACTTCTGCTTGACTTCGAAATCTTCGTCGGTAAGGGGGCGATCGACTTTGGCATTGGTTCTTGACACGGCGACGCGGATGCCAGTGAGCATGTTGTACGCTGTCACCCAGTTGGCGTGCGACTCGTCGACCTTGGTGCCGACCAGCACCCTGTCGTCATCCTCGAGCTCTCTTCGCCTCCTCTTGCTGGCCCGCTTCTGCCTCAACGCCTCCGCCCACCGCATGGCATCCTCGTCCGGAATTATCTCATCGCGCGGCCCTTCCGAGTGTAGCGACCGTGTGTTCCTCCTTCCCAGGCTCAATGATGCACGACGAGGGGCAGGGGGAATAGTCGGGGAGAATCGCCCACTGGCATAAGCAGCATCGGCACTGTCCCGTGATGAACGGGATTGAGACACCTTTGGAACCTCCAACGTATGGCGCTGTCTGATCCCTGGTGTCGGAGCAGATTGTAGAGTGCTTGTTGAGCTCGGACCCGGCTCGTAAATAGGGGGTGACGAATAACGATGAGGGGATGTCTTCTGCAGATTTTGGACTTGAGCCGAGCTCGGAGCTTCTAGTCGCGACGTCGAAGGAGTCTCGGCGGGTGCGGTTTCATTTTCGACTGGGCGGCTATCGGCCTTGGTCTCGGGCTGTTGGGGTTGATCTGGCTTGGAATCTGATGAGAGATCGTGGCGTTCATGTTCCATTGACAAGCCGTTCTCCTTTCCTTTGGTCGCCAATCTGGGGATGGTTCGGTCAACCAATGTGTGCATGCTCTTGCCGAGCAGCTGTGACGAAGCCCCGTTGACTCTCGCCCCGTTCACAACCTCATCTTCTCCTCCCTGGACGCAACCATTCGGCTGCGGAATCATGCTCGGCAGATGCAAGCAGTCGTCGGTCGGCCGGCGCTCAAGTTCGACAGACGTGCGCGACGTGTTGGTAGATTTTGTGGAATTAGTAGAGCTCTCACCGAAACTTTCGTGCGATGTGTGCGAGTGCGGCTGGCGAGCATTGGGCCCGTTGAGGCTGAGCTTCCCCTCGTCCAGGCCAAACCGAGCTGGGCTGTCGAGATGGACGACACCAGAAGACTGCGAATCGATTGTCGAGAGGGTGTCCTGCACGAAGGCGGGCATCTCGTGCAGACAAAGATCAACGATAGTTCACTAGGGGCTCTCCGTAGCGACGGTTCGTTTTGGCGGCTATCGGTGTCGGACGCGGTCAGATTTGGAGTGAAGCCGCATGCTCTGGTCGCCCGACAGCACAGTTGCGAATGGTTTGGCCTTGCGACGACAGCAGTGCAGCGGATTGGGAAGAACGGGGTCTGTCAAGGACGTGTTTTGGGTGGTGCCGGTGTCGGTGTCGAGGCCGTTGAGAGGAAGGTTGCCTTTGTTTTGCTATGATCCGTAGGTGGGCGGACGTTCAGCTGATTCTGGAGACGACGGGGATCTTTAGGGGATCCGGACTGCAGCGGACTGGCAAGCAAAAGTGCGTACAGAGAGCAGCCCAGCAGCCAGCAGCCAGCAGCCTGCCCGGGGCGGACTTGGCGATTGGCGCTAGCGTGGCTTGGGTAAGGTGCGTCCCAAGCGCTTCCAATGGCGTCAGTACCTGGGAAAGCTGGGTTGGCGCGCAGTCATCCGCTTGCGCCGATCAAGAAAGGTCGGCATCGCTCTGCAGTTTGCTCGTCCGCAGATGTTTTTCGAGCCTACAAAAAGGCTTCACAACGACACAACGACCCAACGGCGGCAGGACGTGGTAAATGGGGATTGGGCTGGAAACGGGAAAGCTGGAGGCCTGCCTGGTGGATTCGTCGTCGGCTCGTGGTTGGCGAGCAACGAGTTGGAAGGGAGAGAAATTGCATGGAGCAGGGAGCAGCGGCCAGCGGGCGGGCTAGAAGAGGAAGGCCAAGCATGACGGAAGCTCAGACCACCCGCTCCCGCTAACGCAGGGTACATTATGACGGACGGATTGCACGGCGGGAGCGTCTCACAAGCTGAGGTGTGGCGATGCGGATGCGACCCGCATGCGATGATGACAAACACGTGCGGCAGCAACACGCTCACCAGGACAAAACAAGAGCCGGCATTTGACGACATCCTTCTGCATGCTTCTGGATTTGCTGGCCAATCTCCAATTGCGCACATTGTTGCAATACAAGGCGCAGTGTTGACACGACAGAACAGATCTGATCCAATCTGACAGCACAGCTCCGCTCCACACACTTCCAAGAATTTTTCCCCCGCCTCAAAGTATTTTTGTTAGCGGCTGGCAGTACTTGGCCTGTAATAAACCTCATGCTGAGCTGATTTTGGAAGCCCTGTAACGGGCCTGACTGCATCGCTCCTCCATGCTATCCATGCAATCCGGATGGAAAATCAACAGTTTTGACCGGATCACATGTGTTGTACCTGCACATGGAACACTCACTGATAGCTGTACTCTGCCGCTTTGACATCTGACTTTCTTGCTCCCCTCTCTGTGTCCGAGCTTGTTTCCTGTCAATTTGCAATCGAGCTTCGATGCATCGAAGCCGGATTCTACGGAAACCATTTTTGGTTTTCTGGAATGACCAAGGCCAGCAAAAAAAGAAGAAAAAAAAAGCCACTTCTGTTTTGCTGCCGATGGCCTTTCATTTCGCGCCTCTCCTGCATCCCCTGGCTCAAAAAGGGTTTGGACACCGAGATGCTCCACAGCCAAGACGGACCAACGTTGTCCACCCCGAAGCCCCGTCTATCCTCACTTCGACTTTCCCAGATCGAGCAAACACAATGTTTTCCAAAGACATGGAACAGACGTTGGGCACACAAGAAGTCCCTAACGGCTGCCAATTTGAGGCTAAGTTTCTACCTATTTATCTCAACGGTTGATACACGCTGCCTAACTGACAATTGCAGCGACGTAGGTTGGCCTCTACTCTCCAGGATCGCACGAAGCACTAGCAGACTCCGGTCCCCGTCACCCCCATTGATCGGTTGTCCCAAACCCCCGAACCTGAGATTCCTCCATCGCAAAGACTGCCATGATTAAGTTCGCTTGCAAATGAAAACATGGCCAAGTGAAATGCGCATTATGTGAAATAAAACCCTGGGTATTAGACTAAGCAGGTACATTAGGTAGAAAACATGGGGAAAAAAACGCAACCGTGCTTCACTAAAGCACCCAAGACGCCGCGGGCTGCCATGCCATGCCATGCCATTTAATCAAAGTCAACGACACTTCTCAAAGTGTCTAATATCTATCCGTACTCCTTCTGCCACTCATTCACTTCATCCTCTTCTCCGTAATCGCCCTCCCTATAGGCTTGCCCCCAACAAACCCATCATTCGGTCCCCCAAGCTCAAAGATCTTCTGGCCCCTGAGCCACGTCTCGTGCACCCTTCCGCGGAAAGTGTGTCCCTCCCACGGCGAGCAGCGGTTCTTCCAACGCATGTCGGCAGCCCGCAGCGTCCACACATCGGCATCGTCAAAGATGGCAAAGTCGGCATCCATACCGGCCCGGATGCCGCCCTTGCAGTGGGCCAACCCGACCTGCTGGGCCGTCGCTTGGCTGCACATGCGCACGATGTCGACGATGGACGGGGTGATGTCGCCGCGGGCCTCGCGCTCCGCAGCAAACGTGTAAAGGATGGGTAGGCCAAGACCGACGGACGAGACGCCTCCCCAGGCGGCGAAAAAGTCACCCTGGATCTCAACAGGGCCGTCAAGTCTGGCCTTCTCTGCCTCTTCCGCAGCCAGCCTCTCTTCCTCCGGTAGCGTCATGTCAATGCCGGAGTCGCATTGGTGCATGGTTGGCCGGTGACCTGACTGTAAGTGTGGCGGCAGGAGTTTGAGCTCTGGAGTGCATGGCGAATGGTCGGAGACGATGGTCTTGATGCAGCCCTCAGGGTCCGAGATTTCCTCCCACAACCGGTCTTGGTTGACCTGATTGCGAATTGGCGGGCAGCATTTGTGCCTGGTATCGCCGTCCTCGATCTCGTCGGATGAGAACCCGAGGTAGTGGAAGCACGTCTCAGCCGTAATCTTGATACCCTTCTTGCGCGCCTCTCTCAAGATGGGGATGCATTCCATCGCAGAGAGATGGACGATGTGCAGGTGGAGATCAGGAGCGACGTGTGCTATTGAGAGGATTTCTTCGATCGCATATGTTTCGAAGGCCGGTGGGCGCGATAACAGCCATGTGGTGTAGCTGTTCAGCTCTCCACGAGGCCGCAACGGGGGATCCGAAACCTGAACAGAGTCGCCAACTGAGTCGGCGATCGGAGGAATGATCTCGGCATGAAACATGAGTGTGGTAGGTGCGTCCTTGAGCGTCTTCATGGCAAGCTCAATATCGGTTGATGATACTGCAGGAAATTCCGGTACCTATCCCTCCATTAGTGCCTAATCTTTCAACATCTACATTGAGTTGTCTTACCCCTGAGTCGATCAAGAAGCCTTTGAAGCCCCGGACGCCGGCCTCGACAAGTGGAAGCAGCTGGTCTGCGTTCCCCGGGATAACACCACCATAGAAGCCAACATCAACCCAGCATTGCCCCTGACTAGCAGCAAGCTTCGCCTTGAAACCTTCTAGAGTGGTTGTCGGGGGGACAGCATTCAAGGGCATATCAACAACCGTCGTCACACCGCCAGAAGCGGCTGCCCTGGTGCCTGTATAAAAGCCCTCCCATTCTGTCCGGCCAGGCTCGTTAAGATGTACGTGGGCATCAACAAGACCTGGAAGAAGCAGCTTGGGGCTGTAGTCATGATAAACCGTATCCGAAGGGAATGAACTCCGGGGAATAATCTCAGGAATAGCTGAGATAATCTTGCCGGTAGCAGGCGAGACAATAACAGTTGCAGGTGTCAGAAGCAACGAGTCGTCGGGGAGTGTCAAGACAGTTCTGGTCGACACGAGGACTACATGGGGACCCTCTTGGGGAATATCTGGCACAGTCATGGTGAAGAAGGTATAGATATGTAATAATGAGCGAGTTATAAAAGGTAGGCGATGACCACCAAGTTCGAAGGAGAAGCGGTTCCTTTTGTATATGGCGGAGGATAATTGCTTATCTCGGTAGAGCACCGCCGCCTTTCCGAGTCAAGCAAGTTTCCGAGGAGTGAATCCACAGAAATCTGAAAGAACGTCGAAATATTCGAGAAGATAAAGAATCGAATTCTGGAAGCGGTCTTTCTACGCTTTCTATACAGAAGCAACCGAAGCAGGGTCAAAGGCTTCAACGAGAGTTTTACTGTTGGTGGGGAGGGCTGACCCTGAATGTTCCAACACAGAAGCTAACATGCCGAACCTCCCCGCGTCCTCCCCATTCCTTCAAATTGATCCTTTCCATAGACGTCTTTTGGTTGCCATGCCGAGCGCGAGCCGATGCATGATACGGATAGGGGAAATGGGGTTCCGCACCACAAAAGCTGCGGAATACAAAGAACCGCACACCTAGGAGGGTACCTTACATACAGCACGACTGACCTTTACACGAGTTCAGGCGGGATGTTGTGCGTCTATGACCGCCGGTGTAAGTCTCTCGTTCCTGGACAGGTGGGCTTTATCGCATCGCTTTGATTGGCCGCGATAACCCAAATCGGACACAGCCCGGCGCTCTCCGATGAGGGCTGGACCCACAGATAAGCGAAAAAAAAGACCGCCAGCGGAGCCCAGGTCCGGCGCCGTCCAATCACCACATTGGACAGCACAGCCGAAGGCTTCCTCGACACTTCCCTGGCCTTGCACGCCAGATGCCCCGCTACTGCCCTTTCGGACTGCCATCTAAGGATAGTATTGAGCGGCTTGGGAGTTTTGATCGAGTAAGATCTCGATTGTCCAACCATTCCGATTCGCCACGGTGCGCTCGGTGATGCAAAATCGACCTTCACCCGAAGGTCTGGGCTCCAGGCCTCATGTGACGCAGCTTCGACTAGCAGGAAGTCTTTATCCTGGAGCTGACTCATGGTGAGGGCAAATTGAGGCAGAATCTTCCGCGGAAACCGCAGCAAAAAAGATTGGACGTAATGTGTGGTGTGTGTCAGGTAGGAACGCTTCATGCAGATATCTACAGCGCGATCATCTGGCCTAGAATGCCATAGAATATGTCTGCAAGCGGGGATTCTGAGAAGGATACCCTCAGTTTTTTGTCCATCCTCGAGGTCAACGGCCACATATAGGAATGACATTCCGATAAAGTTTGACATGCTGGTGCTATGTGGGATAGGTTCGTCCTAAACCCCGGGGCAGCGGGCCCATCATATGACATCCGCAGCATCGGGGAGGCCGGAGGACATTGTGGGGTGCAGAGTCTTCGCTCTTCATGCGGAACCCGCCCGGTCGTCGGTGGCCGAATCCAACGCCCCACTTCGCTGGCCGATGTCTTCCGGGTGATTGTGGATCTCATGGCTCTTCATGTCACGGAGTCTCCGGGTTCTATCTCAGGGTGGGTGCTCTAGTTGGTTCACTGTTCGTTTAAATTCCGCGAAGGTCCAGCCGCTGATAGTATGCAGATTCTTAACCCGTGATTTGCCGGTGAGCATCGAGCGGGAAGAATCTTGATTGAACAGTTAAAGAGCGTCGAGTGTCATAGGGGTTGACTGGTACACGGCAACCAAACAAGATTTTGTGTGGTGTCAATCATTTAACATGGGTGGAGAGAGTCGTGATCCCATGCCTATACACTAGACAAGTGTATCAACTATGTACCAAATAGCTTGGACAACCAGCCACCCCATAGAAACTGACATCCAGTGAATGAAGGGGTGACGCACGTCGACTATTCCGGCGTTGGTATCAAGTAACAACTGTCATCATCGCGGCCCATTACCATCCATACGTTTGTATGTCCTGACCTTGAGACTCGAACTATCAATCATTGGCCATAATGTGAATGGAGTGTGGCATGCCATAAGGTGCAGATTGAAACCAGAACATGTACAAAGAACCATCCAGGTTGTGTAGGTATCCGCATAAAATTCCAAACCAACCTGTTGGCCTAGTTGAGTTGAATTTGAACCATGACACCTCGCCATCCTCAAGCGCCAGTTAATGCATAAAATACATAACCATCGTACATATCGCAGCCCTCTCCAAGATAAAGTGTTGCCCAGGATGTGAAATGAAATGTACACCAGCCAACATTCTCTGGCTGTCCCGCTCTATATGTACCACTCCCATGACATGAGCTGTAACCCGCTTTGTACGCCCAATGATCGTTGCGTCAACATAGTGCAAAAATCGGATGGGTGATATTGAGTTAGGCTTTTCATTTCTTTCGGTTCAAGGTCTTAACAGCCATCTCGATGAGGCCATCTTTGGCCTCGCTGGCCGGGAAGTCCTTAATAGCATCAATGGCTTTCTCGGCATAATCTTGGGCAAGAGCACGTGTTTGCTCAATGCCATCGCTCTTCATCACCAATTCCCGCGCCTGCAATTAACTTCGTCAGCATCTACGGTTTAGCCACATTTTGAAGGGAAACGTACCAGTTCCACATCACCAGGCTGAGAGAACTTTCTCCCGACCAGAGCACCAAGCTCTGGGTTGGTCTTCCAAGCAAACAATAACGGAGCCGTCGCCAGACCCAACTCAAGGTCCGCACCCGCAGGCTTGCCCAACTCCTTTTCACTCCGAGTGTAGTCGAGCATATCGTCAACAAGCTGGAACGCTAACCCAAGGTTCCGGCCATAGTTGTATGCTGCATCAACTGTCGCGGCGTCGGCACCGCCCAGGAGAGCCGCCGCACGACAGCTCTTGCTGATGAGAGATGCCGTCTTGAGGTACGTCTTCTTGAGGTAATAGGTGAGAGCCTCCTCCGACCACTGGGGGTTCGCCTCATCCCGCGCTGTGTTCTTGAGCTGCATGAACTCGCCTTCGACAAGGTTCGCGATGACAGTTGCCAGCAGCTCAATGACCTCGGCATGCCTCAGGCGAGCGAGCGCAACAGAGGCCCTGCCAAGAAGGAAATCGCCGGCCAGAACAGCCATCTTGTTTCCAAACTCAAGGTTTGCAGACGGCGCTCCACGCCTTGACTCTGAATGGTCAATCACATCATCGTGAAGCAGGGAAGCTGTGTGGATCAACTCGGTGATCTCAGCTAGCCTGCGCTGGGAGGGCAAGATGTCGGGATAAGCGCTGACAGGCTCATTCTCAGCGCCGGCTGATGGGTTGTAGTCCGACAGGACCGAGACTGGAGAGATAGAAGTGTTGATGGCAGAAGAAGCCTGGATAGTCGCTTGTTGGCGCTCCGGAGCCTTGGGGCAGAGGGATGTTGCGCGCGACATCAACAGTACTATTAACGGCCGGATGTGCTTTCCTTCAGCTTGTGTGTAGTATTTCGCGGCGCGGTCTAACGAAGGGTGGCCAGAGCCGAGAAGCTTTCTGATATTGCCGGTCAGGAACTTCATCTCCTTGGCCACAATTCGGAGGGGATCAATGGTGGGCATGTCGCCCTTGGTCGCTCGAGTGATCGCATTAGAGACGATGTTGCCGGCGACAGACACAGCAGCCGCCCATGCCGATGGTCTTGGTCTCCCATCGTGGAAGAGAGCTCTAGGCTGTCGTATCCGAAGGCATGCTGAACATGAGGAAAGATCTGATAACCGAGGGAATCGTGTGACTCGTCTGGCCCCGCGAAGCGCAACGGCGCCTGTTCCTAGCGGCATCTCTTCACACGTTCTCCTCGGGAAGAGCCAATTGAGTGCCAAGCGTCCCAGTTGGTCGTCTACCGCATCTGCGACGGTGTTGAGAAGTGATTTCGTCGGTGGCGCGCAAATCCGGGGTCCTGACACACGGGTTCCTCCCCTCCAGAGCGGGTCCCGAAAACTTCCTTTGCCGACAATTTTTTGGATAAGTAGCGCAACTGTGGCTGAGAAATGTGGCTCAGGGACCGTATTTTCCCCACACTTCTCTCTGAAGCGGAGCCGCCCCGCTCTCTTGGCGTGTGGTTGTGGGACCAGTCCAGGCCCTAAACCGGTGCTCTGGAATTTGGGCTGGCCTTGGGCCTGAGGTTGGATTGATGGGTCCAGCATCTGCCTGCATGATGCGACAACCAACAATCCGATCCCCAACATCACGACTTGGTCCGAGATGGTCTTGCTGACGATGACCCCTTCCATTGTGGAAGGATTGCAACTGCTGGCCCAAGGTATCCCAGAAGCAGAGCTGCTTCTATTATGTCAGCAAGAACCCTCATTAGAGCAGCCAGCTGTTGGCAATCCCATTTCGCATACCCAGGTCTCCGATATTTGGAGAGCCCTGAAGGCGGCGGGCCATGAGGGCTACACTCTCGAAAGTCTTCTTAAGGGATCACAGGTTTACGTACCACCGCCACCGCCGAAGCCAGAGCCGGTCAGTGAATATTAGCCCTGTCTCCCAGTTCCTGTCTTTGCGTCGCGCCGTCATTGTCTCGTGCTGACATGGTGCAGTCGGAAGAATACAAGGCACTTATGGCCCGTCTGCGCCGCGAACAAGAGGAACGAGAGTACCAACAGATGATCAACCCACAACCTCGTCTCGAGTCGTTTTCTCAGCGTTTCCCGAATGCCCCAGCTCTCCAACAAAGCTTTGCGGCAGTCAACAAGCCCACTCGAGCGGATGACGTCGGCGATGATGATGTCACCTTCAATGACGTCCACCGCCAACTGATGCTCATCCTCAACTTCATAGTTAGCATCTTCGGTGTCGCTGCGAGTCTCTGGATCTTGGCCAGGTGGTGGAGCACCCCTGCCAGGCTTTTCCTGACGCTTGGAGGGAGCATTCTGGTTGGTATCGCAGAAGTTGCCTTATATTTAGGTTATATCTGGCATCTTGGCCAAGAGAAGAAGAAAGAAGCAAAGGAAAAAGAAGTGAAAGAAGTCGTCCAGACCTGGACGGTCGGCCCTCATGATGCAGACAAACTTGTCGAAGTCAGCAGCTCGACCAAAGAACCAACAGAGACTTCAGCTCTCCGTAGACGCAAGAGCAAAGTTAACGAATAATAAGTCCGGTATTACGATCTTTGATACCTGACATGGGAAAGTCATTGGACACAGGATGAAACTTCGGTAAGAGACATGCTGTGGAACCGAACGAAGGATAAATGCCGATGTGAAATTTCGGATAGATTGAGAGCTGCGAACAAACCAGTTGTTAGAAGGCAGCGCTCATGACAAGGGTGGGAATTGGTTGCAGCATAGCCGGTGGGGGTTGCTTGCTTGTGCGACGTCATCGCGCGGACCCTTGTGTTCGACTGCGGGCCCGCCGCGTCTGCGACGCGCGACACGAAAAACGCGTCTTCTGTCCCTCGTGCTTCTAGGCAATTTGCTGCGCACCCTGATCTTCTATCCCATTTTTGAATTGGCGTTATATGCTTATCTGGTCCCTGCGATTGTGATCTATCCATCCTTCGGAATAATACGTTCCTCGATTGTTTTTTTTCCCATCAGCCACCATCAACTACCATCGGCTTACGTTCTGCGTCTTCTGGCATTGTTTTGTTTTCCCTACCGATTTTCTTCGAGTCAACTTTTGTGCTTAACAATACCCGCAAACCTTCGCAACCATGTCTCTAAACACATCGACGCTCTCGGAGATTTCCGCAGTCACAGAGAGCTCAACGCCTCAAGTGCGCAAACGGCCGCTGCGGACTTATAGTCGACGATCTGCGGAGACCTTTAACCCAAAGTCCAAAGTGCAGAACGATGCGCCACGCGTTGACACTAAGGCCAACCCTCGTGCCAAATCAGAAACGACGTCAACACCGTCTCCCAAGAAGGAAGACCAAGAGAAGCAGAGTCGAGGCTCCATTTTAGCATACTTCAAACCCGTCCCTCTTCGAACCGAGAAGATAACCTCCAAGAGGCAATCAGAGGGAATAGAACGTCTAGATACACCGCCATCTTCACCACCGTCACTTCCCAGTACGAGGAAGCGAAGGAGACTGACTACACGACCTCAATACCTATATGACGATCAATTCGCGAAAGATACCTACGAGCAAGATACCGAGGAGAATAATAAAGAGGCCAAAACTTTCACACCCACATGCAAACGCAGTCCGTCAGTAGAATCCACAATCGTCGTCGCCTTGGACGAAGTGCCGGCGAACGTGGTCTCAGCCTCTCGTCTATCAGCCGCAACGAGCACAAAATCTGGAAGTGGGGGGTCTCGACCACCTCAACGAAAACGTTCGGCACGTGAGATGACACAAACGACGCTTAATCTCTCCATACACAAGGAGCCTGGGTTTACGATTTGTAGCGTTTGCGACCTGCTCTACAATCCGTTGAACGAGAAGGATAGGAAGGAACATAAACGACTGCATGCGGCGTTTCTAAGGAATAAACCGCAATCTTCTTCGGTTGAGTTGCCTTGACGGAAATGTCATTAATGGAATCGATATCAAGTACATATGGGACGTGTTGTAGACAAGTCGTGGAGACGTTGAACGACCAGGACGGTGTCCCGCTTGGCGCTCCTCAAAGAGTGATTTGCTCACATCCCCGCGACCCCAGGGCAACCATGACATCATACCTGCCATCCTCGGGCACTAAATGTACCAAACCCTGAAGAGTTGGTCTTCATGGAGCCATCTTTTCTCCAATAATTACTGATTCCTGGCGTCTCCATGGTTCATCAACATAGCGATCATTGCGAGCTTCCGGAGCATCACCGGGTCAACAGGTAGAATCAATGAATACCCTTCGCTCAAACTGTTCCCTAACATTCCGTGTAGACCGGGTGCATGGTTACCAGCGGACAGCCGGGTCCATCATGAGTGGCTTCGTCGCTGCATTGAGCAAGCTGACCGCTCCGGTGAAAAGGAGTTAGCTCCTCCATTGCAGGAGTTCAAGACGCTGATCGAAACCAACCCCCGGATCTACATGTATTTCACTGCCATGTGGGACGAAGTCCCTCATGATGTTGAATACTCGCGCGATCCAGCGGGTCGTCCTCAGGTCAGAGACTATCGCCACATGCTTCAAGTATTGAACCATGTTTATGGGGGTGCGCCTGAATGGTCAGTGGTTATCATGGGCCTTGTTGGAAGTGATAGTGCTGACTTACGTGTGTAGGACGGATGCTGCAGCGAGCGTTGGTGTCGTCGGTGTTCCCATGGTTGTCATCTTTGACTATGCCATGGGAACTCCAAGTGGGCATGCGGCCTTTTTGGATCCTGATGTTAACATGTTCCTGAAGAAACTCCTCAACCAGTGGGGTGAGCACCTCAAGGTTGGTGACATATTGATAAGACCCGGCCTGCAAGGCTAATATACGGCCAGAGTCCCGAGTCCGCAAAGGTCCTCGGCGATCATCACACAGGATGGTTCGGAAAAGTGGGTTATAGCGATCTCATGGAGGTTGCTAATGCTCCTCTCCAGACAACCATGAAGTTCGAGGATATGTACGTCTGTGATCCAACAAAACAATACTACGGCTTCAAATCCTGGGATGGTAGGAGCAGCCCACTTCAGCCATAATCACCCCTTGATGAACTAATTCTCCCTCAAGACTTCTTCACCCGCAAAGTCCATGACTCTGCTCGCCCTGTTGCCTACCCAGATGACCACAGCATCATCGTCAACGCATGCGAATCCCGCCCTTACAACCTCACCCACGACGCCAAGCTCCGCGACAAATTCTGGATCAAAGGCCAGCCCTACTCCATTAGCGACATGCTCGGCCATGACGCCCTAGCCCAGCACTTCACCGGCGGAGCGACAGTCTACCAAGCTTTCCTCTCCGCCCTATCCTACCACCGCTGGCATGCCCCGGTATCCGGGACCGTCAAGCGCTGTTTCGTGCGCGACGGGACGTACTTCAGCAAACCACTTTTTCAGTGGTCGGCCGAGAGGCCCGGGGCGGGGGCGATGATCAATAAGGTTAGTAAGGAGGGACTGGGTCCGGCGCAGGGGTATATCTCTGCCATGGCGACACGTGCTGTTATCTTTCTTGAGGCTGAGAATCCGGGTATTGGGTTGATCGCGTTTATTGGGATCGGGATGGATGAGGTTAGTTCGTGTGAGATTACGGTAAGGGAGGGGCAAAAGGTGAGGAAGGGGGATGAGATTGGGATGTTTCATTATGGGGGGTCGTCGTGGTGTTTGGTATTGCGGAAGGGGGTTAGGGTAGAAGGGTTTCCGGATGTGGAGAGGACGGTGAATGTGCCGGTTAGGGGACGGCTCGCAGTTGTGAAGGCTGAGGAAGGGGAGTTCTGAATCGAGATGTCGGAATTTTGTGTTTTCATCCCGGTCCTGATCCTTGGTGCGACGACGATTATTTGTCTATCTATCAATAGTATTAAGAATAATTACCGTTATGTCTCTGCTCGGCCGAAGGCTGACAATCTGGGAGCTGTGTTACACGAGGTTTACCAAGATTCTTTCCCGTTACCCGTGGACGCCTGTAACGATCACACTCAACCTTCCTTCCAGACGTTGTCCCCGTGCTGTCCACAATATATTCAGCTCTCCACCGCGTAAAACCAGGATGTGAGTCAAAACAACCATCATAGATAGCGCCATCAGTGATACAATCTCTAACCAAGTTCTCCTCAGCCCTAATGCACGTAAGACAGCCTATGTCCCTCGACTTAATGGAACTTTACAGGGGTTACAGATGATCAAAGATTTAAGCTTTATTTATTTCCCCTACCGACTCAAAGCTCAAATCTTCGAAGTCGGTGTGACAGGACCTCACTGGCTCATCTTTCTGCACTTCACTCTTTTTGGAGAAAAACCATCAAAACTGATTGGTGATGACCCCGCCCAGTGGCGGTAGTGAGACCATTCAGCCAGTTAGGCGTCAGGTAGTTAACACAAAGATTGGGCAGTGTCAAGCTGACGGGATTGACGAGCGGGTATGTGGGCGGGTTAATCTACTCCCGAAGCAGTCCCAAGTATGAGTGTGACTTTGACAAATCCTATCTTGCTTGGCTCAGGCACTGGGAGGAACTTCCATGTTTTTATAGAATAAGGGCTATCAGCTGACTTCACCACGGACAAAAAATTGGAGAAGACAAGGCTATCGCTTCTGCTTCTACAGCTTTCTCTCAAGAAAAGGCAATCTTAACCCCCACGTATCGATGACAGGATGACGAGCCCACCAAGCTGAGGGGAGCTATTACCACTGCCCCGGTTTGCGGGAAAGGGACAAGTGACAAGCACGCGGTAGGGCAGGATTTGAACCAGGGTTATGCAATGTCGTACACCTCGAGGCTTGCTTGGTGTAACAGCACGATAAATCCTGAGTGACAGAAGCTACATCGGGAGGTGGAAAGAGCGTTGCACCGCAGGCTGTCGGGGGAATAGCATTTCGGAGAACTCATGCCTTGGTTGAGTCTTATTCTATAACGAGCCGGTTTCTTTGGCATGACAGGTCGCAAGGTATGATGAGGAGTGCGACTCTCCTGCCAGGACAACATCTGCATACATCGGCCGTTGAAGTTGGGGTCTAGGAGGATTCAACTACCGGTAGAGCGTTGACAAACAGGGCAATCTCGTCCTGTATAGGTTGTCCTGAGTCGTCCTTGTGCAGAAATCGCCACACTACGATTCAGTTCACCACCGATATCGCGCCATAGTATTTCCTCCGACATGGCCCTCGAGGAAGGGGCGGGGTAAGGCATCAATTGCTAATTGGCCTCTTAGAGCAAGGAGGCAATCGCAGGTCGCGGTTGGAGGTAAATGTGTGGTGAGCTGGCGAGTTTCGATTTACCTACGGACAGCTACATGCGTTATGTAGATGCATGCATGAAAGCTGCAACGGCATCTGTTATGGATCTGAAGGCTGGCAAGTAACTGGCGCAACGGGCTGCTTGGCTTGCCAGTCAAACGTTAGGGCTCAAAGGCTTTGAGCATAGGAGATTGTGCCAGTTGCAACTCTGTTTACATAGGTGTGTAAAGCATGAGGATGTCGTCATGATCTCAACCGCTACATGGCACATGAGCTCGGCAAGATTATAAAGCCTAGTGCGTGAATTGTCATTTCTCTCCTGCCTATCATTGATTGCCAGCGTTATCTTGTCGTTTGTGGCTCTGTGGCTACGCTTCGGTCTGGCAACGGGAGCTCCGGCTGGCATGGGTTTATCCGAAGCAAACTGGGAGAGATATTTTGTACTCGTCTTCATACATTTTGCACGAGCCTCTTACATCCGTAACGGTTAAGGCTCTGTATCTGTGATATCGTAATGTTGCATTGGGCAGCCTAGGTCCAGCTGCTCTCCGCTCGCCAAATATCTCTCTCTCTGCCGTGAATTGGGTCGTAGCTGCGAACGGGAAAAGTTGGAAGCGAGCACAAACTATAGTCTCTACGATTTGGCAATTAAAAGGTGAGGTGGGAATGTTGCGACATGGAGTATCAATGAGGAGTTTGGGAAAACGGCCTGGTATATACCTACCTCTCGGTACGGTACCTAAGGGCTTAAAGTATCAATCTGAAGGGAAGATTCCTGGAGGAGAAGTAAGGGTTGGCGCTTCATCTCACCGTTTGCATAATCGAGACATCTCTACTGCAGTGTGGGGGTTTATCGAGACTGCCTAATCCCCGACAGTATGTCTCTGACGTGCGAGATGTAGCAATCTTGTTGAACTTGTCATACGAGACCCCAGGAGATACAGCCTTCTTGAGAAACTTGGGACATAATAGTCCAGATTGTTTGCCTAGAAGTTCAACCACGAAATAATGAAAGTCAAGGAAATGAATACCTGATCCAGCAATGGGTGCTCACGGCTCCTGAAAATGGTGCTGTGCTCAAGTGCGGCCAGCCAACTTGCCCCGGAAGGCAGCGATATCCAATATGGACAGCTGCGTGCCGCTGTCCGAGCGGAATCTCGGTAGACATGCATAGTTTCCCTGCCGTATCTCACCATCTTGGAGGAGGACGCTCGACGGTTGGGCAGGCATGCACCCCACACAATCGGTCACAGACGTCGATTGGAGGGCGTGGGTTGAGCCATGGAAGGCCCACAGTAGCTGGTTTTCCAAGCCTTCCCTGTGAGCAAATTGGGTTCGAAAGCTTTCTTGCAGCTTTGCACTTTTCGGGGACATGGCACGGCCTATACGGATCTCCCCGCGCTCTAGTGTCATTGGTCTAAAACAAAGAAGCTGGCCGGGTTTCAGGTGTGACACAGCAGTGCAGCTCCCTATCACATCAAGCCATTCATGAAGGCCTACTTCCCGAAACTTGACAAGGCTGAAGGACACTAGCCTGGGCTCAACATGCTAGCGGTGCCTATTGTGAGCGTCCTTCGTTAATCATCAATGTCAACCAAATGGGGAATAGGATGTTCATCCGGGAGAGACACTTCGTCCATTCCAAGTGACCTGAACCGAGGCCATAAAAGATGTCGGGATAATGTCCGTAAGCCGGCAATTTTGCGAGGAAAACCTCTTTGTTGATGTAGTACTGTACCTAGATGACATTGATTAACTGTAATCTAGAACTCTGCAGAAGACCCGCTCAGCTAGCAACGCAGTTCCTGGCGTTGGTTGCAGCGGGCGGGGTAGTCCTTGGTCCTATCGAGGCCCATCGCGACAGCTGATGAAAACACTGGTCGACGAGGCAGCCCGGCAGCCGGAGTCTCTCAGTTGAGCCAAGCCCGTGCGGGGCTAGCAGCTGCAAGCCCCGCCTAGCTGTGTGCTGTGTGCTGCAGTGTGCTATGAGGTTCAGCGGATAGGCCTCCACTATGACCGTTTCGTCCAGAACACTACAGATCCCCACCGAGGAATGCGCCAGGCCTCAACCTGGATTATCCAGATGTTGAGTGGGATCTTGTTCCCTCTGCCCCGCCCTTCCTCGAGATCCCCCTCCAGACTCTGTGGGTGACCTCGTGCCTATGAATCACAACGATAAGAATAGGGATCTCGAGGCGTCCGTCTCCTTTCTGTTCCTGCTATCAAGTCATAGTATATCCCCTCATCTTCCATCCCTATATTCCCACCTTACCTGTAGCAAAAGCTACCCCTCCACGTCAACGTGGAAAGAGAAATAGTCGCCCTCCCGACCAAGGGCCTCTCTGTTGGTCCAGATCTGGCCAGCTCTCAGGACTGTCGAGTGACGACCTCGGGAGCTTGTGGGGTTCCTGCGAGACCTGTGCGGATTAGGATCGGTACGTTCAGTGCAGGTTGCAGTAGTGCCGTTCTGCAAGAGACCCCAGGCTGTAATCTTTGCCAGTGCCTTCTAGGGATGGTTTGCCCAGCTCAGCTCAGAGTACGTACCATGGTGCCTACACAATCAGCAGAAACGATGGGTTCGCTCGAACCCATCCATCCATTTCAGCTTCAGGCTTTTGTTTCTTGTTTCCAGTCCGATCACAGTCAACGCAAACTTCTCATCAAGAGTCTGGGCCTGACCTTAATTACATTGATTATGGAATCCTTCAGTCACTTCGGCCACCAGGACGCTCTGGCTTACTGACGCCGAGTGGCATGGTCTGAAGACGCGGAGAGCAGAGATCTGCTATATCTTAGCTTTTTAGCGGGGTTTGATTTCCCAGCACCTCCAGTCTTCTGTGTCGCTTCTGGCTTCTTTCCATCGCTTCCTCACCTTTGCATATCTACGACCTGCAACAGTGATTTATCTGATCGACATTTCCAGCCAACCACCTTGGCAGAAGGCAGAGTTACGCAAAGCCTCTTAAGGAACCCTGACGAGGCACTTGCGCTCCAGTTTAAAGTTTACAGAGCCCCATTTCTTAAACTTTCAGCCCATCAAGCCCCTTCACGCCCACCCTGTAATCATCTTTCGCCAGCAAGATTCGAGAGAGGAACTAAGCGTTCGTTCCTTGATCGACTTCTCCACCTAGACGAGCTCAGATTGGTATGGTCACGACATTAACAAACCATGGACTTTCATCTTCCCCTCGTAACAAGCGACGGGGAGCTGCGGTGGCCAGGAGGTAGCCGGAGAACGAACTCAGGCGGCGCTCAGTCACTTTCACTTTCTCTGCCAACTCCCTGGCTGCCTTCCTTTTCGTCTGGCTCCAGGTCTTTGTCGATATCAACAGGCTCAGCCTTCGTACAGGCTGGTCAGCTTTCACCTATCAGCAATGGAGTCGGCACTGAGATACCATGCTCAGCCAGAAGCTCGACTTCTCATATCACTTCCTCGTCGCAGTCTCCTTCCTCAGCCAAAGCAGACCCATTACCGTCGGCCAATCGTACCAGGTCTTGGACAATTGAGTGCTCCAGCTCTGAGGCCGACACATCGGATCATCAACCTGAGACCCAGACCCACAGCATACATGACGATCAGCGGGATATCTCTCGTCGTGCCGGCTGGGTGCAGTCCTCATCTTATCAGTCGCTAGCAGTTCCAAAGGCTGAGCCATCAGATGAAGATGACATTATGAGTGACCTCCAACAAGCTCCTGCGAGGCGTATTTCAGAAACATCCTCTGCCGACAGCCAAGTGGGACAGGAGCAGCAACAGTCAAAGCGGCCGCGTGGGCGTCCAAGAAAACATCCACTTGCGCCGACGCTCCCCCCGACTAATAAAGTGACCAAGGGACGGTCAAAGACAGGGTGTCTGACTTGCCGCAAACGCAAAAAGAAGTGTGACGAGGCAAAGCCGAGATGTAAGCTTATCAGTTGCTGCGATCTGACCTTTCTCTGACTTCTGTACCAGGCATGAACTGCGAGAAGAACGCGGTTGTCTGCGAAGGATATCCAGAAAAACAACTATGGAAGAGTGGAAAAGAAAGGGCCGAAGAAGGTACGATTGTGTTCTGTTCTCTCAGCCGCGTTGTATGGCAGGGGGTGTTGACTCTTCAATCAGAACGTATGAGGTCTCGCAATCTTCCGCCCATCACAATGCAGCCCTTATTCCCAGGATTAGAGACCGTTGAAGACATGATCTTCTGGAGACATTACAATGAACACCTCAGCACGGTTTTAACGGTTGAGGGAGAGCACAGAAACGCCTTCAAGGACATTATGGTACCAATCGCCGTCAGACACCAGGGCTTGATGCATTCAATCCTTTCCCTGGCCAGTAAACATCTCGATTTTGACACACCGTATGGTATCAACTTGCTCAAAAACAACCCAACAACATCCCGAGAAGCCTTGAGAGAACGGTCGATCTACCACCACGAACAAGCAAGGCAAAAGTTTTACGAGGATATTGAGTCTACCAACGGGAAACCGTCAATCGACGACAAAACTCTCATTTCTGCCCGCTATGGCCAAATGCTCTGTTTCTTGCTCGAGGCCCTCGCAGAAGGCAGCCCTCGCGGCGAGCACAGACTACACTTAAATGCGTATCGCAGCCTGATATCTACATCTCCTCCAGAGGACCCAGCATTCCTCTCGTTCATATCAGAATTCTTCCAGTATCACATCTACGCCGATGAGCTCATCCATACTGCCCTGGCCGGGGATAATAACTGGCCGCCGAAGCGCCCGCCACCTGTCTTGGACATCCATCCCCCAAGACTCCTTGGTGTTGCAGACGGCATGTTGGAGTGCCTTTCCGAAATTACTGCTATCCGAAATTCGATCCGTGCCAACATGCTCGCAGAAGAAGATCCAGTCGTTGACTACGAAAAGCTGTACAGAGCCACACAAATCGACGCCAAAATCCGTGAATGGGTCAGCGATTGGCCTTCGGGCGACAATCGCAACCGTGTCACAGCGATCTACCAACAAATGCTGTGGATCTACCTCGTCCGCACAGTCTACCCGCCCTCTTCGTCCCCTCCCCCATCCCTCCCATCCTCCACAACATCCTCAGCTATGAGATATGGCTCCCCTTCCCACAGCCGGCCGACCTCTTCCGTCGTCAACACCCCGCCCCAGTCGGCCTCCACAAGCTGTGCCTCTTCCCCGAGACTCGCTGCCTCCAACCCCATGCATGACGATAAAGAACCCACGCCTGCTCGCACTTACTCGCAACATCCTGGGGGAAGAACAGCCGACTCTCCGCCCCCCACCCGCCACCCCGTCCACCACGACCCGCGCATCACCCAAGCCGTGGATGAAGCCCTCTCCCTGTTGGAAGAATTTAAGCCCAGCGACCCCTGCCAGACCCTGCTCTTACTGCCCTGCTTCCTGATCGGAACAGCGGCTTTTTCCACGACCCAGCAGAGGCGCATACGCGGAGTGATTCGCAATGTGCGTGGGTACACAGGGCTGAGGAACGCGGACAGGGTGATGGAGGTGTTGGAGGAGATCTGGAGGTTGATGGAGATGGGGCAGTGGGCGGCTGTGTGGGATTGGCCGGGCGTGGCGAGGAGGTTGGGGTTGGATTTCATCCCTGCGTGAGCAGGAAGTGAGAGGGGGAGGGGGCGGGGAGTTTTAAGCTGGGCTGTAGTGTCGATTCGAGCATTCCTTAACGCGCAGCGCTGTGATGAGTGTGGACTTTCGCTACCCTGTTTTGGATGGGGTATAGCGATTAGTTCACTGTGACGGATTGCCGTTCGCTTGTAACATTAGACAGTCTTTTGGGTATATCTAGCATTCACTTTACAGGCACTGTTTCATGGGTCTTGGTGGAGTCGAGGAAGAAATGGTATGCTTTGAATACGGGAGCAAGCAAACTTCAACTTGCCTGCTCATGGCATTGTCGAGAAGGGAGTAGAGATCGGGAACGGCGCGTTCAGGTTTTTACAAAAAAAAAAAAAAAAAAAAAAAAAAGAAAGAGAGAGAGAAACTCGATTGGGTTTGTATGTACAAGTCACACGGGTGTGTTCATGTCTCACGCAATCGCTACCAAAGGAGGAAGTTTAGGAGATAAGAGTGCGTTTGGTTGAGAGCTTTTGGGTTATGTAATGAGTGTTGTTCCAGGATTGAATACAAATCCCGGTGTTTTTTTTTAAAGCCATCTCTGCTCTCCGCCTATTCTGTTCAAATACCTAGGTGCTTGACGAAACTTCTCTATCAATATGATCAGTATGCCAATCCCTGATCACGCAAGAGCCGGGAAGAAGGTTGGATTCAACAAATTCCTAAAGAGCCAACATAAACATGCTATGAACATTACCCGTACATATTTACAAAACCATATTTTGTCAAGTTGACGAGGTAGATGGCAAACCAAAAAAAAAGAAAAGAAAAAAAGAAAAAAACATCAAACTTTCCAAGATAACAACAGCAAAACTAAGAACAAACGCAAGAAATCAATCATCCTTCTCATCCTCCTCCTTCCTAATAGAAACATCTACACCCCCAGGAACCTTCCTAATCTCATACTTCGCCCCATGCACCAGATCCTTCGCTACCAGCTCCCTCGTGCGTCCCAGACTCTCGATCGCGGCAATCCGATCGATCGTCGCCTGAAGGTGCTCACGGAAGCCAGGCTGCGCGACGATTTCCCTGAACGCGTGGTGCATCGGTACCGAGCTGGCACGCACCTGCGCATCGCTGGTGATGCTAAATAGGTTCAGCCGGTCCAGCGCGCGCACGAAGTCGGCGCGGGTCATGATCTCTTGGGCTTTGTGCAGCGGGAAGGAGGGGAGCACATGCCCAGTTTCGGGGTCGTAGGTCTTTTCCATTTCGGCTTCTTTGTCTACGAGGGCAGTGGCCAGGACTACGGCGGCGGCCTGTGAGGGGGGATTAGTGGATTAGTACAGGATCAAATAAGGGTAGAGTAAGTATGTAAGGGAGTTGTGTGGGGGAGGAGGGGCCCGGGGGGGGGGGAGGAAGGAAGGAAGGGTAAACATACCGCCCACTTCTGCTGATCCATCACATCATCATCCATCTCCTCACCCAGGATCCAGCACTGGTTCAAGAACCACGTCTTCTCCGCCTCTTTGATCTTGTCACAAGTGGCGAGCATGTCCTCGCTCTTGGCCACCCGGTTCAAGAAGTTCAGCCGCCCGCCAACCCGGTCATAAACTTGCTCCAGCAGGTGGTGAGACGGCGTCTCGCCAAAGTATCGCTCTCGATAGTTCTTCAGCGCGGCAATGGCCTGGGCCTTGGGCAGGTCCATGATGGTATGTACTTCCATTCGCGTGGCCAGCTGCTTCAGCCGCTCATAGATCCAGTAATCGTCGCTGTTGAAGATCATGGTGACCAAATTTGCGGCTGCCCACTGCTCAGCCCGCTGTTGGAGCAGCTCAATCAGGTCTTTGCCGTCCTCATCATCCCGGATCAAGTGCATCTGGTTGATGATGAGCACGAGTGGCCTGCCGACCTTAGCCCTCCGCTTCAGCGCGACCTTCTCCAGCTTGTTGAGCGCTCTCTCGATATCCAGCAGCGCGGTGGTATCCCTCGGCCCACGCTCGCTGAAGTAGCTGCCCATATAATCCTCGTGGTACTCATAATCCAACGCCTTGCCCAACCGAATCCGGAAAATCTCCAGATCGGCATGCGCCTCAAACATAGCCACTCCCTCTCCATTGATCTTACGCATCGCTTCCAGCAGCATACTACTCTTCCCCGTACCCTTCTCACCAATAAACAGATGGTAATGACCCCCCGTGCGCCCAGCCACAACATCATCGACCAGGCTTTGCTCAGGCCTATGAACCCAGTGGGTAGCCGCCGCAGTCTTGGAAAGGGGGATGTCTTTGCCGATGGCGGCGAGGTCGAGGACGGGATCGCCGGGTGCGAAAGCATTTTCCATCTTCTTGAGGACCATCCATTTGTAGCCCTTGTGGTAGCAGTAGGCGGCAATGGCGAAGCCTGCACCTAGGACGAGGATTGAGGCGAAGGAGGTCGCTGCTGCCTCTAACATCTTGTACAGGATGGAGGGGTTGGCATCTTGGTTTGGGGGAGGAGGGGGAGGGGGGGAGGAGGGGGTGGTGGATAGAAGGAGGAGGACGACTTAGAAGGGGCATCGAAGGCCTCAGAAGCTTTGGGCTTGATATCTGGAGCTGTGTTAGCAGTTGATATCCTTTCGAAGGAGGAAATTTATATGACGGATTCAGGACTTCAGCCCAGCTATTCACTCACCCCATTACAGAGAGTGAGCATGCTTATTATCATGGAGGCAACGAGATGAGCTGTATGGTTATGAATCTGCCAATTCTGGCAGTTTCTCATCATAAGTGTGAGAGCGTTTACATTACCCTCACCTGCATGCTGCCAGACTTATACAAATTACCAATAGTAGCAAAATGTCCCTATTGGGTTGTGTAACTGATATGAGGGGTAGTGAGGTCCATAGTAATGAGAATAGAAAATCATCTTATGCTTGGCTCACCATTGCTTCGAGAAAACCAAGTCAAAAAGGACCTTTCATACTTCCTCTGCACCAACGGAGGAGCTCGACCTCTCACCCCCCCGGGAAAAAGTGAGGCTATATACCCGACTGGTGATAGGGAGTGTGGTAACTAGCGGCCCGGCCCGTGCCAGAAACATGGTTTCCACTGTCCTAAAGGGGGGCTGATAAATCGGGAGAAAAAAAAAAGTTGTGACGAATGAGAGACAAGTGAATATAAGAAAGATAAGAGAACGACTAGTGAAGGACAGGAAGGTAAGGAAAAAGAAGAGAGACACAAACGAGTGACTGACAGGTCTGATCGGGCGCCGTTGTCGGTCGGGAGTGCCTTGAGACAAAAGCGGTGTCGTTGGTTACAGGCCTAATCCAAGGAGGTGTTCTTGGCTGTCCCGTTCTACAGCTGGTGTTATCACTATCGTTGACAGCTGCTGACAGCTGGTGCTAGTCGCCTTGGCAACCGAATGTGTGCGATCAGGTGAAGCATTCACACCACCCCTGAACGGTCCAGGATTACAAGACTAAATTAATGCTTGCCATTAAAAAGCACACATATCTGTTGTTTTGTAAGTCAATAAGTTAGTATTATAGCACTCACAACAATTGGGATAATTGCGTAGCCCAGGCTAATGTGGTGAAACCTAATGGCTTTTACTGCTTGTGCCCCTTTGTTTCATGGATGTCTTCTCTACCTGGACCTGAAGTTTGATGGCTCTGCGTTCTGTTTAATTCCATTTTAAAAAATGATAGATTTTGGGAAACTAAATCAAGGATTTATTAGGTGAACAATGATGTTCATGTGTTAAACCCTTGATTAATTTTCAGAGACGAGAAAGAGACCGAGAACTAAGGTGAGCAACCACGGAGACTCCCGATAAACATGAATTCTCAAGGGGACATGAACAAGAAACTTGGGTAAAATAGTCCTACTAAGAAATTAACTACTGAGTGCATTTTTGTTGCAATGTTATTCATGACACTGTAACTGACATGACAAAGCAGATTAGCCACTCTCAAGCCGTTGGTGGGGGTTTGAGGTAAAGCTTAATGTGTGTAATCACACAGGCAACTCTAATTTTCTTTAAAAAAAATAGAATAACAAGGGTATTGACATTGAATGTATCAAATGAGGGAGACTTAGGGAAGTGCCATGAAGGGCGAGACAGGCAAGCTGTAAAAGCTGAGTGTCTCCCCAAGCTGCACTGTATGCGGAGCCAGAAGGCCTCGATGAAGGCCGGTGTTGTGTATTGTTGCCTTAAGCAAAGATGGGATGGAAGCAAAACAGTGGTAGAGAGTGCTGCTACAATTCTATACAAATGCTGGTTGTGTGCTTTCTTACTCCGAAATTCTTTCTCCAAACTTCACTATAACTTGTTTTTGCCATCCAATCTACCATCCCTCCATTACTTTCACAACACGGCTCCATCCTAATGGGAGCCGGGGCTTTTAGATATCATCGTCGGTCTGATTATCTCGGCGCGTATAACAAAGCCAGCATGATCGATCACCAATACTGGTGAAGGCTGCTACTTGAGATCGCAGGAAGAATGGAGTCGCAATCCGAAAGACTTCCGCAGCTTTCCCCCGAGGAGCTGCGGAACCCGCACACAAAGCTTAAGGTCAATGGTATGGTGATGGAGCTATGGCAGGTTGCGCACTTATACGGCATCGATGTCTCGACTCCTGACTGGGAGCATCGTACTGGTGCTACAGCGATGGACGTCCAGAGAGCATTTCATGGGCCAATTTCTCACAAGTCTGTCGAGAACACTCGGGCGGCTAGTGATTCCCACAATGAGTCCAATTCACACATCCAGGAACAACCGTGTCCCGACTCGCCTACACTGGCATTGAACACCAAAGAAAATCATTCTCCCAAGAACGTTAACAAGTGTGCAGGCGCCACATCTCCTCCTCCTGCTCGGCCAGTCCTCGACTTAGTCGATGAGCTGATTGATGAGTCTTGGGATTGCGCCGATAATGAGACCCAAGCTACGGAAGGAAATGAACAGTGTCAGCAACGTATTGCGGTTATTGGGATCAAGCGCAGTGTTAAGGTCAAACATAGACCTGATCATGGATCTGCGTCTATCTCAAGGTCAACGACAACCAGACTCGATTGCAATCCCAAGCCAATGCCAGCTCGGGCATTGCCATCTATTCCACGTCCTCCAAAGCCGATGAGATCTCCTCCAGCTCCTCCTACACAGGGATACTTAGCCAAGGAAGAGATCTTGGCATCATCTTCTAAGAATTCTCTCACAATTACGCCCCCTTCTGTGGTTGAGGGACATATACCTCAACAATTGTCTTTCCGCAATCGGCTGGAGAGAAAGCACAGCCATGAAGCCACCAGATCCATTCACAACGAGCCCATTTCCTCCAAGCATACCCGCAATGAGTCGGAATCCTCGATGGAGCAAGTCCCATTCCCAGAACTGATTCCACCACCACTCTTCACCCGAAAGGTCAGGCCTCAAGCCTCCATGGGTGTTATTCAACAACCCAGACGACAAGTCAGGCCGCATGCATCAATGGGAGTGCTTAACAGCTCCAGAAGGCTGGTTTCAGAGCAGGTCCAGATGCTGAGGGCTACTAGCCCACACGAGCAGTGCGATCGCGTCGTGCCATCGCAGAAGGTTGGTCATGGTACCTGGCCACGACGCGCAACTCTCCCGGTTCGTGGCTCAACGCAAGACAACACCGATCCAACTCCGACGAGTCCATATGACAACGGTTGCGCTACTCAAGCTTCCCGGTCGACAACCTCAATTCCCCAATCGGGGGGGAACAAAACCGCTACGGCTCCGACTGCTCCATATACCACTCCTTCCTCTTCTCAAGCCTCCAAGTCGACTACCTCGCTCACAACTTCATCGTCTGAAACTAACATCCAAATCAGTGATTTTGCCTCGATTCAGAATCCTCGGCTTCGACGGCGCTCACGCAGCGTTGGCGTGGGGGAGTGGCTGCAGCAATTCGAGACCGACATCCCGCCGGTGCCACCGATACCAAAGATCTTGCCAACAGGTCCTCGGCAGGCTCAAGCGTCGTTTCTCAGCCCGAATGAAATCGCAGTGTCCTCTCGAAATAATCAACAGAAAGCACATCAGCAAGAGTACCGTTTCGTCTCCTCCCCTATTTCACTTCCCTCTTTCAGCAAGAGGCACGAGCAAAGCGGTAGTTCGATGACCACCGCGACAGCTGACGACGTTAACCCCCCACAAACTCCGAGGAAGACTTCGACCAAACAAGAGTCTCTAAGAGGAATGCCATTAATTCTCAGCCCGGAGTCTCGAACTAGGTCCGTAACGCCGCCTCCGATTCAAGAGGTCGACCCAGGGTTGCAGTCGCGGTAGAGCCCCGATAGTTCCCCTGAGACGACGATGAAGAGGGTGAAGAAGGTTTTGAGTCTTGCTCGACTGAGGAAGAGAGACTAGATGTTTGCTATGGTCGGGGAGTGAGGAATATTGATGTCCAGAGGATTAACGTGGAACAGCGGACATTTGTCCTCCTGCTAGTATAAACGGCACATCACCTGAGACCTCTTTGAGTCTTTGACTAATGACGAATGATCATGTATATATATATATATATATATATATAGATAGATAGATATTTGTATATATTTATCTGTACATTGGACCTCAGTAGCCTCTGGTGGATGACGGTCAGGAAGTTTTGTAAGGAGGCGAAGGCGAGGGACGGTGACATCACAGCCGACCCCACAAACAATCAGGTACAGGTCATTCCCAAATGGGCTAGGCTGCCTGGGTGATCGCCAAAGCTCAGCCAAACAGCTTCCAGCCTTCCCCGTCGAAGGCCCACCTTTCTTCCCACACCCCCCCCCCACGAAAAGTTGCTTCCCGACGCGTCAAGCTTCATCAAGCCCGCCGAAAATAAAAAAAAAAAAGAAAAAAAATCCACAAAACAACACCTCCATCTCGCGTTGCAACGCTCATTCTCCCCGCCATCTCCACCCCTTGCGACACAAGCTGTTGCCGCCGCAGTATCACCAACGCCCAGCCACACGGCATGAACAACCCAGCGATTTGATCCCCGATTTAGCCCGTTGATAATGGGCAACGAACAGAGCAGACTGGAGGAGGGCGGGAGCGTCTCTGGAGGAAGGGCTCGCTCCATCTCCCCGCTTCCCCGCGACGACGAGTACCTCGGGGATGGGACCGATGACCTACGGCAGTATCCGTCGACAATGCCTGCTGGTTTGACAATGGGACGAGAGCCGACACGATCTCCTTCGCCTTCGCGATTATCTGGGTCTCCCGAAGCTCGCCGCGGCAAACACCGACCGAGAGACCATTCTCCCGGGACACCCCCGCAACGGTTTGCGGCAAGCCAGCCAGCCTGGAGCGCGCATTCGCCGGTTGATATGGAGATGTCGGCGTCACAACCTGAGCTGCGGAAGAAGAAAAAGAAGTCACGTCGTTCGAAGGGGCAGTCGCCTGTCAGGAAACACGAGAGCAGAGTGGAAGACGAGCAAGATCACGCGCCAGTAGATATCGACGATGGTCGTCACTACGAAGAAGCCGAGAGTCACATTTCCCCCCGCCCGAAGAAGAAGCACAAGCGCGCTTCCATCCATGTCGAAGAACCTGAACACGAACACGAGCCTGAACCGATTCGTGATGCGGTTGATCCTCCGGAATCAGAAGAGGAGCGTTCCAGCGGCAACAACAACAACAACAAGAAGAAGAAGAAGAAGAAGAAGCAAAAGAGAAAATCTGTGTCGTCACTTATGGATGAGTCTGTTGCAGATCAAGAGGATGAGTTGCTTGAAACTCAAAAAAACAAGAGGACTTCGAGAAGACAAGATGAAGTGACAGCAGAGTCGCCCAAGCATTCATCGAATCACAGCGATGTAGACATACCGGACGCAGATCTCTCAATGGTCCACACCGCAGGCGATGAACCCGCTAGCCAAGCTCCGCCGCCCAGCGCCCAACCATTGGAGAAGCGTAGTCGCAGGGATAGCGTGTCCAAGGCGCTCAAAAAGCGCAAACTCTCATCGCTTGACGATGCGCTGGAAGAAGATACCAGCCATCTTCATGAAGAAGAGTTGTCCGTGGCACTTGAACCACCAGAATACCGACCGACTACGCGACCGGCCACTTCTGCAGCAATGCAGCAAAAGTCGAAGAGAGTGAGGAGCGGGCCGACAGCGGAGCAGAATATCGATGTGAAGCAGGAGATTAATGAAAATGGGGATGAGTTGCATAGCATCCCGCAGTCGGAGCAGCCTGAGGAAGAGGAGTTGCTGGTAGCCAAGGAGCCTCCTTCGAGCCCCGAAAGCCACCGTGCTGATTTGGAAGAGGACATCAATGGCATTGTTGGTAAAGAGCCGTCGCCTGAGCTGGATGATATGTCTGTGGCTGGTAGTGTCGTTGAGCAGGCACATCATTCAGATCGTGAGGCGAGCGTCCGCAAGGAGGAGGAGGAGGAGGAGGAGGGGGAGGAGGATGCGGGCTCTAATCGGTCGGAAGACGAGGACGCAGGCATTGGGAATGATGGGGATGATGCTGCATCAGACCAGTCTGAAGAGCGCGAAGCAAGCGTCGATCGCGAGGAAGAGGATGATGCTCTCTCGCAGTCTGCTGATCGCGAGGCGAGCGCTGCTCGTGAGGAGGAGGACACGGCTTCAAATCAGTCGGGCGGCGAGGCGATCGTCAAGCAACAAGATGATGATGACTCTTCACAGTCGGCAGACGGTGAGGAGCAGGCTGATGAGGATGCTGATGAGGCGGCCTCCAACCAGTCGGAAGAGCTTGTTTCTGCCGCGGTCGCCCTCCTTGACGATACCGACAATGCTCTACCTGTTTCGACCCCGGCTGCGCGTCCTGCTCGAAGCCCTGCGCCGCGATCCTCGACTAAGAGGAAGCCAAAGCAACCTTTCTTCGTCGGCCAGGACGACCAAGAAGAACGGGAGGACGTCGTTATGGAGAGCGAGCCAGAGCGTGAGGAGGAACGGCAAGAGCGTCAAGAAAGCGAGCCGCAACGTGAGGAGGAACAGGAAGAGGAGCGTCAGGAGCCCCAACAAGAGGAAAACACCCGAGCGTTCGCCGAATTGCCGGTCAATGTCGTCGAGCATCCCCGGCAGAGAAAGCGGAAAGCTCTCCAAGAAACGAATGATTCTCCTGTCTCAACTGAACAGCCAAAGAAAAAACGGAAGAGGGCCTTTCAGAAGACGGAAGATGGCACAGGAAACGATGAATCCGGCCGATCGCAGTACCGATATGGCCCTCTGTCGGAGCAGGAACAAAACCAGGTTACTCGCGCGCTTCAACGGTTCCGCGAAGACGAGCAGATGGAAGAGGAACAGCTCATCAAGCTCATTCACGAGAACCCGCTCACAGGAGGGCCACTCCATCGCGAGCTATGGGCCTCCGTCCAAGAAGCCTGCCCGTCCCGCCCCCGGCAGAAGCTCATCAATTGGTGCCGACAAAAATTCCACAACTACACGGCCCGCGGCACGTGGACTAAGGAGCAAGACGAGGAATTGTCGCAGCTCGTTGACAAGCACGGCCGCAAATGGAGCTACATAGCCGGCCTGATTAACCGACACCCCAGCGATGTCCGCGACCGCTGGCGAAATTACCTCGTCTGCCGCGACCGCAAAAGGTCAGATTACTGGTCCGAGGACGAAGAGGAACGCTTCCGCAAGATCGTCGAAGACGCCATCGAGGCTATCAAAGCATCCCAGGATCCAGCTCAAAGCGATAAGTCCCCCGAGGAGCTCATCAACTGGCTCAAGATCAGCGAGGCAATGGGCTTCACACGCTCTAGGCTACAGTGCATTGACAAGTGGAAGCGGCTGCGTGCGAACGAGGTTGCGGAGACCAAAGCTCCCACCGTCCTGCCGCAGGGCAAGTCCTGGCGGTTGGAGAAGGCGCGTAAGGACCTGCGCAGGATGACGGTGCAGGACAAGTATAGGCTTATGTGCGCCATCCGCGACTCGGGCGTGGGGAGAGAGACGAAGATCAATTGGAAGGATATTGTTGATCGCGTGTTTGACGGCCAGTACGAGCGGCAGGCATTGATTGTGGCGTGGGGACGTCTCAGGCAGGCGGTGCCAGAGTGGGAGTGGAAGACCACGCGGGATTGTGCGAAGTATATGTGTGAAATGTATGAGAGGGAGGGGAATTTTGGCCCGGCGGATCTAGATTGGCCTGAGGCGAAGGAGGATGATGCGGCGTCGCAGGCTTCGCGGCGTGCGGCTAAGCGCCGGAAGCGGGCGAAGAGTAAGGCCGTTGCGAGGGATTCGCCTGAGCCGGAGGGGGGGGATGCTGAGGCGGAGGAACAGGCTCGTGCGGAGGGTGAAGATGGTGCTTCGGGGTCTCAGGAGCATGATGGTGAAAGCATTGAGGTAGCAGCGACGCGAGAACAGCAGGCCGAACCCGAAACCGAACCCGAACCCGAGCTCGGTTCTGCCCAACCCTCTCCCAGTATCGACGCCAACGCTGCTCGCCTCAAGCGCCGTGCGAATAACAAAGTCTACGACCGGAGGTCCAGCCTCGGGGGGCAAGCTATCTCCGACACAACTCCTAGTAGGGGTTCCGAGCGCACCCGGCGGGAGTCTCTAGCCAATGGTCACGCCGGAGAAGTGCCCTCGGCGAAGAAGGCGAAGACTGTTGTGGCTTCTGTTGTAGCTCAACAACAAGCTGATGACGGTGAGATTTCGAGTGACATGGATGACATGGAGGATATCCCGGCACAGTTGCCGAAGGCTGGTCAGGAAATGTTGTGAGGACGGAGTCGAAAGTTGACCAAACACATTAATCTTGTGTATTCCAATTACGCTACACGGTTTTGTGGCATTGCCTGAGGAGTAGGCTGCTTTTTTGCTATGGGTAATGAGCATAGTCTTTGGCGGCGAGATAGCTTGTTGCTGATCGGTGAGGATAGGGGACCTGGTGGTTCGGAGGTTTTGTTGACCTGGAGTCCGTCAGGGGCCTTGATTCTGGCAGGTTGAGGCTTGCTAGCGTGTAATAGCCAATATTGATACCCACGAGAAACAGAATTAGGTAATTAGTACTCTTCCAAGTGTTTCGAACGATGGACTTTTGAGGAGACATTCGTGGCATATCCAAGTCAGAGTGGCTCTTGATGTTGCCTTCAGGACTGAACCCTACCAACTCCTATTCCAATCCGACTCTGTGCTCCGTAAGTGAACTTATATGCCAAAGGTACCGGAAACTCAGACTGATACCGAGCTCCCGAAATTTACTAGCGATCTCCTTTCTTCTTCAATCTCCCCCGCAACACCTTCGCGTCCGTTCTGTCATTACATCAGCCCTCCCCGGTTCTCTACCACCACCACGCTCTGCGCCAGTGCTAATTTCTTCAAGCTCGATCCCCCCAATGACCCTTGCCATCGTCGGTGAGCTTGTCGTCGCTGCAACATTCTCCCCCTGCTCTTCCTGTTTGTCACCCTCCACCGGCACAGGCCCCCTCAAACTGGTATCCACAAATTCACCATCATCCACCAGCGGCGAGACTCCGTGGCTGTGGCTTCTTGATGAGGAAGAGCGAGAGCCATGTGAGTGAGTTCCGCTTTCGACTGCGATGCCGTCGACCATTAGGGCGGAGTGTCTTTCGCGGAGGATGGGGTCACTCGCGGACTCTAGGGTGCCGTGTTCCCTGTCTGATCCTCGCTGGACGGATCCAATCTCCCTCCCTGATGATGTGCTTGGGTGCTGAGGAGACTCGCTCGCAGCATCACCACTGCGCAGTCCGGCCCTCTCTGCCCAAGCCCTAGCCGCATCCGCAGCCGTCCCCGGATACCTCATCCCCTCTTGGTATTGCTGACCTTGTTGCTGCACATGCCGGTTACACACCGGCCCCGACAGGGTGCTCCCCGCGCCTTCACCAACCTCAACCAAGTCATCATTATCTCCATCCCCTTCCTCAGTCCCAGCTCCGCTAGCACTGACAGCGATACTCCCCCTCCCACCAACACCCGTATCTGCGCTTGCACTGACGCTATGGGAGTCTGTCGATGCGAGGATATCTTCCCCGTCGTCATCGTCTGCAAGGGATTGCGATTTCCCGCTGCGGTCGGTCTCCGTCTCGCTTGCTGTTCCAATTGTGCTAACCTGTGTAACAGCGCGGGGTTGACCGAGGGAGTCGAAGTAGTAGTAATGCCCCGGCTGGTACCCCTGCCCGGTGAACCCTGCTGCAACCCCTGAAGTCGTCGGGCTCGCAGGGATGTGGCTCGAAGATGTGGGAGTCGACGCTTCAGAGGAGGTGCGGGCATGTTTCTGCTGTCCAGCGGCACCAGCACTAGTATTCGCAGTTCGGCGTAAGCCTGGTCCCGAAAAGGCGTCTAAGCTTTCCAGCCAGCCGAGGCGGATGGCGCGCTCGTTGTCTCTGTGTAGAATTGTGCCGTGATGGCCTTCTTTGATAGCCGTGGTGGATATGGCAGAGGCGAGGGAGGGGGTTGTGCTTAGGGGGGTACCGCTAGCGGGGTGTTAGCGATGGAATTGTTAAAGGGAGGGAGTGGCTTTGATGGTTCTAGAAAGCTTGGACAGGTGACCGAGACGTTTGGAATTGGGATACTCACGGGACTTCTGAGGGTGTCCCGGGGCCTGATCCAGGGCCGGTGATGGTGCTGGTCATGGTCGTCTGAGAGGATGGTTGTTGGGGCGCAAGAAGAGGGGAGAAAGTCTCGTGATGGCTTGGTGTAGAGCTGCTAGATGGGAGGTTTTCGTGAGCTGGCTCCATGTTTCTAGATAGGTATATTTCCGAGAACTTTGCTAGTATACTGAGGAAGCGGCCTAAGAGGGAACAAAGACGAATCACGATAGCTACGAGGAGGAAAATAAAAATAATTGGGAGAAATGGTAGAGTTCAAGAGGAGGGACCGGGCTGCTTTTAAGAAGACACATGCGAGATGAGTTCGAGGGGATGGCGGCAATGCATCCAGGAGTGTCAATTACAGGAATGCTTACAACCACCAACGCATCTGATGATGACAAAGAAGAGCTTGTCGCGGCAAGCATCTGTGATTGCGAACTGGCATCAAACATATGTGGGAGATTTCCTAAAACGGCGAGAGGATGACGTCGATTGCAAGCAGTCCCAGCAGCGGGTTACAGTGCAGACAGTACCGAGACGTCGTTAACTGCACTGTATCCCTTGAGCTTATGTAAAGATATACCAGAGTAGGGCCTTTACTTTTTGCCCTTCTCCTTCAATGACAAAAAAAAAAAAAGTCAACCATCCTCCAGATGAAAAACCTGGCTCTTGAACCAGAAACAAGCCGAAGACATTCTAAGCATAGAGGCAGTAACATGCTAACTAGCTCAGAAATGTTGAACCTTCTAATCTTCACCCACTCACCCACTCTTATCGCAACAACCCTTCTTCTCTTCTCCCTCCCGGACGTCTAACCTTTGCATTCCCCCCTCCAATCCCGTCCTCTCGCTTGTCCCATTCAACTGCACACTACAATTAACCTCCTGCCTGCCCGGCGGCACATCCAGCGCCGGGTTCCTCTCAAAAAAGTTGACAGGCCTCATCACCACGCGGATCGTTTCCGCCGGCATGACGGGGAAGTCCTCCACCCTCGGGATATGATTGATCCCAAACTGCACCCACACCACCGGATCCTTCCCCTCTTCCAAGCTTTCCCTCCTTTCAGCCCAACTCCTCACCCCCTGCCCGCCACGACTTTGGTTCGTGTACCAACCGCCCGGGTAGAGCTCCCGCTCGCGGTAACGGGTCACGTAAACACTGTGATCAGCAAACTCGGCGCGTTTGTAGTGGAAGGAGTCCTTGTCGGCTAGGATGGGCTGCATGGGCGGGATCTGGAGTTTGTATCCCACCGCAGCACCGTTCACAGGGTTGGTGACGGAGGGGTTCACGATCTTGAAGGTGCGATTCTTGGACGGGTCAAGGTCGAACCCTCCCGTTGTTGTGATTTTTGTTTGGGTGACGGTATACCCTACCCCGTGGGGGTTTAGTTTCTCGTCACGCGGCAGGGGATGAGCCTCGTCGTAGACGACGGTGTTGCCATGCCCCGCGATCATGGGGTCGATGCGCAGGCTGAAGAAGTGCTGGTGGTGACCGGCCAGCACGCCGGGGTGGACAACCGTGCCGAAGGGGTGTGGGGTGTGGGAGAGGTCGACGTCGACGGGTTGGGTAGAGAGGATCCCCGTTGCGCGGGCTTCGTAGGTCAGGTCGCCGGCGGTGTTGAAGATGAAGGCGAGGATGTACTCGTAGTTGCTGACGGTGATGATCATTTGTACGACGAGCTCGCGGTTTCGGACGACGACGGCGCGGTTGGTGCGGTAGTTGGTGTGTTTCCACAGTATACCAGCATCCTGCTCATGGATGCAGATAACGTTGGGTTGATGGACGGGCTTACCATCGCTGTCTGCAAGCACTGCGTCGAGGTAGTAGATGCTCCCTAAGCAGTCGCAGCCGAGCTGGAGGTTATTGGCCATGATGCCGGCTCCCGCATCGCCCAGGTCGAAGGCGGCTTTGCGGTGGAAGGGATGGCGTGGGTCGGCGTAGGGGATGGACATCTCGGAGAGGCTGAGGCGGTAGAAGAGGGGACGATTGTCGTAGTGCACGTCGTAGAGCACAACGCCTTCGCGCTGGTTAAAGCCGACTTTGAAGTCCCATTTTTGCCAGCGGATCGTGCGACCCAGTTCGGAGAAGGGCTCGACAGTGAAAGAGGCACCTTCGGGCTGGACCACTCGCAAAGGCTTGAGATCGGTGCGTAGGGTTTGAGCCTCGGGGATGTACTCGTTGGGTGGTACGGGCTGCCAGGGGGAAAGGGGCTTGATGGTCTCGTCGAGGCCAGTGGGCAGCATGTCGATGCGGATGACTTCCAGGGTAACCGGGTCAACGACGGGGCAGATGGGCAGGGGGAAGGCGTAGTGGCAGCTGTCTGGCTCGTTGGGGTTCTGGGGGTCGCGCATGTAGAGGAAGCAATGCATGAGGCGTTTGTCGTCGTAGAATTTGCCTTCCTTTATGCCATCCGAGCCTGAGAGGGATGTCAGCAACATGACAGGGGAATTTTTGGAGAGAGCAGCTCACCATAGATCCAGGGATCAGATACTACAACTGTCCCCGGCGGCAGCTTCAGCTTGGCAATGTACTGTTGAACCTCGGGATGAGATAAGGCCGCTTTCTCAACGGCAATAATCTCCTCGGCATCGCCATTGGGATGGGTAAAAGGCCCAAGCTTCACATTAGACTCGACCTTGCGTTGTGTCAAGTTCACGATGGCTTCGTGAACATCGTGCTGTGCATCTTGTCAGCCAATGTTCGTTTGTAAGAGACTTCGGCCCTGACTGACTGTTCCCTTGAAGTAATACACAACCAGCGCCCGTCGATCAATGGGTGTTGGCCTCTTCCCTTCCCGCTCAGCAATGAGATATGGGGCAAGCTCTGCTTTTGCTGGCTCGAAGAGCGTGATGACCTTGAAGCGGAGAGTGACATTGGATGGCCAACATCCCCGTACGAGGTTTGCGCTGTCGATAATTTCTTGGACGGAGAGCGGGCCTAGGGGGTGCGTTCTTGGGAAAGAGGACTCATGTGAAGGGGTGCTGGAAGGCGCTGCAGCCGCGATGCTTTCTGATGATTCTGACATCGTGAACTTTGATGCTCTTGATCTTTCTGCCAGAGGTAAAAACTTCTGAGGGATCGCACGACCGATACTCCTAAAGTCAGCACCCAACCGGGGATGTATGTGGATGCGTTGCTCTTTAAAATACCCGTGTCGAGTTGTCAACACACCAGATATAACCCAGACTTCCCAACAAACTTCGCAGGTCTGCTCTCCAAAAGCAGTTTACTTCTACTTTTATCTCTCCATTCCCCTCACCAGATGTATCTATTCTTGCAGTCCCGTGATCGGGCTGAGGTTCAACAGCAGCAGTAAGCCCCCGCGCTGTACCCCGCATCCCAACGTGGCTCCAAGCAGAACTGTCCCTCACTGGGTACTACACTTGTACTACTACTCTAGCGTCCTGTGACATTCCACGCTCCCGTCACCATCCACAATCTCGCATACCACCGATGCATCAACTCCATCCACCATGGCATTGGCCCCTTCTCGCCCTCAAGCTTCCTCCTGCTATTAAAAAAGCAGCTCTTCAACCCCAGGATCACCTCCCTCCGGGTCTTGTCAACCTCAGCGGATATGACAAACAGTCCGTCCGAGTCTCGGGGGCCAGGGTTGCGCGGGGTGTCGCCGCAGCGGAAGGTTATTGAGGTTGGGGTTTTGTCAACCACTTCGAAGTGGTCAGTGACAAGAGTGCCTATGTCGTAGGGCGATGTTTGGAGATCAGGGACGGTCCAGAGGTGAGAGGAAGTTTGGGGGGTGTGGTATTTGTGGGAGAGGTAGGCGCGTTGGGGGCGGTAGCCTTGGTTATAGGGAAACGAGGTGTTAGTAGTAGTAGTTGGAGGTGATGGTTTAACTTTCTTTCCCTTCCATCTTCAACAGCGTGCTTTGGCGATTGGGCAAACAGCACCCGGAACTTGAAATCATGCTGCTGGGATCTTACCCAATCCACCCCAAACCCCGCGACAAAATTCTACAACCAGATCGCCCTCGCCATGCAAGAGCTCTGGCTTAACCTTTCTCAGAGGGATCCTCTTGATGCACACGTCCTGTGTGGCAGCGTTCCGGTGTGGGTTGTACAAGGAATAGCTCTGTGACCGCCACAGAGGATCATCCTCAGCCAGGGGGGTGATGATAGTGGTTGTTGTGCCAAGATAGGCTAGTATTCCAGAACTTAGCCCCCCGACTGCTACAACAGATTGCTTTAATTGCTTTCCAATGGGCATTTTGGAGGCGTGCTAGCTGACGTCCAAAGAGATGGAGAGATACGCCGGGTATTGTCGGTGTTTGGGGAGGTTTCTTATCTTACCGTGCCCTCGTATCGAGAGATACGGGAACGACGTCATCGAAATGCCAAGAGATGTACCCCACCCTGCCCCTCCAAGTCTCACGTCTAGTCATTGCTTAATATCTCGGGTCTCTTTCTTAAACCTAATGGCTGGATGGAATGGTCAAAAATTTGGAAAAAAAATTATTAGTTTATTATAGCCAGAATAGTTGATATTAAGGACCTTCTTTCTTAGGGTTCAAGCTCACCACTGCGCGCAGTTGCCTGCTATTGTTGAAACATGTTGTTAAGTTGTCAAGTACCCCGCCAAATTCCACCCGAACTTCACATCAACGCAAAAAAACTCACCGATCATAACAGGGATGATCATGGACCTGTCTGTTATGCTCATGAAATACGATCGTCGCATTAATCTCGGCACTACGTAAGTAATCGGTATAAGGATAACGCATCTCATCCCGTTTCCTGCTTCCTCATCTACCGGATGACCAATGCTCATGTGAACCGGATTATGCTCTTAATATGCTCCCAGCCCTAATTTTTAAACTTCTCCGTGACCATAACTCATAGAGCACATCATCATGACTTAAAAGCAGGGGAGGCTCAGCCAACCGAAGGCAGAACACGAGAATGCTAAATGAAGGACGATGACGACCTAGACTCAACGCAACTTCCAAACTCCAACCGACCGACCGAAATCAGTTAAGATCAGGACATGGCCATCCCCGCAGCCGCACGACTATGGCGGCGGAGCAGCTCGGGCATCCGGCCCTTGAGCAGCTCCTGAAGACACTCGTCGATGACTCTGCCGTCTGTGATGTTCTGGGCGCGGGTCTTGCGCAGCCAGTACTCGAACGGACCGCCTGAAACAATCCAAGCGTCAGCCAATGACTCAACATCACCAAACTCACACCGCTGGGCAAGCAAGACTCCAGGAGCCAAAACTTACGATTTTGCCTCAACGCAGCCCCCAATTCAGCACACCTCTCCGCCGGCGTATGCTCGCCATGCATCTCAGTAAAGTGCGTAATCATCTTCGATATGTCCTTCAGCGGCCACTTGCACGGCGCCGCTGGAGACCGCGGGTTGCCCGCCAGCAAGTACTTGGGCGCCGAGCAAAGCCGGCACTTCCAGAAACCGAGACGCTGCAACGCCGTGTTGACACCCTCCTGCGAGCTGCCCCGCCTAAGATATCGCTCTGGCTCGGGAGAGGGCGATGATTTCATGCGTTTAGTACTAGTCTCGCTAGCATCGTCTTCTGAGGAGCGTTTGCCGGTCGATATAGTGGTAGGCTGGGCCGCAGAGTCTATGACAGCCGGTCTGGTCGGTAGGACAGCTGTTGTGCCTGCGGCGGGCTTGCGGCCAGGCTTGCTGGTGCCGTTGAGGCCGTAGTTGATCGAGGAAGAGGGAAAAGCTGCATAGCCACCCGGTCGCCAGACAGAGCGGCGCGCTTGCGCTTGGATGGTCTCGATGCGGTGCTTACAGTGGCGAATTTGATGACCCAGGTCGAGGATGCGCAGCTGCAGGGTGCGCATCTCTTGCGGAGTGAGATCGTCCTCGTGAAGCTGGGACTTGCAGTAGTCGAGATCGTACTCGTAGGCGAGGATATCTTCCTTCAGCTGGCGGATGGTGATTTCATCGAGGTCAGAGAACTGGTAGTCGTAAGCGTCCACCACACGGCCGTCCACGATGACTGTTTGGCCGTTGCTCTTTGCGATCTCGGTAGAGCTGGAAACACTGGAGGGCCTTGCCCCGTGCTCTTCGACACCATCCATCTCGGCAGGTGTGCTGCGGGAAGAATCAACATCACTGTGTGCTGGTGCAACGGGGCCAGGGGCCACGGTGATGCTGTTGTTTGGCGATGTGTCTTTTGGACCAGCCTGAATGAGTCGGTTGGTTAGCATGTCTTGAGCTGGGATACGTCTTGTTCCATTAACATCACAGTCAGGTAGCTCTTGGCATCATTTGATTGTTGTTGATAGTAGCGAATTACTCTTCGCATTTTTTTTAAATGAAAGATGCTGCTAGCCTGATTGAAAACAGACAAACAACTGGATTAAGATGCGCGCAGAGTATGGAAACCTACCATTCCAACAGAGAATCTCACAGATGATGTCACGGGGATCAATTGAGAAGGATGTGGTGAGGTGAGTGAGTGAGGCCTCAGTATGCAAATCGCGGGCGGTTGTTCGCGTGGTGAGAGGGGAAGAAAAAAAAACAAGTTATGGAATGTGGATAAAGTGAAAGGATTCAAGGAAAACGGTAAAAATGGTTGGTCCCCCGGGAGGAAAAAAGGTTGAAGTAGGCTTGTCGTGGTGCGTGGGAAAGAACCTTCTGGTTTGCAATGCGCTGGTTGATGATAAATGCGAAGGTGCGATCACAAAGAAAACGGATGAGATGAAGCTAGCCTTTGTTCTTTTTTTCTTTCCATCCCTTTTGTCCTTTTTTCTTCCATTTGAACCCTTGCTCCCCCTTGATTGGTTTACCCGGCGGCCCACACCCCCACTCTGGTGCTTTCTTATTGGTTATTTCTAGCATCACGTTCCACCTTCCATCCAGAAAAAGCAGCAAAGAAAAGACAGAAAAAATGATCCTGATACACCAGGTTCCATTTTTTTTTGTGCAATGGTTAGCAGCTTTCGCCATGACTGCTGTGGCCATTGATTTTTTTTCTTCGATCGGCCACATGACTATGAGGAACTCTGACCACGGCGATAAGTTGCCGACGTTGCTTAGTAAATTTTCCGTCGAGGCATCTGATGTGGTGTTTCCTGAAGCATTGATTTACTGAAATTGCACTAGTGCAGGCAGCAGCACTGCTCCTCACTCAGTGTTTTTCAAACTCATAATCTCACATCTATTAGGACATGAAATGAGATCCTCAATATCCGTTGAAGTGCTTGAAAGAGAAGCTTGCTAGGCTTTTTCTCTTCTTGAAATCTTTTGACTGACTCTGCTGCCATCTGTTATTCGAGGAGTGAGGATTATATCTATTGTCGTTTTTTCAGTTGATCTCTTATCATGGTGAAGAAACTTAACGTAATCTGAACTACGGCACTCTGTCAACCAGAAAGGCTCATAGAAGCCTAGCAGGGGAACCAGTTTGTCGGTCACCAAGGGAAATTGACATTACCCGGATAAAGTCAACGGCTATGGCTGAGCCATCCTATGTCACCTATACAGAGCAGCCTCTTTTCCGACTGGCCGGTTCTTATTGATATGTGGCCTGTCTTTCTGTCTAAGAAGGAATCCATTCTGATATTCAAGTTTTTGTTCCTAATAACTGAAATTATGTTCACTTCTCACTTTCTCACCAACACCCTGCATTCATCCTGCTCACCAGATTTCAGTTTCAACTTTCGATTTGCTTAAAGCTCTCAGTCACAACATGAAAGGCAGGTCCCGTCATGGCCGGCATAACAAACTACTCACTGGATTGCTCATTCTGGCCAGACTCATTCAAAACGCATCACCTTTCCCTCCACCAAAGGACTGGACGATTTGCTCAACTCCAAGCCCTGAGCTGACCTCTTGGAAAACCTCACTTTTGGAAGGCACATGTCCACTAGCAGATGATTTCTCGCCGTGGTCACAACCCCCATTATGTCTGGACCCTGCAAACGATAGTGGCTACATTGGTAGTGACGCTGACTGTGTGTTTACCCTCGCTTCGTTCCGAGGAAACCAAGGCATTAGTTTGATTACCACGCCACAACTTGCAGCCAGTCTTGTCACATCCCTTGACGATTCTCGAGTTCATCCATCTTTACGATCGAGAATATTGGAAAATAGCCAACATCAGGAGTCGAAAAGAGGATATGAAGTTCGCGACCTCCCCGGACGAGGAAAAGGCATGCTCGCAACCCAGAAGCTCCACAAGCACAATGTCATTCTGGTTGAGTTTCCAGTTTTGATAGTACGACTAGACTTTATCAACCGGGATATCTTCACTGAGCGGCAGAAGAGGGCCATGCTGCGAAAAGCAGTGAAGCAGCTCCCGCCGGGACGGAGGGATGCGTTCATGGCTCTTGCACGGAGCACGGGCGGAGAGCCAGTACTGGATGTCATACGCACGAATGGGTTTGGGATTGAGATTCAGGGGGAGCAACATCTAGCAATTGTTATCAACGGTTCGGTATGTTTCATTCCCACTCGCCTATGGCTAGCGATCGTATATCTTGTGCGAGAGAGTTTGCTGATGGAAGCATGTCGTTTGTTAAAGAGAATCAATCACAACTGTCGTCCAAAGTAAGTCTTTCGTCAGTGTTGCCATAAGAAGTCCGGTGTAGTGGCAGAACTGAGAGTTGACTGACGACTGAAAGTGTCTTCTGGCGATATAGTCCCAGCAACATGGCCATGGAGGTCGTCACCCTTCGAGACATCCAAGCAGGGGAAGAGGTCACCTACAGCTGTAAGCTTTGACCACACCTCCATGTCGCAACCTTTCCACTGACAAACATCAGACGTCCCCCTCGGATACACCTCCGAAGAACGACAAGCCGTCCTTCAAGCATGGGGCTTCCGCTGCCGTTGTGATTTATGCTCAGCATCACGAAAGGAGAAAGAGATCTCCGATAGTCGTCGAGTCCGGCTCCTCTACATTCACCACACGCTTAGACAGGCATCTGAACTGAACTCTCGACGCATTGGAGAACTTGTTAGTGAAGCACTGTGGCTCATTGACCAAGAACAACTGCATCCTCAGTTGGTGGAGTACTATGAAACCTTTACGCGGGCATATCTCGATATAGGAGACTTCGACATGGCGTGGAGGTTTGCGAACCTGACGGATAAGACTTGGATGTTTTATGGGGGTGAGGAGCATGAGAATTTAGAGGGCATGAAAAAGCTGCGGGAAGATATCCTCCAACGGGCATTGGTTGAGAGGGATGATGATTGAGTGAGGTTAAACTGTTGATGGGCTGATATAGAACACGATTTCCTCGTTCAACTGCTCATAAACAAGCTGTCCCGGTCTGGTATCTACAAGCTACTTCTATTTTGACCCCTTAGAACCTACTCAGGCTTGCGGGCATACACAATCCGACGCCTACAGAACGTGTGAAGCGACTTGTCACTTGTCTGGATTCGCAGTTGACGGAGGTACGACGCGATTTCTTCCTGGCTCCAGCCCAATACCACACCATAGATATAGGTGACATAGCCTGCACGAGAAGATCACTGTTAATCTCCTTTTCACGCCACTCGAAACTCACATCGAACTTAAATAATGGACCCAACGATCTGCATCGTGGACTACATCCGGACTTACCTTCCAAGTCACTATGCACAGCCAGATTCAACAGCTTTCCGACCTCCTGCATCTTGGGATCCGTCGTGTGATCATCAAGTGGACCCACGAAGTCCTTGACAACCATGTCTACAAACCCAGCAGCCTTGATTCCCTCGATCTGGATATCATCCTCGATAACGGTAAACGAACGGCCCAACTTCTTCCCCCCTTCCGTGAACATCTTGCCCCACAAACTCAGGGGACTGTCTTCAGGGACAGGAGTGGTAGATGTCCAGATTGCGGAAATCTCGTAGTGCTCGATCCAGCCGCCCGGTTTGCACACGCGGAAGGCCTCCCGGTAGAATTTGTTCCAGTCCGAGATCGTGCCGACCATGTAGCGCAGGTAGATGAAGTCGAATGTGTTGTCTTGCCAAGTCCAGTCTAGGTTGGCGTCGTCGATTTGGAACTTGACATTGGGTGGTGACCAAGTTGGTTGGATGGGGGCTATATCGGTGGCGATTACTTCGGTGTTGGGGTGGGCCTCGGCGAAGTCTCTGTGGAAGTAGATGAGTAGTTGCGTCTTGTGCCCCGCCGGGCTTCATGTTCACTTACATAGCCCAAAGACCCGTTCCTGTGCCAATCTCTAGGACTTTCTAATCATGGGATCAGCACATATGTCCCTAGCATGCAGCTATCACGAACAATATTACCTTAGCATCAGGCTTGATCGGCGCAAGGTATAACTTTCCATCTGTCAATAAGATCGAGGCATAATGACTGTGCCATCAGCCCTTTGGAACCCATAAACACAATGACGAGAACTCATGCACTTACTTCAACTCCAAGGTGTCTGCATGTGCGTTGTCAACAGGGGCCCAATGCTCTGCTTGTCCAATCTCATGATGGTAGGACCGGCCAAAAAGGGTGCGGTAGTGATAGAGACTGCTAGCAATTGATGTCTTGCTGCTAGCAATACTATCATCCGAATCATCGTCAAATGACACAGGCTAAGAATTAAGAATATTATTAGCCTTGGACTTGTGGGGCTTGTCATTGCTGACACAAAGTTTACCTCCTCTCGTTTGCTCATGTTGGGGTCTTGAAGGGGCGTTTTGTGTCACTCAGAAATGGAGATTTCAAAATACTGCTAGAACCGCCCAGTTCCCAAGGTCAACAACTTTCAAGCACTAAGAAGAGAGGTCTAGTAATTTGCAGGCCGCAGAGCAGCTAATGCGCTTTGTACACGTCTTGCCCAAAGGTCAGGGCGTTGACTATTTATCGTCTGAGGAAACAGCTGGTGCATATCTAAGTTCCATGTTTTTGTTCACGGGTCGCACTGTGTGATGAAGGGACGACGTGATAACTTATACTTGCACAACGACCTACATACATGGCCCCTAGCCTGAATTGGTTCAAGCGGTGACAACTCAGGCTTGCCGTGACACGTTCTGCAGTGGCATCACATTGCATAGCCAAGGGCTTGGCACTGCACCATTGGTGATAGCTATAACACATTCTTGGAATTGATTATTATACCGCTGTTTATCGGTTTACTCTAGACGGAATGTCGATTTGGAAAAAGGCTTGTGGACCAAGTTCTGTGCTGAGTTTATCAACCCCACAAAGGTTTCATGTTAGGACAGTAATTAGGAGTGGAAGGCCACCTAAACTTTACCTGCCATGCCTGGTGCAAAATGATATTCGCCATCAGCATGTCGAACCTTTCTTCAACAAGTCTTGTATGCGATATAATGTTCTAACATTACGTAACAACACCTGAATGGTAAGCTATCACCGACGGCTGTGTCCTGTTCGAGGCTGACATGCATGACCAACCGCGGTGGCAACGGTTCGTGCCGTCTGTCATTGATCGATATGTATATATAGCAAATCTTTCTCGAACTGACTAATGCACTTCGACATATCTAGCATCCATAATCTGCTGCTACACGTGATTGGGTTAAGTAATTGGACAGTGAGCTAGTCATAAGGCCTAGCACACAACATCGCAGGAGAATATTGGGGGCATAAAGTCAGTCAAAGGATTTATTTCCAAAAAGCTTCCTCGACAGTATACAGGCATAAAACTGATTCGTAGACAGAAATGCATCCCTAATGCAGAAAGTTGTGAACGCAGCACTTAGCCACACAGCAGCGGAACAGCATCTCCAACACGGAAGCGTCCTTGTCGAAGTCACAACGTCGCGAATATCTCCTGAGAAAACACTAATAGCTGGATGTGCTTGTGCCGCGAGAGAGTATGTGGATCAAACAACTACTGAGGTTTGCGGCCGTAGACCGCCCAACGAGCGCACCGATAGCGCACAGACTCGTCATCGGCTTGTTCTCATAGTTCAGTAACGAACTTTGCAATATCTTTTGACAACCCTAATACAACTCCGAACGCGTGTGTAACATAGCCTAATCGATCGATTTTCAGCGTAAGTATCGACAAATCCAAAGTCGCGTCACGGTGATATAAGCAGCAAACACACCGCAAAGCCTTGGAGCCTTTCATACCTTCCAAGTCCGTGTGGATGGCTAGATGAAGCATATTTTCTATCATCTCCTTTTCCTTAGAACTGTCAACTTGGTCGTCAAAATGAGTTTTTAGGTCCTTGACGACTATGTCAACAAAGCCGGCCGCTTGTATGCCTTTGACTTGGATGTCATCTTCGATAATGGTAAAGGAGCGGTTCGTTCTCCGTCCAAAGTCTGCAAATAGCGCATTCCACCGGGCCATCGCACTGCCCTCGGGAATCCCCTTAGCACTCTTCCATGTAAGTGTGACTTCCCGGTGTTCAAACCATCCTCCTGGCTTGGTGCAGCAGAAGGCCTGGCGATAGAAATTATCCCAGTCGGTAGTAGTACCAAGCATATAACGCACATAAACAGAATCGAACATATTGCCTGGTCAGGTCCAGAGTTCATTCGCATCATCAATCTGAAACTTTATATTTAGAGGTGCCCAGGTCGACTGATCTGGTGGAAGGTCGGTGGCAATCACCTCAGCATTCCGAAGGTCATCTGCAAATTCTCTGTTTGAGGCTATGTAGGTATGTGTTTATGAGATCTAAGCGAAGAGATTCCACACACATTGCACAGATTTCTGTTCCTGTGCCAATTCAAGCACTTTCAATCAATGGCATTAGATGGATTTAACAATGGGTTTCAGGAGGTGGTCTCTCAACGCGCAATCCAACGAATTCACTTACCTGCACATCAGGCTTGATGGGGGCTAAGAACAGCTTTCCACCCTGCAACAGAACTGACCCATAGTGACTGAAGCAATTAGATCACGGCTGTCCTGAGTAGGCATTTCATATGCTCATCTAAAGAGCTCACACACTTTAGCTCCAGGGTCTGCGCGTGTAGATCGTCTACAGGCAACCAACGCTGTGCTTGTCCAAGTTCTCTGTGGTATGGCTGGCCATACAGAGTGCGGCAGTGATAGAGACTGCTAGCCACAAATGTTTCGATACTAGCAATGCTATCCTCCTTATCAGTAACAGTAACCTTGAGAAAAGAATCAGTAGTTGCGCACTGAAGCACTGTTTTCACAGAACTTACTGACTCCTGTGCCCAACTCATGAGTACGATGAGTATGAATCCAAGATTGAGCGTTGCTCCAGAGCTAAGGGCCCCCATATGATTATCAGCTGCAGCTGGAGGGGTGATAATGAAAAATGTAGCCAGCTTTGGATCTTTATCAGTAAGAAGTGATAGCAAAGAGACAATGGTTAATGCTTATTGGGGGGGGGGGGGCTGCAGGTAGGGCAACTTTTTTAACAGCGCAAAAGAGGGGATGACCTCCTCCAGCTATGTACAACCTCAATGTAAACTGCACGAGCCGCAGCAACTGAAATACGCGGTCATGTATTGTCCGACACGTATTGTACAGAACATGCTCTGCAATGAGGATGGCGCAGCATAGATACATTATATATTAGTAACAAAGCTTCTTCCCAGTCACAATGGCTATGACTTCATTAAGACAACATATTTAGGAGCAGCCTGCGCTGCACACCAAAGCTGTAGTCTCGTGTTCCCCACTGCCTAAAGACAGAATTGGTATAGAGCAATGCTATTTCTGAGTTTGGATAACTTTCCGGCCCTGAATGGTCGTTGCCAACCTTCCTGGGCCAGTGCAAAACCTTCACTGAGCTGTTTAGTCAATAGCAACCAGTGAGTGGTGTGTACAAAGAGCAGAGTATAATAAACACATGTTGATGACTTACACTTACTAGGGATACTCCTTTGAAGAGCAACAGCTGCAATGCTTTATACCCAGCACGACAGAGTTTAATAAGGTTACTTAGGCCTCTCGGCCATGGGGGTACTCACTGGCTCTGTCAATGTAGCGCGCGTGCAGCCCAGAACATCCAAGGGCATCACAGACCTATTAATTTCTCAAACTTCCATCGGCTTGAACCGATAGTCCCTTCAAGGAGCCGGCGTACTGCCAAAGCATCACGGTCTATTTAGCAGGTTATGGTATTGTTCATTATAGCAATTAAGCAGACAAATCACTCCAACGGCCAAGAATGGCCATGTACTACTATCCACGAAATCGAGAAAGAACTCTCGAGCTGTCAATTCAATTCTCATCATGTCTGGACAGACAGTCTCCACGCCTGGTGGTGCCCTTCTGTCAATTTTTTTTCAGGCTTATGATCATGCTCCCCCAAGGATTCAAACATTTTGATTTATCCAATTTTAGTTATTAAACCATGATTTTGGGCTTGAAGCCGTAATCTTACCCTTAAGGTTCGCTAAATTGCTACGTAGGTCAAAGCCCCGGCTTCCTTCTCGACTGGGCCAGACAATCTACCATCCGCAGGTCCCTTCAAGTCTATCACGGTGATATCAACAGAGCCTGCAGCGGCAATCCCACGTCCCTGGATATGGCCCTTCGATGATGGTAAATGAGCGCCTTATCCTCTTGCCACCATCGGCGAAGATATTCCCCAATTAAGCCGTTGGGCTATTCTTAGGACGACCAACGCCAGATTTCCAGGTAGACGTTGCCTCATAGTGCTCAAACTGATCGCCAGGTTTGCAGCAACAGGATGCTTCACGGTATAATTTGTCCCAGGCAAAGGGGGGGGGTGGTTGTGGATCCCATCATGTATCTTGCATGGGTGCAATCAAATGTATTATCGGGCCATGTCCAGTCCGGCTTGGCATCATCGAGCTGAACCCTTTACAATTGGTGGCATCCAGTTTGGTTACATTGGCGTGTTGTCAGTGCCGATGACTTCAGCGTCAAGGTAGAGATCTGCCACCTAGCCCTGTTAAATGAATATATTAATCATATGTTCTTGGCTTTGAACAACATTGGGAAAGCATGGAAATTTGCACTTCCCAGATTTCCGCTCCTGTACCTAAGTCTAAAATTTTCTAAACAGAGGGATATGTGTTGAGGATGAGATTGGCAACAGTCATTCCGGCTGTCAAGAAGCACATGCTTTGATAAACAGATGAGATATGAGCTTGGAATAATTTTCATTGGCTAGGATAACTGAGGCGTAGTGAATAGTCGACATATCATGAGAACACTCCGAAATAAGCTCAAGCACTGTCACATGGACACGGTAGTCCAAGAAGAAATATCCTTGACAGCCAACATATAAGAACACCGGTGACACAAGAGCTGAGAAAGGAAAAGGCATATCTGATTGGTAGAGCCCGGGAAATATAAGGGGGTGGTAAGAATGAGTTAGATAATCTTGCAACGCTGAAAAAAAAAAAACCCTGAAGATACCAGGAGACCGCGAGGTACTCACAAGGGCAAAGGGATTTTATGAAGGGAGTACCTGGACACAATGAAGGATCTCTCTTGGGGTTTCCTCTCCCAAACACAAGGACACTGAGGACCAAGAAAGATTATTACACGTAGTAATTGACTTCGCTGTGCACCCCACATCGTCAGTAGCCACCATCTAACTCATTTGACCCATTGTCGATCCTTGCCTGCACCAGACCAAGTCACCCGTTACAAGCACAGTTAATGGTTACATTTGCTTGAGCTTCAAGGTCTCCGCAAACATGTTTTTTGGTGCCCAGGCTTCAGACAAACCCAACTCCCTGGCATAAGTCCAGCCATACAGATGCCGATATTGGTAGATGCTGCTTGTTATCAATGCTGCACTTGAGGCGACGTCGGTATTGGCATCGCTGGCTGCGCCTGGGTCTACATCGTCGGGCTGGAACCAATTATAGGACAATATCGAGTTCACCCTCTCTCTAATAACCCCTCTTTTACAATACAGAGCTCTCTAAGATGCAGGAATCTGGCTATAACGATTTTTATTCTCATTTAAGAATCTCTGGGCTAACAGTATTTTCACCCAGGTCAGACAACATGAAAATCAATTAATTTGCTACAAACCCCAATTGTGGTACTCCCTAGTGTAGGAAAGAACCTGGCAAGCTCTCATATTCATTTCAGGGCTGCTCATAAACTTGCGCAGAAACCAAGCGGGATAATTTCCCAACATCGCGGCCAACAGGGATGAATGAGGCTGGACTTAAGGCAAACAACTCGAAGAACAAAAAATTCATCCCAGAAGTTTGAAAATAGAGGGGAACCAATTGCGATCTCAACCGCAAATTTTTCACTCCTGAAACTAAAACCGGAAAGAGCATCCCACTGAATGACAGCACTCAGATGGCATGATAACAAGCAGTCACCGCCTGCTGGGCCAAGACTGTCAACGCAGACGGGCGGGCGCGGAAAGCGTAGCCGTGAAGTTGGGAGTCCCACTCAGCGCTTGAATGGAGATGAAACCTTGCAGGGAAGACATTCTTTGAAGTACTGGAAAGCTATGGAGATCAATGCTAGATAACAAGAAAGGAAAGAGCTAATTCTTTTGGGATTGGTCACATGATGAGCAGGCAGGCTATCACCAAGAGCTGGACATTTGGGATGAGGAGAAGGCATTGAGCCCCATTGGATACCACTAGACTTAGAGGATACCTTAATATCTCGACCACAAGAGGGCCAGAACGGTGGCAACAGAGGAAGCCCAATCAGTGTCTAGATATACCCAAGGCAACAGGAGATTGTCGTATTGGACAGACTCATGGGATTTGCTTTGACATGGACTCGGGAGAGATTTACGGAGAGTTCAGATCAGAGAAAAAGATCTCTCCAAGCAATTGCAATCCGAGCAGAAAGGGAAATCAAACTCACCATAGCCCCTCCAGTCGGGAGAGATCCAAGCCAACACCGCGTCAGACCTACGAATCCATCAGGCCAAACGAGATAGAAAGAGGAAAAGTGGGAAACTCCCTCACATGGCCCACACGATGGGGCTCCCCCAGAGTCTCGAGTCCGAGCACAAAGCCAGCAGCCCAGGTTTGGTTACCATTCAGACCCAGTGCTGACCGCTCAAGACAGAGAAAGCCTAGAAGGGGGTCAATAAGAAAAGGATTAGCACGAAAGACAAAGACGTATCTGGTCAGTGTCGCCCTCCAGCTGGCTGACAATGCCCAATAGAAATCAAAGTCGAGCAGGGAAGCTGTGACATCTCGACAGATAATTGTCCCAACAGGGCGTTAGCAATAAGGAGAGGACAGACGGGCCCGACAGGCTGGAAGCTGGGGACATTGCTGCGGCCCACGCCTCGTGTTCTCCAGATTGTGGGCGGAGCGAGTCGATGGAGGAGTGCAACTTGCAGACTCCGTTGTCTCCGCCACGGTGGCACGCTGGACCCGTCCTTAGACTTCTATGACAAATGGATACCGTTAATAGCATCCTGCGTCTTGCAGCGTGTAGGATTAATCTGCCAGCCCCCAACAAGCTCCTGTGCCTGTCGATCAGTAACATGTGGTCACTCACACCCCATAATTGCCATAATTGCCCAAGACGTGTAGCAGGATGCATGATTCTGGTATTGATTCTCGCAGTCGGCCGAGGTAAATAGCTCGATGCGTCTGCTACCCCTCCTTCATCCCATCACCGTGTCGAGGTGGCAGAGATGCGGTCGACGATCAATGAGAGACGAGAATCTCCTTGGAGCTCGCCACATCCCGGGAAACAGGCCAAGATACCGAGGTCTTGGAAAGACGCTAAGAAGAGTTGGGACGATTTTTGCGGATGCCAAGCGTCGAAGGGAAGCAGAGCCTCGAGGCGGCCGGTGAACAAGAGGGACTGGGCTAGGCGAAGTATCCTCGCACCGCAGCGGGCTTGGGCTGCATGATGTCAGATCGTTCCGCTGTCGAGAGGGGAGAAGCTCCAGGCTCCAGCGCAGCTCCATCATCGGACGACGACGACCAATCGCAAGCAAAACCAGAAATCGGCGTGTCGGCTAGAAGAGGGTTGGCGGGCGCAGAACAACCTTAGCGGTTGGTTGGCGGAGGGTTGGCGCACCCTGGGGATTGGATAGGACGAGGGAAAAATGACGGACAATGAGTGGTCAACCCCTCTTCTCCTCCACTCACTCCCCCCCCCCCACCTCCTCCGCAAATTTCCCCGCGTTTGCGGAGAAAGACCGCGGCAGTTCGACCGATGGAACACAGGACCCCTGCCGACCAACCCCCCCTGCTGCCATGCCAAGCATGCGCCTCGAACGCCACCATGTCGGCGACGGTGCAGTAGTGCCAGCCCAGCATGACCCCCAGCAGCCTCGACACACCGTCCACACGTGCCCAGCATGGCCTTCCCTGCTCTGCAACGGCGACGACATCCTGATCGGGAATCTTGGCCCTTGAGCCAAATCTGACAGCTCGCAACGTTTCTCCATTTCTTGATGGGGGAGATGGGGTCACTGGGTCAGCAAGAAGCCATTGGGACGACGACAGGACCCGTTCCCCAGCTGATTCGACTAGAGAGCCTGTCCCTCCTGACCTCTCTGGCTGGCCTGGCTGGTCGCGAGGAGACGACAAGTTTGACGACGGCCTCGTCCTCGAGCTTTGTCGGTTGTGGGTTTTCAAAGGGGCGGTGGAGGAGGAGGCAAGAGTGCAGCACCTGGACTCTTGGACCTGGGGAAAATGGAGCCAGAAGCATGTCAAGCGCCGGATGAGGTACCAGAACGCGTGGATTGGGCAGAAGTTGGAGTCGACTGGACTCGAGCTACCGGGCCCGGTCGTTCGGCTGTGCTTGGCTCACATCTGGGGCCGTCCCGGCGAGGAGGGCAACAAGGAACTCTGGGGAAGATCCAGAGTCAGCCATTGGACGAGAGACCAACGTCGACAGGCTTGTTTCTTGCTCGCATGCTCATCATCCATCACCGCGCTAGACATCCAAGATGCGGGGGTGGAACTGTCACACGAGGCGACCCGGTAATGGAGATCCAGGCCGGTCAGCCAGGGAGGGGTTGAAGGCAAGATTGTAGTCGTCCATTACTTATACCACCTCGATACCCTCCTTTACTCGTGTCTTTTCGTTCCTCGTCCCTCGCCTTCATCTTCACCCGCAAGCAGAACCTCGACTCTTCGCCTCTTGACCACCCAAAACGTCACAAAAACTCCTTCGACCAGACACCAGACAACAGCACACAGCTACACGAGACCAACATGTCCGGTTCGCAGGAGAAGGTGGCCGTCGAGACGGTCGAGGCCGCCGACTCGGACCGTGGCACCAAGGAGTCTGGCATCGCCTCGCCGGCCCCTATCAACCCCGATGACTTCGGCTTCACGCCGCAGGAACAGAAAAAAATCATCCGCCAGATCGACCGGCGTCTTGTCTTGACGGTCGGCGCCCTGTACTGCATCAGCTTGATGGACCGTACCAACCTGGGCGCTGCCATGATCGCCGGCATGGGCACCGATCTCAAGCTCATTGGCAACCGCTATGTATGAACCCAAGCGACCTTTTCTTTTCTTTTCTTTTTTTTTTGACAGAGCGACCGACTAACACAGTCCAGAGCGTCATCACTCTCGTCTTCTTCGTCACCTATGTCATCTTCCAGCCGCCCTCAACTGTCATCTGCCGCAAGATCGGACCCAGGTTGCACATGTCTGTCATCACGGTTCTCTGGGGCGGTGTCATGATTGGCATGGGTTTCATCCCAACTTGGGGCGGCATGACGGCGATGCGTCTGATTCTCGGTGTCCTCGAGGCTGGTTTCTTCCCCAGCTGCGTCTATCTGCTGAGCACCTGGTATACGAGGTGTAAGAACTGTCCAGCATTATCATCGAGGATGAAAGAGCACGGCTAACTCCAGCAGACGAGGTCGGCGTGCGCAACTCGATCTTCTATCTCTGCGGTTCGGCCGCGTCTGCCTGCGCGGGTATCCTGGCCTATGGCGTAAGTTTCTCGCACTTGTGGGGTAAAGATGACTTGGATGCTGACCGCCGTAGCTCATGCAAATGGCTGGCCTGGCTAATCTCAACGGCTGGCGCTGGATCTTCATCATCGAGGGTATCCTTACCGTTCTTCTGGGTACCGCTGGCTACTGGCTGCTGGTTGACTTCCCCGATTCGAAGCGCAAGACCTGGGCTTTCCTGGGTGAGCGCGAGCGTGCTTGGATCTGCGCCCGCGTGCAACAGGACCGCGGTGATGTCAAGCCTCAGCCCTTCTCGATCATCAAGTATCTCAGGCCGGCGCTTGACATCAAGATCTGGGCGTACGCCATGATCTTTTTCAACACCACCACCGTCACCTATGCCCTCGCTTACTTCATGCCCATCATTCTGCAGTATAACATGGGCTTCAGCGTCGGCGCTGCCCAGTGCCTGGTGGCTCCTCCTTATGTCTTCGGCGGTATCGTCACCTACCTGACCGGTCTTGCCGGCGACAAGTTCCGCCTTCGTGGTCCCATCATCATCTTCAACTGCATCCTGGTCCTCATCGGTCTACCCATCGTCGGCTGGGCCACCTCGCCCGGTGTCCGCTACTTCGGCATCTTCCTCATGACCGCCGGCGGCAACGCCAACGTCCCCGCTGCCATGTCCTACCAGGCCAACAACATCCGCGGCCAGTGGAAGCGCGCTCTGTGCTCGGCTACCTTCGTCTCTTTTGGTGGTATCGGTGGTATCGCTGGCTCGCTGGTCTTCCGCTCGCAGGACAGCCCGCACTACCGCCCCGGTCTGTATGCCTGCTTCGCCACGACCGGTCTCAACATTCTCCTCGTTTGCCTGCTCAGTCTCTACTTCCGCCATGCCAACGCGAAGGCTGACCGCGGGGAGGTTGAGCTTGAGTGCGATGGGGTGAGTATCTTTGGCTACATGAAGTCCTTTTGGATAGGATGCTAACGACTTACAGGATGATGACTACGAGCCTGGCTTCCGCTATACTTATTAAACGAAATGATTATGGATATGAGGTGTGTTGGCCAGACCACGCATCTACGTTTTGGATATGACTAGTGTGCTATTGGAGGGATCTGGGACCAACATTTTTGAATGATAAGCTAGTTTAGTATTGCTATGCTGGCCTCTCTGGAAGGGCGGCAATGATGATGAAATTCATCACTCTACCTTTCAAGTTTGTCCCCTTGGGTTATGATTGTGTTTTTGAATGTGAGACATTTCTTTCTTTTTTTTTTTTTGGTTCATTGTTCCCGCTCGTAATGTTTTGGGCTCCCCGACTCAACAATCCGAGTCGGGGCTCAAACAGATGCCCTGGATGAACGTTCGTCCAAAATCGTCGAGTCGAGTCCACCCACTCCATCTAACCTATCACCACTCCACGCCTCTACACACCTCCACACCTCCACACCTCCACGCCAGCCAGAACGACAGGCTCCATCGCATCTCAGATGGAGCTAACTTCAACCTCCGCATCAAGGATCATCGTTGGCAAAAGATTGGTTCCTGTCTAACCAAGCGGAAAGAGAGATAATTCTTTTCGTCTCCCCCCGCAATTTCAGCGGAGTATGCTTGCGCCCACATCCCTTCGATGACGAGCCCACTCAAAACAGCTGGACTGGGTTTCCACATCCTTTTGACAGTTTTGGTTTGGTGGTCCACTGATGGTCCACGTGGGTGTCAAAGCCCGTCAAGACGGACGAGGGACATGGAACTGTGTCATTAACATGCCAAGGAGGGGAGGGGACATGACTCAGGTACTTGGGGGAAGAGGGCAAGGCAGAGAAGACGGGCAGACAGGGAGGGCAATTGACAGGTTGGTTGGGGAAAGGGAGCTAGGCAAACTTGGCTTGGGGTCAGGAAGCTGAACCGGCGGGAGAATAAAAAGCCTGATTCTCAGGGTCCCTGGACTGGAGAGTGAATGAAAAAAAGGGGTAAGCTGACTGCTGGATGGACTCAATTGGGGTGGGGGACGGTGAAAAAAAAAAAAAAAAAAGGTACGGCGGCTCCACCTAAGCCTACAGAAAGTTTGGGAAAGTAAAGGAGAGATGACCACGACAACGGAACACGTCGTTCAGGAGGGTGCCAGTGCCAAGGGTCGGTGTGTCCCAGGAGCGTGGAGATGAGGGAAACAAACAGGAAAGGAGCAGTAAGGGTTGGGTGTCATTAGGACTCTGGGAGAAAAACGGGGGCCAAGCTGGGAATGAGACCAAAGATGGAGTAAGTTTGAGCAAGCCCAATTGCCCTATTGTGTTCTATGTGTTGCGTGCATTACGATGTTGACTGGCTTGCAGACAGACGAGAGACCGACGATGCAAGCCATTGATCGGGGAGAAAACTGTACTCGACCGCCGCTGGGGAAACTAAAAAGTCCCGACATCGACATCGGGAACCAACTGCTCGGCGGTCCTCTTTTTGCGGAGGCTGCTGAAACATTCAGGGTCAGATCGTCTAGATTTTGTCGTTCAGCTATCCAACACACTCTCTTTCCTTGCCGGTTTCTCTCACTTGGTCGGCGTTCGGCTCGGTCCCGGCTATACCTTCACCCCCTGGCAGGGGTGGGATTACATAAGCCACTAACATACACTAACATGACTTCAGTTGACTAAGCACTCGCCACTCCTACATATTGCAATACTTGTCTACGACAAAGGAGGAATGATGAACCGGCAATGTTAATCCAGCGGTCAGGCCCAGAGATAAGATTCATACACTCGGAGGTCGCCGTCGGTGGGAGCGAGAACGGGAGGGAAAACAGGGAGGGGGAGATGGGGCGGTAGTGGCGGCGACGATGGAGTCAGTTAACCGGCTAACGCATTCTGGTGGTGCCTCGGTCTCTTATCGGCTGGACAGGGTGCTAGGTTTTCTTGGTCCGGCAGGGTTTTTTTTTTCTGGTTCAAGTCTTGGTCTTGGGAGGTTAAGTAAAGGGGCTGGGGCTGGGGCTGGGTCCTGAGTGGATGTGGGAGTCGTGGTTTGCTTTTGCGGTCTGTGTTGACAATGGGGAGTCGTCGTGGTCGGGGATGCATTAGGTCAGGTCCAGGAAGGGGAAGGGAGGTAGGACGCCATTAGGAGGAGCGCAAAACAGGAGGGGAAAAACGGGACGTCTGCCATGCCGAGAAGGTAGGTAGGTAGGTAGGTAGGTCATTTTGGCTGTGCGCGCACGCGTGTGTGTGTCTGCTGCTTGTTGGTGGTGGTGGTGGTGCTGTGTCGGGATGCTGCTGTGGGTGTCTTGTCTCCTTCGGTCACTCATCCCGCTGTTTGCCAGGAGTGATGCTCGCTCCGCAAACAACCACATCGCAAAATACTGTGATACCCATCCTTTTTCGCATCGCGAACGGATCTACATGAAACTCGCAAGACAGTGGTGATGGGATGCTGATGTTTATATCCCAATCACAAACCCGTCTCACTCCATCCGTCTGTCAGGCTCCATCGCAAATAACCTCGGCAAAATCGCCCCCAAGAACCTGATAAGCGTCGGCTAGCTGGATCCCAGGAACCGGAACGGAAATATGTTCGGATATCAAAAGCAGCTGAACATCGGGTATCGGGCGTGACGGAGAACAAAGATCGGATTTCGATGATTCAGGCTCGGCTGTTGTTGAGTAAACAAACAACGAAGCTTAGGCAAGGGAAGAAGGACTCTATAGATATCTATCTATCTGTTTGCTTAGGTAGCTGCTGGAAGTAGCCAACCAATTCTAAGAATACTTGAAAACTTGAGAACCAAGCAGAATGCCCACCGCCTTGGGGTATGAGTGATGTCATCACTGCTTCGCTTCGAGGACAATATGACTGTGATGAGGGTTGTCGACAAGTGCTAAAACGATGCGGACCATCGAACTCGAGGGCCTTGAAACAAGACCGCCGCTGAATTAAACGATTCATTTCGAACGGCCGGATGGTTGAAATTTCGAAACGAGGAAAATCGGAATCATGACAACCACTCGAGAACATCCCCACGACGAACCGCGCCCGAGCTCGCATTGCGTCGTTGCCGCACCGAAAAGAGCTGAAGACGCTTAAAAGAAGGACTTCTTGATGCTACCAAGCAGTGCCTCGCGCTTCTGTTTCTTGACGTAATTGTTGACGCTTTCGGACCTGTTAGGAAGAAAAGAAAAGAAAGACGGAGGAGTCAGTGTTTTCTTTTTTTTGCTCGAGGGATCTCGAGAGTCATATCCAAAATGCTCATTCCTTCCAACTTTTCATCCAACCCTTGATTTGGCGTCCTCCTGGGCATAGCCAATATTGAAGCGAACAATATATGAAGACGAGCAGAACAGAACAAGAGAGAAAGAAGGATATACTCACCACCCTTGCGTCGTCTCTTGCAACTTCATCATCGCATCATCAACCACATTCAACCTCTCCATTCGCTCATCAATCTGCCGTGCCAAATATTCACCCCACCCCTCCTGACTCTTGCTTGCCGTCCCTCCTCCCTCCTCCCTGTGCGCCCCCTGGGCAGCCTGCTTCTCCATTTCCCTCCTCCTCTCCCACCCCTCCCCGCCGATCAATATCCCCAGATCAGTCACGCTCACATACTGCGTCCCCGTCACCCACTCCACGCCAGAGATGGTCGGTCTAGCAGGACACTCGCGGCCCTCAATCACCAAAAAGTCGCCACCGTCCCCGGCGCCGTGGTATCGCTCGTCCCTTCGTTGATAGCCTTGCTGTGTCTCCCGCCAGACGGAGTAGAGCCCGATTTCGGAGGGGCCCATCCAAGCGAGGATGCTACCGGAGCGAGAGATGGCTGCGTTCAGGGCGCGGGCGGGGTCGAGGGCGGGGAGGGAGAGGTGTGAGAGTTCTTTGAGGTGTGGGAGGGAGAAGATTCGGGCGAGGGAGCCGGAGGAGTGGAGGGTCAGGAGGGCTGCGAAGGGGGGAACATTGGGGGAGGAGAGGGAGCGTGGGGGGTAGACGACGGAGGCTGCGTCGCAGAGGTGACCGGAGATGTCGTCTAGGGAACGTGAGGCCACCGGTTTGGAGGTCGGCGGTTTGAATACGCGGGCCGTGGATTGGGTCGCTGATACCAATGTTAGTGAGCGGGTTTTGGAAAAAGAGGGGGGGGGGGGGGGAAAGGAGAGAGAGAAAGAGGGAAGAGACTTACCGACTACGAGGATGCCGTCGACTTTGCGACCCTCTCTCAAGCCAGCAACAGCGTCTACTGTCGCCGCCGCGGGGAGACCATTATCCCCATTGACAGGGCAAACCGCCATAACGCGATCACTCCCGACCTTGCTCACGCCCGCAGGCTCAACCCGGTACCCAGGCTGTCCCTTGCCTGCCCCTTGAACAGGCAGTATTTTGAGCGTCACTACCCTACCCCTATCCGTCCCAACAAAACACGCAATACTGGAATACCCGTCTTCGCCCAACGTCATGACCCCAAACTCCAGCACCGTCGCAAACTCCGGCCTGCCATCCATCGCATGCTTGCCCTTCCCGAACGCCAACAACGATGACCTCTTGTCCTGCTCCCTGGTCAAGTCGCCAACCTGCGCCTGGAAAATCACCGCAGGCCCGCGTAGATCGAGCACACTAACACACCCATTCTCCGACGCAGCCGCCACGAAACCGACATCGGATACCTTAACAGCACTGACAGGAGCCTTCCCTCCCGGCAGGGCATACAACACCAGCGGCATCAGTCCCTCCCTCAAATTGGGCTCCGTCCGATGCGAGATGTCCCTCACCTCGCCCGGCTTCGTCTCCCCTTCCTCTTTCTCATCTTCCCGCCTTCCAAGGAAGGCATTATTATTATTTACCCCCCACCTCCAAACAACCACCTCTCCCCCCTTCGTGCCGGCAACCATCTCCGCCGTAACCTCACTCATCCCCACGACCGTGACCCCCGCCATCCCGCTGGCATCCGTCTCCCCGACCCTGCCCACCGCCCGCGCCACATCAACTTGCAACTGTCCCGCGTTCTCAATCTCACTGCTCCTCCCGAACCCGACATCCCACGCGCGAATCGTACAATCCGCGTGCGCGGCAAGCACGACATGCCGAAACGGATACGGATACCTGCTCTCGCCATGGAACGTTGGCGCCGGGGCACCCCCGCGCAAGAAATTTTCTCCCGTCTGTCGCTTCTCGACCAATCCCAGCCATCGCTCGCGGGGGATGTGCGTCAGGAAGATGCGGTTGACAAACGGGTGGATGAAGCTCAGTGACGGAGGGAGCATGTTGGTTGGGGAGATGGGGTAGCCGGAGGGGATGGTCAGCGTCACCACCTCGCCGGACGTGAGGAGGACGAGAGCGGCGATGGGGTCGCAGGCGCCGTGGTAGTGGGGCGAAGAGCGCGGGATAAGAGTGTAGGAGGCGACTTCGGCGCCCGGGGGTACGGGGAGGGGGACCAGGCGCTTGGGGGCGGTGAAGTGTTGTGTGAGGGTGTCCCAGGAGGAGGTGGCGTAGGTGGGAGTTGGGCCGAGGTCAAGGAAGGTGAGGGGGGTGGTTGATGTCGTTGAGGTTGAGGGAGAGGAGAGGGAGGGGGCATTGCCGCCGAGAATGAGGAGGGCAGTGTCGTCTGGGTTGGAGGGGGATTTGCAGCACCAGGAGAGTTTGGCGATTGGCGCACGACGACAGGAGTTGTCTTCGATGCTGTCGACGACGACGGTGCAGACGCAGAGAACCCTTCCCTCTTTCACGTCCCAGACTACCAGTCTTCCATCGTCCAACCCGGCGACGATGAATGTTCCCGTGGGATGCCACGCAGCACAGGTGATCCTCGCCTTTCCCGTCTGGTGCTGAGGCAGCTCTAGCCACTTCTGCACTTCATTCCTCTTGAAGGAATACACCACCACAGCCTCGGTATACGCCACCGCCAGCTTGCCCACATCCCTCGGATGCCAGTGCACGCCAACAACACCGATCGAATGCAGCCCAGCCACTCTGCCCTTCTCACGTTCCCTTTCCCTCCATACATTCCCCAACCTCCACGCCCCCCCTCCCACGGCCGGCCTCCCCGACACCAAATCAAACGCCATCACGTCCCCGCCCGCCTGGAGCCCTACTAACGCCCATTCCAAAGCCGGATCGGTCGCGAGACACGCAACCTTCGCATACGTCGCCCTCCCCACCAGACCCGGCGGACATGCCGCGAGATCATACAGCAACACATGATCTCCGCCATCCAGTACCAACAACCTCCGTCCGCCGCAAACGAATCTAACGTCCACGACCGACGCAGCCCCTTCTTTCTTCGTCAGGCCCAACCCTGCGATCCCCGAGGAGGTCTCGTTCGGCGGAGGGGGATCAATCACCCTCTGCACGCGGCCTGCCCCGAAGAGGTAGATGCGTCCACGACCATACTTGGATTCGGCAGTGCCCACAGCGAGAAGGGATTGCACCGGGTCGTATGCGAGGCACGTGACAAGGGAGTTGATGCCGTGTCGGGAGAGGAGGCGGGAGGTTTGTTCGGCGAAGGGGGAGGTCCATCCCGTCTGGGATGATGAGCCCGGGGGCACCAGGCCGGCAGAGAGGTCGGGGGTGTTGCGGTGGCGGATGAAGGACATATTTGTTTAAATTGCCGTTAGGGGTTCGTTGAGGTAGGATGACGTGACAGAGTGAGATTGAGCGACAAAGGTAGATTGGTGATGAGGTTGATGGGGTCAGGTTGCTTTGCTGTGTGCCTCAGACGGGGTAGGAAAGCATTCATTGGTTTGTTAGCAGTCGTGTGAGGGTGCCACAGCGTGCCGGCGTGACAGAGAGAGATTGTAGGGATCGTAAAACTAGTGTCAAAAGTCTGCTTGTTGTTGTTGTCGTCTCTGTTTGTCGTCTTCGAGGAGAGGTCGTTTTCACTCTCGCTCCGCAGAGAAATATACGAATGCTTTTTCAAGGGCTGGTAGGTCAATCACCCATATATCTCACCATCCCCTCAGGCCTTCAGAATCTTCACGTGCCGATCTGTTCACTTTTCGCAAGAAAGCCCGTTGGCTCCTCGAAAAAGAAAAAAAAATAATCCCAAAACCGTCCCTTTCTTTAATAATAATACCGATCTCGTTCTTGCTTGGGTCTGTCAACCTTGAAACCATCAAACTTCACAATCAGAGGCTCGAAATAGAATGAGAGAACTTCAACCCCTCACACGTTAAAGAAAGAACTTGAAGTGATTGTCGTCAGCCTTGTCGGGTCTTCAAAAAGCCGGCCAAATGGAGTGGGGCAGCTTGTGATCCTGAGGTGGGTCACGGCCAACAACCAGGATGCTATTCGATGATCTTACGTAAGCATGCATGAAGCGATTGGCTGGACTGGGAGGGGGACTTGCGTCATCGCTCTTGGCATGAATAAGTGAACTAATGAGAGGGTTAGGGTTGACAAAAGGGGTTGGGGAGTTGACATAGGGATGAGTTCAGGGTGGGAGGAGGGGAAAAAGAAGGGAGGGGGGGGGGGGGTTGCGGGGGGCAAGGGCGGAAGCAGACAAAGAGGAAGATGGCAAGAGATGAACTCATTTTTTGCATGGTTCGTCTGCTTCTGGCAACGATTGGCTTCGAAACCCTAGACCGTCAGGCACGTATCCGACACACCAAACAGACTGAGTCGAAATATCAAGTAGAAGTGTCATATGATTTTCTGGATCACCACTATTTCATAAATACATCATCGTCATTATTACGAACTTGATCTTTGTTTGCTTCCGAACTCCCCAACTCTTTCAGGTCAAGATTACGCCTCTTAGCAACAAAAAAAAAGACGGTGAGCTATCGGGTCATTTGTTAGGGTTAGGCGGCAATATTAAGCTGATAAAGAAAAATGGAAAATTAGCGAGTACACCTACCCATTTTAATGAGCATGAAAGGAAACGGAAGATATTGATTAGGTGTTTGAGTGAGGGTTACTATTGAATGGCGATGGTACCTGAGTAAGCTAAAGCTCTTTGTTCTTGTCTCCCCCTGACTGTGTTGCCCCGGCTACCCTCCATTCGTTTATTTTCAACCCCTCCTCTATCACTCAGGGGCATAGCTCAAGGCTCTATTAAACAATGTGAAACAGCTCTACCATGCTGGTAACAATCGAAATTTCAACTCACCATCTCAGCTACACCATGCTACAATTCACCCGTTGTGTTTGTCTGTCTCATGCTGTCTCACTTCCAGGACACCTCACATACACACTCACTCACACTCCACTCACACAGACACACATACAGACAGACACGTATACACACTCTTACTTGACTAACTTACTGCAGAGATCATGATGGATGCCTAACTCAACGTCATTGCCACTACCTCCTTAACTCAAATAACCACTCTGGTCTTACGCGGTTAGACCCTGGGCCCTAGAGAGGTAGCCTAAGATCGCCGCCGCCAAGCGCTCATGTACATAAATCCCTAATAACACACACAGCCATAGTTATTCTCATAGGCCCCCCTCCATCCATGACATGCCACATAAAATAGCTTTTCCTTACCTTTCCCCCTCTTCCCACCTCCCTCCCCCCCTCCCTTAACCTCCCTAATCCTTCCAACCCTAAAAAAGGTAGCTTAATTACCTGAAAGATAAAGCAAAAAAAGAAAAAGAAAAAAGAAAAAG